TAATTTCTTCACGGCAAAAAGTGCGGACGCTTAAACAATACCAAGAATCCGCCATGCTCCATATTGAGTTAACCGATGCTTGGTCGTTGGTTGTCATCCTGGTAGAAAATGACACACGCCATACATGACCAAGACAAGACAAAGAAGCAATCAGGAGGAGTAGGGTCAATACCCGAGCACAGCGAACAGACAAAACCTTGTGGCAGCTTTCTCTGCCAGGGCTCTGGACCGCTCTTGCCGGATGTTGCGACCACGCTACGCGCACGCTGCCAAGGTGGAAGGAGCGAAGGAACTGTTGGCGGCTTCCCGAGACTTCAATGCAGCTGGCCTTGTGTGCGTCAGCTGATGAGCGGTACAGAACGTACTGTAATAAGATTGCCCTTTTGCCCTGATTTTACTCGAACGATGATGGCTTGGCTGTGGCATCGTTCTGCGTTACACTGGCTTCGAGAACGACAGCTTTATGCTCGAAACGCAGACCATATTCTCTGCCTTTGAAGCTTTGCGGTCCAACTTGACGCCCATTTACGGAGTACCTTCGCCGTTATACTCGGGCGAACACTGATTGGACTGCCAAGATGCCGTCGTGGCTTCGGTTGTGCATGTCGAAATGCAATTCTAGCCATTAACAATCGAGGCGAGTCGATCGAGTCTTGTGTGAGCCGTCGCGGTCAGCCTTGAGAATATCGCCCGACGGTTGTCCCCGGCTCGCCTGATTTCCTCACCGCTTACAGAGTCTAGACACTGTCTGCGGAAAACAAATACTATGACGAATGTACGGAGTACGGAGTACTACCTTTATTAGTACGGTCGATTGTTAACAGGGTTCCGATGCAAGCTGCAAGGCAGGTTCCGGGGTAAATCTAACCAGACCCAACCTGTGGACTGCTCTCCGAGAAATGAAATTAGCGCGGCACCGAAGAGATTCGGCACATGCGCCTACTCTAGTATGCTCGTGGGCACATATGCATGTGTCCTTTCTACCTCCCATGATGGTTTCCATCAGCTGCGGCTGTCGGCTCTTGGATAGAGCCCAATCGTCACCAACATCCACAGGGAGACTTGGAGAGTTAACGAGGTCAGTTCACAAACCCTCCCGTAGTCTTCAATGGTGTCCGCCGATCTCTCTTTTGTGTTGTGTACCCAGCTAATGTTTGTACCAGATGTATCCGATTTGCGCTGTACAGAATTTCAAATGTAGCACGGTAAATTCCTCCTTCAGCTCCATGCAGGACTGTAACTGGGCAACAGTCTTACACGACCAGAGACTCGGGTCGACCACCCAGAGGACAAGCAAGCAATCAGCTCCCTCCTTTGAAGCAAAGCAAGGTGTATGCAACTACTTCCTACCCCGGGATCCAATGGAACGGAATGCGCCACCACAAATTCTGACAAGAACATTTGTCCATCCCGAGACGGTGCTTGCCAACATGTTATACAAGGAAGGTTCCGCAGCGTGATACGCGATATCCAAAGATGCTTCAACGCCTGTTGTCCCATATCATACTTGTATACACTGACTCCGATCTTACCGAGGACGCACCCTATAGAGCCCTCGTCACTCGCAAACTATTGGATTACACATAACATCCGGAACCCCCGACCCCCCTCGGTACGCGAGTCGACGTTAATTGTTCACAACCGTTGCACAAGTGTGCCCGAGGTGCCTGTGCTACTATTTGGATATGAACTGCATTGCCAGGCTATGTGCGGAGTAGGTGTGTGCAGTAAATACTGTTAGCGACGGTCGTCTCGGAATTCAACTGTCTCATCTACCACATTCGGTGGAAGAATATGATATCTGACATACACTAGGATCTGGACCGCCAATGCGCCACGCAAGCCGCGATTGGACTATCTGTTGACTGTGAGTCGGAGCAGTTGTTTGGCGCCGTCTACGCCATAACAGTGGTGGAAGTGTGACGCTTTCAACCACACCGGAGAAATTTTGGAGGCTCGAGATTTCACCCCATGTAACCGCATCTTTGATGATGGCCTGCGTGTCTCCGACGTTGACAACACAATCCAACCATGACAGGCAGGGATAGGTTGTCTGGAGAACCCCTACCCTGGGCCCCATGACACAAACGTCGAGCATTGAAAGGCAAACAGTGAACAGATCGACATGAGTGGCGTGCTAGGCTTCTAGCAACCTCTCTACATGTCCACTTTTTGGTTCTTTCTCTATTTGGTTGGCCCACGAGAATCCTTGGGGGAAGCACATCGTTGTGTAAACACCGGGCGGCAATGAAACCTAGCCATGTGCTCGTAGACCCTAGGGATGCCGTTGTATCCAATGAGACACAAACAGTCAAATCCGCCCGGTGACATCGGTACGTAGCGCTCTTATGGCCATTCCAAGGAATAACAGAAACAAGAAATATGGCGGCCCATGTACTCCGTAAGCGAGTGAGGCACGTGGGTGCCACTACCATACTCCGTACATAGCTAGGCACGAAGGCACGGAACAGGTAGGTGGTGATAATGTCGAGGCTCTTGTCCTTTTGTTCGGTCAGCAGGCGGACGATATTGTGAGACTGCAGGCAACGTCTGGAGACTGTGGACAGAGAAGTCTCTGTTTCAGCCTGGAGTAGGGAACACTTACTATGACGTCCGGCCAGACGGGATGGTGATTTGTGAAAAAGTTACCGAGCAGGTATTACAAGAGCTTTGTAAACTTTTGGGTCGATGGCTAGTATTGCGAGATTGGAGATGCAGCTCCATAGTTATTTGGAAACGACCGTCACCAGTCATCAGTCACCATTGTACGTACGGAGGGGTTCGAATAGATGATAAATGAGATCCATATACAGGGATATTTGAATGCCCGGCCCTTTGCTTATCTATGCACGTGAATTATTTTCCCGTTCCCCTTGGATATTACTAGTACGTACTATCAGCGGCCCTTGCTGAAGGCCACGAAGAGGAATGATCCGGCGGCGGCAAGATGATGGCGAAGCATAAGCGTGCGCTTTTCCCGTCCTCGGTACGCGAGAAGTTGAGTATGTATACTCGGTATGCATGCAAAGCTTCAAGGAGTAGGAAGCGGCTGCAAGAAACAGACCGTGTCCTGCGCCGGGAAACTAGCACACCGCAATTATTTATTGCAACGGCCAGTTGTGGCGCGGGGAGCAGACCGGAGTTGATCACAGAAGATGATATCCCAGGATGCTTACAAATTCCGTTATAATGCGGCTTGACACAAATAAAAAGGTGGTGCCTGCGAGTGAAAATGCCCGAGGCTTGGCATGACGTCGTCCGAGTTACACGAGACGAGCACATGGGACCGGGAGCGCCTTTGAGAGTGGGAGTCTCGGACGGGCGAGAGTGCGCGCAGAAGAAAGGGAAGAGGATGAGCAAGAAGACCAAGACCAAGACGAAGCCGAAGTCGAAGCCGACGACACTGAACGACTCGGGAACTCGGTCCGCGTCTGGCCATGCGCCCCGTATGTTCTCGGGGGTCTCGCCTTGGGCGCCTGGACTGTTGTTAAGACTTTGACGCTGAATTGCAATGGACGCTGGCTGGATCGGCAGAGATGCTCGTCGACCCGTCAATGGCGGCAACAAGCACCAGGTCGAATAGCGGCGTTTCACCTCGTCGTGAACGCACGGTAACCAATGGACCCGAGAGACGAGTTTTGACGCTGGAAAGCTAATGCGCACATGGTCAGTCTGCAGACAATCTGCACAGCTGGGCAAGTCAGCTGCCATGATTTTGTCAGACCGGGTGCCGTGCTGGGTGCAGCAGCAAATGATTGTGTGCATTGTGCCGGGAAGGTCTCGGCCACGCATATGCGCCCCTTCCGCCTGGTCATGTGGTGGTATGAGTAAAAAGTCCAATCTTGTCCAATGCCACCACGCACGCGGCGAGTTGGCACGCGAATGCAAGGGAACAGAAAAGTGAAAAAGTCTTGGTGTTTGCAAGAAAAGTGGTTGGTTGGGGTGGTGTTGGCCGTCACGCACGGCGGAGCCACAACCGAGCCACAACCGAGCCACAGCCGAGCACTGGTCTGGTCTGGTGACTGGTGTGACCTGGCATCATCTGGCATCAATAATCGAACCCATCATGATCGACATCGGCGAGATAGCGCAGCGGTACGGAGTACATGCAGCAGGCCAGGGGGGGCAGCAGGTGCCACACGTCAACTGGTCTGGTGGGCTTCCAGTTGAATGTATGTTGGGCCGAGATGCGTTTCTGGCCCTCACGAGTCACCATGACGACATGCGCTGACATTGAACTCAAGATTCAAGGCGTGCCGCGGGCCGTGGCCCAACGTTGCAGCTGGCTTGAAGACATACACGGCTGGTGCTGTGGCATGCATTCAACACAACAACCACCAAGTTACTGTTACCGTCTAGTTACTAGTGGTTGTCATGCAGAGTGCTGGTGCTGTCGATCGAGGTCGGCCAGAGCAGACCTGACTCTGACTGACTTGGACTTGCTGGACGTTGCGAACGTTGCGCCAACTCCCGTCCGACATTGGGCCGTGGGGTGCATCAAGCACAGCACGTCACTGCATCACAACATCACTGCATCACGGCATCACTGCATCACGGCATCACGGCATCACGGCAGATGTTGAGGTCCTCAAATGTCAACTGGTCAGTCTCTCGAGGGACTTTTCATGTTGTCGCTACCGGGTGCTTGACCGACCGGGGCCCCCAAGTGCTGTCTACAGCTGTCCACAGCCGTCTGGCCAACCCGAACGGGCCGGCCTTGCCCCACGTCATGTCACTCCCGCCCTACACGTATCTGGCTGGCAAATCCAACCGCATCCTCCGAAAACATTGCATGCAACCACGGTGAAGCTGGTACCACAATAATCGGCCAACGCAACCACCCGACACATCTTGCCTCAGGGACGGAAAAGGAAAAAAGTGAGAAAAAAGGTAAAAAAAATATTATTATTATTTGGCACAGGCTTGTAGCGGTCTAAACTGCACCGACTTCCGTTGTCACCCGAGCTTCATCCGAGTATTGCCGAGCCGTCTTTGTCGACATGGCTGGCAAGAAGGGCGAGAACCCTAAAAAGGTCGCTGGCAACGCTCGCAAGGCCGAGGCTGCTGCGCAAAAGGCCGCAGCTGCCGACGCCAGAGTGGAAGCTGAGGAAGCCGAAAAATGGCAGAAGGGAAGCAAGAGCAACGCAAAAAAGTACGTGTGGTCAAACATGACGCATCAGTAAAACCCTGCGCCTAAATGCTAACCATGATCTATCTTCGTCAGGGAAGCCGAGGCCGTCAAGAGGGCTGAACAGGCCGCCAAGAAGGCTGAGAAGGATGCTCTTCTCAAGGAGGAGGAAGCTAGCCTCGGCGGACGAGCCGAGCCCAAGAAAGCAAAGGCGCCTGTCAAGAAGTCTCGTGGCTTGGATCTCTCCCAGCTCGACGGCGATTCACCTTCAGCACTGAGCGCTTCCGGTATCGACAATGCGCTCGACGCCCTGTCACTGGCGACTGGTGCCGACGACACCAAGATTGACAAGCACCCCGAGAAGAGATTTGCTGCTGCATATGCCAAGTACGAGGAGCGGAGACTCGCCGAGATGAAGGCAGATGGCAGTGGCGTTGGCTTGCGCCTGGAGCAGCGCAAGCAGAGGATTAGGAAGGAATTCGACAAGAGCCCCGAGAATCCCTTTAACCAGGTTACTGCTGCTTACAACGCCACGCGCGACGACATGGACCAAGTAAAGGCTCATGAAAATTCCAAGATTGAGAAGCGCTTGGGTCACTAATCCACTCAGCGTGGAGAAAGTCATAGTGAACTTGGGTGGCAAGGAAAAAGCCGGTGGGCATTATCGATTTAACGACTTTTATTCATGTTTATCTCATGTAGAGGAAATATTCCCTCCCGAACCAGTAGCCAAAGAGAGGAAGCTCACGCGCCTGGCCCGAATCACCCCGTCATGTTGAAGCCTCATCCAGCCAAAATACGTCTGGTTTGCCCCGCCATGACTCCGCCCCCCGAGTCCTAAGCCCCGCGATGATGTCGCTCGGCCGTTCCAACCGGCAGAATCCCTCACCGCTCGACACACCGCCCAATCCAGACGGGCTTCCCGGCCCGTCGTGCGGTTTGTCTCCCGAGTCCCGAGTCCCTCCTCCTCCTTGGGCCCCTACAGACCTCATCCCTTTCTGCTCCCGGGCAGCGCGACGGGTGTGACAGATGCAGTGAGGATGGCTCACCCGGGTGACCTTCCTTCATTACGCGTACAACATTTACTATCCGAATTGTTGGTCAGGACCGGTCTGTGCGACACCTCAAACGACGACTGACTGGGTGTGTTTATTTAGCACTGGCTTGAAGCAAGCGTGTCCCGAAGGCGTTTTTCTTAGCCTGACCCCCGGAGACCCGACGCTGTGGTCAGCAGTCCTATTTGTTCGCCATGGTTAGTATCACCACGGACCGAAACTGCGTGTTAGTCGTGGCAACGAGACGAATTAATGATTTGGATGCAGGACCGTACGCGCCGGCCGTTCTACGGTTCCAGATCTCCTTTCCAGACACATACCCGAAACTTGCGCCCCTGATTCTATTCTCGACCGACATATTCCACCCGCTAATTACCCCTCTCACGACATACATGTACACAAAGGATGCTCCAGATAAGGGCTCTGGCAATGCCACCAAACAGGAACGACTACCGCCTGGCGCATTCAGCTTGAGGCATGGCTTCCCAGAGTGGTTTGGCCGTGGGAACAGTGGTGAGTCTGGGAGAAGGCTGGCGAGCGGCGAAAGACGTCTTAACTCGGGGTCTGACGGGACCGGCGCACCGCCCGAGGATGGTGTCGTATCGCCGCTGCCATCCCACGCAAGCGCTTCAGACGACTGCAGCCAGACCTGCAAACCAAACATGTCTACCTACAGTATTTTGAAGTATATTCGCAGCACGTTTGATACCCCGGAAGTCCTCGACATGGTCTCTCTAGAAGCTTCTGGAAATCCTGGAGCATGGCATGCGTGGCGCGCGCATAGACGGAAACATGGCCAACTCGCGGAGCAGAAGCTCGGCAGTGGCCACAGTTTCGACGCCGGTAGTGTCCAAAATAGCTCTCCTAAAAAGACAGATGACCCAGCTCCATCACCCACGACAGCTACGGGGCGGCAGCCTGGTCAGTGGAATTGGGATGGGGTGTGGGAGGACAGAGTGCAAAAGGGAGTTGCGGCCAGTCTTTCTGAACCCCTGTTGTACGGAGGATTAGGCGTGCCTGATGAGATGGTGAGAAAACGACACCATCAACCGAGCGAGCGCAAGCTGACAAGACGCATGCAGATTCACTTTCTCGCAATGGAAGAGACGGATGTGGAGTCTGTGAAGGATAATATTCGTCGTACGCTCGGCAGTGCTACATGAGTACTTGATTCCTGCTTGCCTGAACATTTTATAGAGAGCATAGTCCTAGCGGTTCTCGTTGATACCGAACTGAAGCCGGCGGCTGGAAATATCATCACCTGGACGCCTCGCTCCTCATATTCTGCTTCCATTCTGCCGCCGATTTTCATATATATTCGAGGGAGTGCTGTGGGCGCATGATAAAACCATGTCGAGGCAACCACGCGCTCAACTTTGGGCGTACCCGCGGTTTCTTGGTCGCTCTTTCCACGGCCTTGCTTGTTGCCGTTCCTTTTGTGCAGCGGAGAATTCCTCGTCTGAGCATCGATCTGTCTTGGCTTCTGAAACGCATCTTCGTTTGGCAAATGCCTTGGCCACTTCTTCTACTTATTGCAGGCAAATATTGCCCGGCCGCTACACATAACTAGAATGGCATCTTACCATGAACAGCATATTGAAGGACGCCCGAAAGCTAAGCGGGATAGGCCAAGTCCTTTGCGTATTGTTAAGCGATGTCGAGGCAACGACTATGACTTGGCCAATCCAAGGCTTGCAGTAGACGAAAGCGACAGCGATGTGTCCAGTATAACGGACAGAACAAAACGTTTGCACATCTTCAAAAGACGTGTACAACGTCAGAGCCCGACTGGACGGGCTTTTTGGGCCAGCTCGGCGGAACTGAGACAGGCGCAGACTCGATCCTGGGAGGATGCCGTCGCCAGATGCCGAGGACTATGGAGGAAGTCGACCCCAAATATCAGAAACTACAAGCGATACTTGACCATTGGCCGCTCAACTTGCTCACAAACAGAGTCAAGTGGGCGACTATCGTCAATGGGCTCCTCCCAACCAGGGGAGGGTACCGACTGTTATCGATTATCATCGACATCATCGCCTGAAATGGAGTCGAAAACGACGGACGACGACGGTAATCTTCGACCGTATTGTCAATCTGACCAAGTTCCCCAGTCGCAGGCACCCGGGACCGCCTCCAACGGGCCAAGCCCACGGCAGCTGTCCCAAAATACGAGAACGTACATATTATCGCCTTGTATCATTGCTATTCCACAGCAAGTGGAGCTGGATGGATCCGAAAACAGTGTTTGGGTTGCGGTAGAAATATCTGGAAAACTGTCTCAGATATCACCGGCCAAGACAACTGCACCTAATGGGACACAAAATGACATGGCGGCTGGAACGTATGTCAGCCACAAACTGGGTGCGTTTGTAGTCTGTTTGCGTTTGACTCTGCATTTTGGAAACAGCTGCTTATCTCGTTGACAGATCGGTTCTTTGACTTTGGATGTCTGTATGATTTGACCGTGGAGGTGTCGGCGGTACCGGGGACTGCTATTTTGGAAGTTGTGCATGAACAGTCTTGGCCCACGTCTGTCGCCCAGCCGCCGTGAGCCTCGCTATATATACAAAGACGCATATCACTGACGCTTTCTAGGACTATTTATGCTGGAACCAGCGTGCTGATTGTGGTTCACGTCCAGCTACATGCGACGGCAGGAAGATGCGAGGTTGGACACACCCGGTCAAGGTCTAATGAGCTCATGGAGGAATTGGAGCTCCAGCTGGGCAATGTTCAAAAGAAACTGATGAACATTCGAGTATCATACCATCACTCGGCTTTTCCAGAGATCACGAATGTGGAGTTGCCACAAAGTGGCCTTTGCCACCTCCAAAGTCGCATGGACACGGCAGCCACGGCAGCTGTTCAGCAGAAATCCGGAGGCTCTGTTTGGTCACCAGGAAGCAAGACATTGCAGAATAGCCTATTTCCTCTCATGGTGCAACATTGGGGAGATGAAAAGGCAATCAGCACGCAGCGGCGCATCACAGATTCTCAGGTTACACGCGCCAAGGACAGTGGGCGCGAAGTCGCTTCCGCTGCAACCCCCACAGGTCGAGAAGCTGCTCGCATGAGATTCGACTTTGACCTGGATTCTCTTTATGAGTCGCCCGAGCTTCAACGCTACCTGCTTGACGGCAATTCTATAGGGTCTCCCCGTACGAATTGCGGCTCCGAAGGTCGATGCGTACGATCCGTGGACGAGCCGCAAGAGGCGACGGGACCGAGTTCGACAACTCCAGCTCGCGAGATGTACTATTTTGGAGAAAGAGCATTACGAGCACTGGCTCCGACTCCAGCTTCGGAAAAGAATGCGATTCGAAAATACCTGGCCACGAACCAACGGCCAGGTCTAGGGGTTAAGCACAAGGACTCCAAATTCTGGGACTGGGGATCATGGTTTTAGACGCAACTCGCAACAGTAGATTTAGAGGCAAGCCCAGGCGTCAAGATTGAAACACTTTGTGCCCCTCCACCCCTTGGGTCTTTTTTTTTTTTTAAAAAAAAAGGAGGGAAAACATAGAGAGACGGAGAGAGAGAGAGAAGAGAGAGAGAGATGGTCTATTGCAGCTCGTCCTTCCAGGGAATAGATGTTTGAGCACCTTTCCTAGACACCGTGATGGCCGATGCTCTGTTCGCCGCCTTGACGGCAGCGTCAATGTCGAACTGGCCGTCGCCCGCGTTCACGACGGACAGCGCATACGACCCAACGAACGTATCGCCAGCAGCAGTGGTATCAACGACATTCGCCTTGAGCGCAGGCACCAGCCCCTTGTTGCCACCCCGGTCAGCATAGTAGACGCCGCGGCCGCCGAGGGTAATGACGACATTGGACACGCCCCGGTCGAGGAAGATGCCGCCCACGGCGTCCAGGCCAGACGCATGGGCGAGCTCGGACTCGGGCCGGCCGGAGAGGATCGAAGCCTCCGTCTCGTTGACAACCAGGTGCGCCAGGCCGCGGTAGGCGCTGGCGGGGAGCGGCTGCGCCGGCGCAGGGTTCAGCAGGACGGGGACGCCGTCGGCCGCGGCCGCGCGCATAGCCTGGACGACCGTGTCGAGCGGCACCTCGAGCTGCACGACGAGCAGGTCGGGCCTCGGGGCGGGCAGGCGCTCAAAGTCGCGCGGCGCGAGGCTGTGGTTGGACTCGGGCGACAGGATGATGCGGTTCTGGCCCGAGGCCTCGTCGACGACGACGACGGCGACGCCCGTCCTGCCGCCGCGCCGGACCGCCACGGCCGAGGCGTCGACGCCGTACGAGGCGAGGCTGTCGCGGAGCGTGGTGCCGTGCTCGTCGGCGCCGACGGCGCCCACCATGGCCACGTCCGCCGAGGCCGAGGCCGCGGACAGGTCGCTCGCGCGGGAGAGCTTGGCGCACGCCACGGCCTGGTTGGCGCCCTTGCCGCCGGGCGAGGTGGCGAAGTGCGTCGCCGTCAGCGTCTCGCCGGGCAGCGGGTGGTGAGGCACGTAGCTGACGAGGTCGATGTTGAGGGAGCCGAGGACGGTGATGCGCGGCCGGCGGGGGGGTGCCATGGCCGCGGCCTTTCTCGCGAGGCGCGAACGGGATGGGAAAGGAGAGAAAGGATGAGGAGGAGCACGGACGGAGCTGGCGAGTGGCACTGAGTGCTGTGCGAGGGTGGGAAACGGCGACGATTTGACTTTGTTGTTTCTGCGCGGAGCTGGTGCAGGGTCCCGCGTCGTTTTCGTCGGGTGCAGCCGTCGCGGTGGGGCGCCGGCGGTTGACTAAAGTTGGCTGTTTGGTCCAGGTGTTGGTAGGACTTGCCCAACGACCATTACAAGGGCACCGAGGGAGTGGATGTATAGCCCTTCCCCCACTTTTTTTCCATTCTTTTTTTTTCCCATTCTTTTTCCTGGTTTATTTGTTCCTCCCAGTTGCGAGGTGAGGCCTTGTCAATGCTTTTTTTCCCCAAGGCACCTACCAACATACTTGGCTGCGTGCGTTGCTGGCTTTTGTGCAAAACCATCTCACCATGTATCACGAGCGCCACGACCTGCCAAACTCCGTACGGAGTACAATGCTTCAAATCGACGCTCTGCAAATCAGCAAATGGTCCAAGACAATGTTGTCATTGGTGCTCGCCCCCCCATAGACAGCCCTTGAGATAGCCCCTGAGACAGCCCTTTCGGCCCGCGCCTCAGCGCAGACAATCATGTAAGAATCAATAGCTTTGCCCGTCCAACAGCTTGACCGCAGCCGGTCATCGAGGGGCTAGGGTCCCGCAAAGCACCACGTCTTCTCCCAGCGGGTGCCATGCCACGTTGGACAATCTAGCCGCCGCTTGGGGCGTTCCCTCGGCATCGCACACTCTGCCCGGTGAGACCACGACGCCTCCTTTTCCAAGCCAGGTTGGCGCAATTGTCACAATGACCGAGTCAACGAGATGGTGGCATGTTGGATCCAGTAACGAGTTGATGACCTGCCCGCCCCCTTCAACCATGATGCTTGTGAGACCTTCGGAAAGCACGCGCTGAAAGACGTCGTTCCAGTCAAAACGTATCCTGTCCCTGCTGCACGTGTCTGGTGCGATGTGAATGTATTTCCCGCCGTGCTGCTGTAACAGACGGGCTGGTTCCGGGGGTATCTCGGCTTCGGACAGACCAGTCAGAATGAAGGGTGCGAGGCCAGCGCCGGACCGGCAGACCTCGAATACTTGATCCGTCGAGCGGGGCGTCCATCTGAGGCGCGGGTCAATGACTATTGGGCGCGGTTGGGATGCTGAGCCGTGGAGGCGGCAGCTCAGACCGGGGTCGTCGGCGAGCACGGTCGAGACGCCGACGAGGATGGCGGCGTGTCGAGACCGCAGGTAGTGAGTCATGGCCTTGGAGCCCGGCCCGGAGAGGTGCGTGCGGACGCCTGGCGCGAGAGACAGCGCCGAGTCGAGAGACGTGGCGAATGTCAGCGTCACGAAGGGTCGTTTGGGCGCTGGCCCATCTCGGGGTGGGAGGTGACGTTCGAGAGATGCCGCTGCGGGCGCGGGAAAGGTGAGCGTTTCTGCCATGGGAGCGCTTGGCACCTCCTGCATTCTTTCACGCTTTTGTGAAGAAAGAGAGGGAGCCGGGCGGGCAAACTCGTCGGGGAGGACCAAGGCTGAAGACGGCTCGCAATCCGTCCGTGAGGGAAAAGGGAAGGGTTTGATCCGAAGTCGAGGTGGAAAGAAAGGTGACGTCTCCACTTGGCCTTGTCCCGGCCGGGCCCATGATTTCAGAGGATTACATTTCATATACGTACCATTTTTTGTCGCCAGCCTAGTAATGGAGAGAGTGTGCCCGCATCTTGCCCGGGTCTCCAATATCGACGATGAACTAAATCTTAATCTGCCTTGCCCTGACTTGGGGCCTTGCGTGGGGAGGTATCGAGTACCTGCCCGGGCACCAGTCTGATGCTCTCCCGAGTCCCCATCGACGATGACGACTGGTCAAACAAACGACGCCTCCCCAAGCAGAGCCTACCTGGCACAATCATCGTTCAGATCAATACGCAACTGGCTTCTTTCAGCTCCCCCGTAATATGCTCGAGGCAAAGAATTCCTTGTCGTGGCTGGCGGGACACACCAGTCACGTCACCGCCGGCAGTGCTCCTCCGTCTTCCCACTTGCCACCGGATTTCCGTCATCATCAAACTCGGCCCATTGGAAAAACGAGCATCCATCTTTCCCGGGGACATTTCCTGCGTGACACATCCAAAAGTATTTTCCAAAATTCTCCTTCTTCTTCTGCACTACCCTCAGCACGCAAGGCACCTTGCACGTGCACCTCGGTGTGTACCTGGGATGCATCCTCTGCCTGTAGTCCCTGTACGTGATGTTGATCCGTTTGTTCCCTGAAATCGGGTGCGGATCGATGGAGAGCGCCGGCGTCACACAGTGTTTCCACTCCTCTTGCATCTCGGCATGCATCACCAGAAGCGAGTTGTGTGGAAGGTGTATGGATATCTGGCCCCCCGCGTCAGACCGCTCCGCAGAAGACCTCGCATCGCCGTCGGTCGGCAACACTCTCCGGACGCGGAATTCGCGTGCGACCCCGAGCGAGATGGATCCAATGACGGCCCGCGGGCCTAGGTACGTGAGCTGATCGCTGTGCCAGCCGACGCTCTGCTGTGCGCCGTCGTAGCAGTTTACAAAAGCAGAGTTGGGGACCCACGAACCGGGCGACTGGTGTCTAAGCTTCTTGCCGTCGGGATATCGGGTCTCGACCCGGTGCTGGACTTCTTTGTTCACGGCGGCTTGTACCATGGGTTTCACCTTGGCGAGCTGCGGTGTGATGCGCCGCACGTCCTGCAAACCGCGTCAGCTTAGTGCCACGGGCGGATTCGGCTCGTCTCGGCGTGACCACGGGCTCGTCACGCATCGCCTCCTGTCGCTCGCTTACCGTCAGCTGGGACCCGTTGTAGTAGTATTCCGACATTTGCGCCATCATCTCTTCGTAGCTCTCCACAAAGAAACCCGACGTGTGCGGGCTCGACACGACATTGTCAAATAACTTGAATGTGCCTTTCTCAAACGAGTCGGCTTCTTTCAACAGTTCGCGCAGGAGAGAATTCGCATCCTCGGCGGGGAGAAAATTGTGCATTATAGTGCACGGCGTATGCTCTGCCACGTCCTCGGGGTCGTATAAATGCAACGTGCTGCCCTTGGTCGATTTGACCTTCTTCTTCGTCGGCCACGTAGCATGCCCTCTGGTGTACTGCTTCAGCGACTTTTGACGGCCTATCACGGCACTCTTCTTCGGACATTGCTGGTGTTTGCTGGATTGGAGCGCCTCAGACGCCCGGCTGACTGAACCGTCATGGGCGAGGAGAAAATCGAGCAGAGCCTCTTGGTCCACCTCCGGATGCAGAGAGCACAGGAGCACAAGCTTGACCTCTGTCGGCTCGTCGTCGTCCGTGACGCGTTTCGGCTCTGGGCTAGGCTTTCGCTTTGGCTGCGTGAGGAATGACTCCATGGCACCTGTGTGCTTGCTGCAAGATTGCGCGGCGAGCGGATGTTGGAGAGACGCTTTCCCAGTGGCGTGTGGAGGTTAGAAAATCGTATGAGCCCTCCGAGATTATCTAGTTGCATTTGAATCTCGGCTTGTTGACCGATTGCTGTTGCCTTTGATGTACGGAAATGTACGGACCAACGTGGGTGATTGATGCGCCGTGACGCGGTTCAGGGCGCCGACTGGCGACGCGACATCATGTGACTGGTTGCAGTCAATTTAGGCGACGGGCAACCCTAACCCTTGGCATCTTCATCACTTCCGACCGCCATCAGAGCCTGTCAGTTGTAATAGGAGCATCTACCTCGGTAGACGGGTGAGATGCTTCCAGCTTCTTGACCCAAGAAGCACGCACTGACCCCAGCGACGGTTGACTCGCGGCATCTATATTGCCTCTGGATTCGGCGGTCGAGTCTCATGGATTCGTCGATGTAGTCAGTCTCTGTGGCCTTGCCAGAAAGTCGACGGTGAATCTGGCAGGGTCCTCAATGGACGCAGCGGGATCCAAAACGAACCCCCCCAAGATTTCAATTCTTCAGGGATCAAGCCTTCGAGCACATCTCCTTTCATCAACGCCCCGTATAGTTCCAAAGATGGTTTTGCTCGGATCGGAGACGCGAACCTTGAACAGCCGTTTCAGCGGGCAACAAGACACTTGGCGGCATCATGAAAATTTGTGACTGCATATTGGTCGAGGTCGATGGTCCCATGACCCAGGGCTGCCACCACACGGGCTGGACTTCCAAGGACTGGACGTTCGATGACTGTTTGCCAGTGCTGGTACGCAGGATGGTGGAAAGAAAGTCTGCTCTATCGCAAATCACTCGTTGCAAGGTGGCCGTTTGGGAGGCAACCAGAGGAATAAGAGCAATGGAGTCGCCAAATATTGAACATGGCGACACATGAGTGCCACGTTCCTCGAATAACCGCCGCATACTCGGCTTTCATATAGATAGCCCACGGTTATGTGGGCTACAGAGGAGCCGAGATGAAGCTTCGTTTCGCAATCTGGCAGCATCACCAGTGTCGATTGCTCCTCGTCGACCGCCTTGTATTGGTATAAATTGCAACACACGAGCGAGATTTTACACTGCAAGTGGAAAGTGGAAAGAGAAGGAGAGAGACTATCTGACATATACAGCAGAAGTCATGTCAATGAAGCAAAGCTCGTTGAGTTCCCGCGTGAAGATATGATATGACATCAGCCTCTTTCTCACAGTACCCAAACTCAAGAGCTGGCTAAATCATTCGTAGGCGACAGGATCAGGAGCAATGGAGAACATCTCCCATCACACCCCAGTAAACAGCTGAGCGCCCTGCTTCTGCGGCGTGCCGCCGTAAATACCATACAAACCCTTCAAATATGTTCTAGTCGCACTTAACCACGGCTTGGTGCCTGCGGTCGCCTGGCACACATCGCCACAAACCAAGTGATTCTTGCCACCCCAGATGACAAATCCATCCATCTCCTGATTTTCAGTCAACACATCAAGCTGGTTCTTCCACAACTCAACAGGGTAGAAAGAATGAGGAGATTCGTGATACTGCGGCCAAATGAAGGGGTATACGGGCAGCGAGGCATCGATAGCCTTGACCTTGGCAAGAACGCTATTGAGTGACGTTTGCCAAGTAGCGAGACTGCTGGAGAATGTGTAGGCTGACGGGAAGAAGGCGTGGGCGCTATAGTTGGCGATGAGTCTCTGGTAGTGTCCGTATAAAGAGGCGGCTGTGTTGCCGGAGAGGCCGTACCACCCAATGATTTGACGGCTCGGGAGAACTTGAGCGGCCCAGGTTTGCAGCGTCTTCATGACTTCCAGGTTGTGGTCGGCGGTGGATGGCGAGTTGAGATAAATGTTCTCGCAGTCCAGTACGAGGGGATAGCCTGGGTAGATGTTCCATTGTAGCACGACGGACTGCCATGTGTCTGCGGAGGGGATGGCGTTGTGGGCGACGAGGGGGCTACAGACATAGTTGGGGATCCAATTGATGTTGGATGTGCCGTAGCCGACGGACGTGTTGGTGTAGGCGGTACTGTCAAAGACACGGAAGTTGCTGGCGCTGATGGCAGGGCCGAGGAGAGAAGACACCGTCAAGGTTTTGGCGAGCATCGTCGTTGAAGCTTCCACTGCGGATGACGGGGTTGCAAGCGGCAATGGCCGTACAGTTCAATCCAAGCGAGTATGCGAGAAGAACGGCCTGGCCAGGTAAATGGCATTTCGAGAGCCACTCTCCACAGCATCAGGGCGGCCAAGATACCGGCAGTCGCAGACCCAAACGCAATGGCATGATGCTGCAGAGGAGGTCTTTGGCCAGATCGGGGACGAGATCCGCTACGCTACGCCTTCGACGTTCCCAACGAGGAAGCCGCGAGGGTTGCGACTGCCCGTCCCGCACCATCGTCTAGAGAATATTGCGTCTTGTCGCGCTACTCCGTACTTGGCGTGCTCGCAGACGAGACGTGTTTTCAATCCTTTCCGCCCGCCTGCGAAGGGCGTAGTCTCGGTCATGCCTCCATCCTCTGCATCCTCCCTATCCTCCCTGTGCCTGTTCGACCTGGCCCAGGATCCATTGATGGAGGATGGCACGATATGTGCCTGCGAAAATGGAGTCCTGGAGCTGGGTGGTGTTGTGTGTTTGCCGCAAAAAGCAAGCCTCGCCCCGTTTTGCTCGTACGCTGGTCAATGTACTAACGCTGGGCAGGTGAAATGCCATCGACGTGCTGGTAACTACTCTTGCATCGTGGATCGATCGAATCAGGCGAATCCGCAACTTCTTATCCATTACCAGACCCAAACGCAGTCATGGCCCGACTACTTCAAGGGCACGGGAGGCGAGTGCAGACGTCGCAATGCGTCTTGAATGGTCGCGGTGGTGTCAGGACTCGGGACTCACGACACGCTTCTTCGGTACCAGAGTAATGAATGTAATGGCCCTTGGGAGTTGCAGATGCCAATGCTAGAGTCGACGAGGTGTACCACGTTTGGGTCGGCTGGGTATCGCCTGAGGCTTCGTCGAGAGATGACGGGATGCAGTGCCAGTGACAGCTCAACGTGGAGGCCACCAATTGATCCCTTGTCCCCCTCCTCCGCCCCAAGGAACCCGACGATGGAGATTGACCTCCCCGCCATTTAGTCACATTACCGAGGCACATGGCAACCTAGCAACCTCCAATCCAAGCCAATGCTCCATCGCCTGCCCAAGAACTCGACCAGAACACACAGCAACACTTTCTTCTCGCCTAATCAATCAGCCGACTCCCGTCCCAAACAGATATCAATGCGCTCAGACGCGGCCGCCGTCACAAATCACAATGGCGGCCATGCTTGAGTTCCGCACCCAAGGGTACAACCCGTACGCAGTCAAGTACTCGCCCTACTACGATTCGCGCATAGCTGTTGCGACCTCAGCAAACTTTGGCATTGTCGGCAACGGAAGGGTCTTCGCCCTGGGGCTCACGGCGCAAGGTGTCCAGGTGGAGAAGACGTATGTTTGCGCCCAGCTGCCACCGCCGCGAGGCCCTGTCCTCATTTGCCACGAGACTGGCTGAATATATAGCAAAACAGGTTCGATACGAACGATGCATTGTACGACTTGGCCTGGTCTGAAATCAACGAGAGCCAATTAGTCGTGGCCGGCGGCGACGGCTCACTGAAGCTCTTCGACCTGAGCGTCAACGAGTTCCCCATCATGAACTTCCACGAACACAAGCGCGAGGCATTCTCTGTCTGCTGGAACCCCGTCACAAAAGATACATTCATCTCAAGTTCCTGGGATGGCACCGTCAAAATCGTCAGCAACGGCCCCTTCTTTCGCCCCCGAAAATTCAAGACATATTCCTTCCATACTAACCGCCTAATTCCTAGTGGTCACCAACACGTCCACATTCGCTCAAGACCCTCCCCATCGGGAACTGCACCTACAGCACATCCTTCTGCCCGTCCAACCCGGCCCTGATATCAGCCGTCTCATCAGACTCGCACCTCCGAATCTTCGACCTGCGCACCCCTACCTCGGCCAAGTACCACCTCGTGTCCACGGTCCCCGTCCACGCCGCAGGCTCCCAGCCCGGCGTCAACCCGGGCCTTGCAGCCGGCAGCCCGCCCGCCGAGGTCCTCACGCACGACTGGAACAAGTATAACGACACGGTCGTTGCCACCGGCGGCGTCGACCGCATCATCCGCACCTTTGACATTCGCAACCCCACAAGCGGTCCGCTAACCCTGATGCACGGTCATGAATATGCCATTCGACGACTGGCGTGGAGTCCGCATGCGAGCGACCTTCTCATTAGTGGGAGCTATGACATGACGGTGCGCTTGTGGAATGACGGGTCTGCTCTGCCTTCAGGACCCTTGGCCGGGGCCAAGCCAGGTCACCAGCTGGGTGTCATGAATAGGCATACGGAGTTTGTGACGGGTGTTGACTGGTGTTTGTTCGGTGCAGGCGGCTGGGTCGCATCCGTTGGTTGGGACGAGAGGGTGTTGCTTTGGGATTCGAATATGTTGATGGGTCCAGGTTCGGGCCTGAGATGAAAGACGCGGGGAGTACAGATGGACCGTCCACATGGGGCACCGCATGATTCATAGACTTGGCGTTTGTAAGAATGTTGGTTTTGTGCATGCATCTATACAGCGTGACCACAAAGGCGCTGGAGGAGGCGTTCTGGCTGCAGATATGTTACATGATATCAATTCAAAACGGCATGTATTTACGTCCCTTGCGAGGTTCATCATATTTAGCTTCAAAACAGAAATTGAGGTACTGACTACTTCTCTATTAATCGTTGGGGAGATTGGAACTTCCTGAACACCGCCTTTTTTGTGTGTGTTTTGCTCCTGACCCGGTGTCATGCACCGCACCGTCCGTAGTGGTACCGTACATAATGTCTCTTCCAATTTTCATTTGTTTCTTACATACCTGGTACATCCCATAATAGTAATACAAGATTTGTCTCTGAAGTGGACAGTGTCTCGGGACCGAACCGTTTTAGATTCCAGTTCCTGAGCATTGCGGTAACCGTCCTAGAAAGACGTTTCCCTAGACTCCCTAGATCCTCTGAATCTGCTGGATTCTCGAGACCCTCGGGACCCTCGGGACCCTCGCGACCCTCGCGACCCTCGGAAGCCTCTTGATCCCCTATCACGGTTGTCGCGACCAAACCCTGCGTCATCTCGCCGAGCACGACGCCCCATTTCAGTGAAAGGGTCAGACGAGCTATAGTCGTCGAAGCGACGAGGTCCCCTGCGTTCATCGCGTCCAGGTCCGTCATCTTGGCGTGCGGCGTTGTCCTGGATGTTCAATCCAGAATGAAGGAGGCCTTGGTTGCGGGCCCAAGCATGTGAGACCGGTGGTGGTTCGCTCAATCCCAATCCAGTGGTGGCCCAAAGGTTCAGGTCGTCAACCAGCTCTTCCCGTTGCTGAGTGGAGTTTCCAAAGATTGACGTATAAGCAGAGCCTAGCCTGCTTCGTGACATAGATTGAGCGAGATCCCGAGTCTCTTGGTGGTACTTTGGTAGTTCCTCGACACCTTCCCCTGCATCAAAATTGAAACTCTCCAGCGTTTTGTTCGGCTGCAGCGGGAGACCACGCAAGAGCCTTCTTGCGCTTCCCATCGATGTCGGTGGGAGAAAAAGCCAGCCTTCGCCACCCTTGTTTTGTCGAGCTGTACGGCCCAGTCGATGAATATACGATTCACGGTCGCGGGGGGTGTCTACTTGAATAACGTGCGTAACGTTGGGGAAGTCCATTCCACGAGCAGTGACATCAGATGAAAACAAAACGCCACTTCTCGCATGTCGGAACATATCAGCAGCCTTTGTCCGCTGGTTCTGACTGAGCTGAGACTGAATAGAAAAAGTGGGGATTCTCATGAGTTTGTTTCTTCTTCGGTGATAACCAAGGTCGGCCCCCATTTCAACGAGGGCAGTGGTGTTAAAATAAACAATGGCCTTGAAAGGGGGTAAACTGCGATCCTCAGCCGTCTTAGCGGATTCTCGGTCGATGAGTTCAAACAAGCTGGGGAAAACGTTGTTCCATGAAGTCAATGGGACGACATGCTGTGGCACTCGATCGTGGGTAAGCGACTCATTCTCTGAGATGGTCTGGACAAATTCAAAGTCATCGGGTCGGACCATCGTACGGGCAAGTCTAATGACATCGTCCGGTATGGTAGCCGAAACCAGCATGGTCTGGCGAGTTTTTTCGTGGCGGTTTGGAAGACAGCGGGTGATCTCTCCGAGTTCCTTTTCGAAACCCACATCGAGCATGCGATCGGCTTCATCTAGAACAAGAGCGGCCAAATTTGGTGCGTCGATGCCACTTTGAGGATCCTGCAGCAAATCATTCAAGCGGCCTGGCGTAGCAACCAACAAATGGCATCCTTGACGCTGCGTCTGACGCAGCATGGAAGCCTTGTGAGTGCCTCCGACAGCTGATTGAACGACCAGGCCAGTGTACTTTGTCAGGCGACGAGCTTCGGTCGCAATTTGCTCGGCGAGCTCTCGCGTCGGCGACAGAACAATACCGCGAATATCATCCGATCTGGCACTTCTCGAGGCGCGTCTTGTAGCCAGAGTCGGGTCTTCTTCGATCATACGCTGAAGCAAGGGGAGAAGGAAAGCCAAGGTCTTTCCTGTCCCCGTCTTGGCTTGGGCAACGCTGTGTCAAGTTAGCACGGAGTGGCAACATTCCTGATGGCTGGTCTAGCTAGGTACTTACATATCTGTTCCCTTTAGAGCCGGGGTGATGGTTTTGGCCTGGACCGGTGTCATAGCCTCATATTGCATGTCCTTGGTGATTGCGTCCAGGAGATTTTTGTGGACTCCAGCGTGCGACAAGTCGGCAAAGTTGACGACGTCCCCTGGAACAGTCTCCTCGACAGGCTTCGTCTCAACAGCTGCGGCTTCGACTTCAGAGCCATAGAATCTGCAAGCGTACGGGAAACTTTTCAAGGTAGCATGAGTTGGTGCCAAAGATGCTACGTTTGTCTGTGCAAAGGGGGTAGCCGTCCAGCTGCGCAAGACGACGGACCGCGCAATAGTGCTGCTGAGGCCAGCACAACGGCGAAAGCCTTGTCTTAGCATAATGTCAGCTTTCTCTGCGGACGGAAAACAAAATATTGATATGAAAGACCCCTAGCGTTCAGGATTGTGAAGGTTGAGAAGGGCAGCAGAGCGATGAAGGGCATCAGAATATCTGGGCTCCCTCAGCCTGCAGAACTTTTTTTTCTGCTCTTGCCGTACCAGAGTGCCCACCAGCCAATCAGATCGATCTAAACCCCGTACCCTTGTTCCCGCGGCCCCCACTCTCCTCCCCACTGTTCTTTCCCCAACTAAACCTGAAAAGGAAAAAAATCAAATTTGTACTGGCGGTAGTTAAATGAAGAATGGAATAAAACAAAATAAGTGCTGCGAGATTTAGTCTCCAGAGTCGCCTCGTCACATATCTTTCCTCCAATTTGTTGTCTGTTTGCTCATCCCATTAAGTAAAGTCCTCCACGATCAGACTCCACCTCACGTAAAAGTATCTGCCACTGCATAAACTATGGTTTTCAAAGGGAAGGTTTATTTCCGGTTTACTAATACGTATATTCTCACAAAGATACCAAGTCCAGAGGATATTGCCTCTCGGGCACCGCCGACTTCTACGACTAGTATTCTTTCCAGCGAGCAGGGCTTCACGCAGCATCCAACGCTTTGCTAGCCAGGAAAGGAGAATGTGCTGCTCCATCGCCGCGGGTATCGATATCAAACGCCAGCTTGGTAAACTTGATCATTCTTCAGCTCATGTCATTCATTGACCGTTCCAGGCCCAATGCTATGCTACCACACAAAATACCTGAACGCCGGCCACGTCGTTCTCCCTCGTGAAATATGCCTTCTCCTTGACCTTCTAAAATGTGAACTTCCTCTAAAGCATGTCTTTGCTCATCTCGTAAGACCACCCACCGTCCCGCCTGAGCTTATCTCGTGCTGCCAAATCCTTTCTAATGTCATCTTCTGTTAGTCGATCCGCCCCGCTCCAGTTAGCACTGGAGGTCCTGGCACGGAACTTATGCCACCTATCTTTGCTCTTACTGAACACTTCTTCCATATTGAGCGGTCGTGGAGGTCCGAAAATCTGCGAGGGATCCATAGTCTCCTGGCCAACCAAGGCTTTTCTTAGCTCTGGTGAATCTGCCCAAGGCGCCACTACAACTCCATTTGCATCATCGTCCTCACTGTCGTCATCCGTTTGTATTTCAGGCAATTCAATTGCTTCGCCGTTTTGGAAACGTGGAGACGACCTAGGCACAGACCTAGCCGCAGACTTGGCAGCATTGACAGGGCCAGGTCGGCCGGGGGTCTTGTAAGCTGGCCCCGCGGCGTTCGGGTTAGGGGCAAACGGAATAGCACCCTTCGAAATCTGGGCCATTTCCAGCGGGTGGAATGCCTTCGTTTGATTGACATGCTGAGCAGTTACGGTTGCCTTGAAGAGATCGCGAGTAGCACCATGTGATGCATTTGCGTAACCGTTCTGAAAAACGGACTTGGAGGGTAGCTCCTATTCCCATGTTAGGTGAAATTGGCTGACTCACTTTAGAGGAGCCGCTTACCTTCTTGAATCCAGCTGAGGGTCGAACAGGGGGTCCCTTGATGTTCTTTTGACCAGATGCATCAGCTCCGTCATCAAAAGCCTCACTGGTTCGTCGTCGCTTGGCGTCGTTGGCTTGGTACGCTGGGCCTCCACGAGATTGAGGACGCTTTTCTTGGCTATCATCGGCTTTCTCTTGGACGAAATTTCGTTTCGAACCAGCATTGCCCGCGCTAGACAAGACCGCATTCACCGGCCTACCAAGCTCATCCTGAACCCAGTTTGCATTGGATGTCGTTCGAGAGGGCGGGCGTGCAGGTTGACTATCCTGGCCCATCGCAGCGTCTGTCGGGCCGTTTGGCTGGGAACGCACAGCAGGCGGTGGCGCCCTCGTCTGCTTGGCCTTTTCGATAGCGGCATTTCTATGAGCATTGCCTTTGGCCTGAGATTGAGATAGGAGTGCGGCTTGTTCGTGTTGCTGTTTTCTTTGACGTTCAGCCTCCTGACGTTTCAGCTGGTCCTGTCTTCGTTGCTCTTCCAGAGCTGCAGCTTTCTTTCGTTCCATCTCAGCCTTCGCGTCGCGTCTCCTCCGAGTTTCTTTTTCTTCTTGTTCCTTCTTTCGGGCAGCCATTTCCTGTGCCCGAGCTCGGCCAGCAGTTGCAGCACCTCTTAGACTCTGTGTTGATTGCTTTGGTTGCAACGATGCCTTGCTGGCTTTACTTGCAAGTTGTTGTGTTTGGCCCGTGGAAAGACTTGACACATCAGGCTGTGCAGTAGACAATCGATACTGTGAATGCTGGGATCCTGTATTAACTCGAATGACAGTAGGCGCTTGTTTTGGTCGAGTTTGGGTTTCCCTTGCAATCGGTCGCTTGATTTCCCTGTTGCGCGTAGCAGGAGTTGACCCAACAGAGCGAGGCGCAGATGGCGGTGGCATTGAAGGGGCATCTTCCATTTCGATATCTCTATTCAGCGAGATTGTTTCTGCCTCAACGTCTTTTGCATGCCGCAGTCCGGTCCTCGTAGATTTGGGTGTTTCCTGAACTGCAGAATGGTCATCTTCCTTCTTAGATGCAATTTGCATCTCCATGGCAGCAATTTTATCCTGTTCCTTGCTAAAGACACGGGCTTTCTCACGCTCCTTTTGTCTTGCTTTCTCAAGTTTTTCATTTTGCTCCTCCAGCCTTTTGGCTTCCTTTTCGCGCCTCTTCTCTTCTTTCTCTTTCTCAACAGAAGCTCGCGTACGCCTTGTTGGTCGCGCGGGGCTTGCGTCTTGGTTGGTCGGCAAGCTTTGAAGATCAGTTCCTTGCTGAGAAACAACGGATTCCGACGACATAACAGAATGGAGACCAAGACGGGTTGAAGAAGGAGACATCAATGACTTTCCTTCGGCACTGATAGCTGCACTACTGGCTAGCAATCCCCGAGAGCTTTTGAGAATAGATGAGAGCTTGTTCTTAACTTGTTTCAAAGGGCTCTCTCGGAATCCCCGCGAAGGTGACTTGGGTTGCGCGCCAACAAGACCGGTATCAGCAACAGTAAGAAGACTTGGATTGGAAACAGACACAACTTTCTTAGAATGTTGAGTGCCTTCCATCGCAGAGTGCATGTTAGTTACGACAGGGACAGAGGCGGACTTTGCATGCCCATGGGTCAGCTCAGCACCATCGTCTTTACTCGTCTGTATGAATTGCCTGTCGAACTCGGCATTGTCATCATCCGACACAGCAAAATCCGTTTGGCTAACAGTCTTTTTGCCCTGAAGGTCTTCCATAACGTCTGCCGTATGGCTTTTTAACAAGTTTGGCCGTTCTCCACGTGCCGCTGCCACCGTCGTGGGTGGCTCAATCCAATCGTCGTCATCATCTTCCGGAAAAGCTCCTGGCGTGGATTGAAGTGTGTTTATGGGAATCGGAGAAAACGCTTGAGGAGCAGGAGTCTTGGCCTGCGGCTGTATTTGAGCACACTTGGCTTGGGATTGGCCAAGCATATTAATCTGGTCTTGGAGCCGTTGCGTATAAGTCTTGTTGTCCTGATTTGTCATAGGATGCGAAGGAAATTCATCATCCAACTTCAGTTCGTTTTCCTGATCTCGGTCCGGCTTTGTTAAATTTCCCCCAAGGCTTTTACCTCCTGTCGGTCTATTGTAGTAGCTAGTCCTGATGTGTTCAAGATGGCTGGTTCGGGAGACTCGGATACCATTGTTCTTACCAGCTGCGAGAGGCTCCCGGGCTGGCAAAGACGCAAAATTTAAACTGCTCTTGCGAACTACAGGCCGAATGGGACTAGAACCGTCCGATGCTGATCGGGCGTCATGATCAGGATATCTTGTACCCTGTTTTGCTTCCAAACTCAACTGTCGTTCGGGTGATACGTCATCTTCGTATTCTAACTCGTGATGAGGATTGAGATGTGTTTCAGAGTTGATCTTTTTTGACACATCTGCAGATACCCGTACTGTCTGGCCCTCTTTAGCCCTTCGAAATGTTTCCTTAGGCGGAGGTTGACTGGAAGCGCTTGCGGGGCTTTCCTTTAGTGGAACTGTTGTGCTGCGCAAAGCGCCTTTTTGTAGCGAGGCTTGTCCATCATCAATGTCTGAGTCCATGTGAATATTCACCGGGGCAACATCTTGGCTACCGAAGTAGCCAGAGTCCTGTATACCTTGAACATTTGGCTTCTGTGAGAAAACTGCGACGCGAGCTGGGGATGTTCTTAAGGGACTGGGAGAGCCTTTGGCTGAATGATCGTATACCCCGGGAGATTGAAGGTGGCTTTTGGAGCTCGAAGCTCCATTTGGAGTTGCAGAAAAGACCTCGGAAAGAGGCTACTCAATGTTAGCTTTCGTATGTTGTTTGAGGACGATTCGCATACCACGCGTGTCTCCAAAGGATTTGCTCTTCTGGCGGTTCTCGGTGTCTTCCCGCGAAGTTTCGCTGGTGTTTTGAATGTTTCTGCAAATTTTCTAAGAAAGCATCAGCCACCCATACCTACATCCCAATGTTGATAGCAAAGTATTTACGTTTGATTCTCATTAAAGATACCTGCCATGTGCTCGTTGAGCCAGTCGAGCTCATTCCGGGCAGAGTACGAGAACTCATCGACCTCCGATTGAGTGATCTGTAAAGCTGCATTTCGCTCGTCGGTAATCCATGTTGCAGAGCCAACTTGCATGCGCGGTCCTCGCATTGCCGCCATGATATCCCGCGTTGCCGACGAAGGCAGGAGGATCCTACAGGGTGTTGGCGTTCGATTAGTTTAAGTGATTGATATCATGAGAAATTTGGTGGTTTGTGATATTGAAAGACTCCAACCGATGAAGTGTAAGGGAGAGTCAGAGCCGCAAATGACCAAAGTAGGTCGATGTTGACGGTGGAGAGCTCTGATGCTTGACTGCCCATTCCAAGCAGCAATGTTTTGATTGATCCCGAATCAGGTTAGCCTCTCAGAAGCAGCCCTCCTTCCACACCGTCGCGTTAGGCCAGGTTGAAACGGGCGAGGAAAAGTACTGAGTCACGTGGTGATAAGTGGCCTATCAGATGCTAAACACGCTTTGTTTACTTTCATCGCGTCGTCGCCAATGTTTGGCGGCCAAAGGGTAGCCTCAGCTTGATTCCGAATCAGTCATCCCGTATTTACCTTCACAGAAAGCGACTGCGCAATATGAGGGTAATAGAAGTAATTATTGACGTAAGATGAGCCATTTCTTGCACCAAATATAGCCAACTAATTGTCTTGCTTAGGGCTTCAAGTCGTACGCCGTACGAACGGTAATATCGGGATGGTAATCACCTAAGCAGGGCATGGAAATTTACCAACAGCGTCACTAAGTAAAGTAACAGGGACGAAAGTTTTAATTCGATTACTGGCCTCAATGGCAGTGGTAAATCAAATATTTTGGATGCCATCTGTTTCGTCTTGGGTATTACCAACATGTCTACAGTTAGAGCACAAAATCTCCAAGTATGAGCCGCCAACTAACTCGAACTTCTTGAGACTATGATGCTGACTGTGTGACTAGGATCTCATTTATAAGCGCGGACAAGCTGGCGTCACAAAAGCCAGTGTAACAATTGTATTTGACAATCGAGATACCAAGAAATCGCCGATCGGTTTCGAAGAATATGCCAGCATCAGCGTGACGCGTCAGATTGTGTTGGGCGGCACTTCAAAATATCTCATCAATGGCCACCGGGCGCAACAGCAGACTGTGCAAAACCTGTTCCAGTCCGTACAACTCAATATCAATAACCCTAATTTTCTCATCATGCAAGGGCGTATCACCAAAGTCTTGAATATGAAAGCCGTTGAGATCCTTGCTATGATAGAGGAAGCTGCCGGAACGAGAATGTTCGAGGACCGTCGAGACAAAGCACTCAAAACAATGGCCAAAAAGGAACTAAAACTCCAGGAGCTGCGAGAACTATTAAGAGACGAGATCGAACCCAAGCTAGAAAAGCTTCGAACAGAAAAGCGAGCATTCCTCGATTTTCAGCAAACCCAAAACGACCTTGAGCGTTTAACAAGAGTTGTTGTTGCCTACGATTATATCAGATGTCAGGAGAAACTGAAGCAGTCTGCAGCCGACTTGGAGGACAAGAAAAATCGTTACAAGAATTTGGAAGAATCTGCGATTCGACTCAAGAGCGAAATATCACACTTGGAAGAAGACGTGAAGAAAGTTCGAGCTCAGCGAGATAAGGAGATAAAGAAGGGAGGGAAAGCCGGCGCCCTTGAGGAGACCGTCAAGAAGCATGCAAATGAGTTGGTGCGTCTCACTACTGTGATGGACTTAAAAAATACGAGTTTAGCGGAGGAAAGGGAGAAGAGGCAAACAGTCGGGAAGACTGTCACAGAGATGGAAACAGCTTTGAAGGACAAGACAACTGCTTTTGACAATGCGAAGGCATCTTACGAAAAGGCAAAGGATGATCTTGACAAGCAAACTCGGGAGGTTGAATCGAAGGAAGAGCTTTTGCAAACCCTTCAAACTGGCGTCGCTTCCAAGGATGGTCAAGAGAGTGGCTATCAGGGTCAGTTGCAGGACGCGAGGAATCGAGCCACAGCGGCCACCACCGAACAAGAACAGGCCAAACTCAAAATTGCACATCTTCAAAGTCGACTTAAGGAAGAAGAGCCACGCGCCAAAAAGGCAAAGGAACAGAACGCTGGGCTTCTTCGTGATCTCGACGGACTAAGGGAACAAGTTCAACAACTTGAAAAGGGGCTCTGCAAGTTGGGCTTTGAGCCTGGGCAAGAAGAGGAAATGTACAAACAAGAGACACATCTACAACAGACAATTCGAGGCCTTCGCCAGGATTCAGACAAACTCAAGCGCCAAGTAGCCAACATCGACTTCAATTACGCAGACCCCGTTCCGGGATTTGATCGATCTAGAGTAAAGGGGTTGGTTGCGCAACTTTTCACCCTTGACAAGGAGCATACCAAGGCTGGCACAGCCCTCGAAATTTGCGCTGGTGGCCGACTTTATAACGTAGTTGTCGACTCAGAGGTCACAGGTACTCAGCTACTCCAAAAAGGTAAATTACGAAAGAGAGTCACCATAATTCCTCTGAACAAGATTGCTGCTTTCAAAGCGTCGGCCGAATCTATCGCGACTGCACAAAATATCGCGCCTGGAAAAGTTGATCTTGCTCTTTCTCTTGTCGGATATGATGAAGAAGTGTCTGCGGCTATGGAGTATGTCTTCGGAAATACTCTAGTCTGCGCCGATGCGGAGACCGCCAAGCGCGTGACTTTCGATCCCAATGTCAGAATGCGAAGTATCACTCTTGAAGGTGATGCTTACGATCCTTCCGGTACACTCTCGGGAGGTAGTTCGCCCAACTCTAGTGGTGTTTTGGTGACGTTGCAGAAATTGAACATTATCACGCGTCAGTTGAAGGAAGCTGAGCAGACACTGAAAGAAGTCCAAACCAAAATCAGCAAAGAGAAGTCAAATCTGGATCAGGCTCGTCGTATCAAGCAAGAACTCGATCTCAAGAATCACGAAATCAAACTTGCAGAAGACCAGATTAGCGGTAATTCTTCGTCCTCAATCATTCAGGAAGTGGAGAATATGAAGACCAGTATCACTGAGATTCAAAACAACATTATTGAGGCCAAGTCCCGCCAGGCTGAAGCCAATGCAGATATCAAAAGGATCGAGAAAGATATGAAGGATTTCGATACCAACAAGGATGCAAAGCTTGTTGAACTCCAGAAGTCATTGGATGAGCTGCGAGCTGATCTTCAGAAGAGCTCTGTAGCGGCCAAAAGCCTGCAAAAGGTGCATCAAAATGCTCAACTTGACCTAGAACAAGTGGGAGCCGATCTGTCCGCCGCTCGAGAGCAGCTTCAGGAAGCTGAGGTTGGAATCAAAGCGGCGCAGCAGGATGTTGAAAGTCTTTCAGGACAGCGTGCTGCGTTGAAAGAAACGCACGACACTGTCCAAGCTCAGCTAGATGATGAGAGAGCCAAGCTCAGCTTGTTTGACGACGAACTTCGTTTGTCAGAGGAAGCCATGCGGTCAAAAAACGCCCGCATTACAGAAGAAGGGCTAGAAATACAAAAACTTGGCCATCAAATTGAACGATTCCACAAAGAACAGCAAGGAGCTGCGGATAATGTTGCTCATCTGGAATCAGAGTACGAATGGATCCAAGACGAAAAGGACAAATTCGGGCGAAGCGGAACGCCTTACCATTTCCAGGGCCAAAACATTGGTGAATGCAAAGCCACACTGCGCAATCTTACAGAACGTTCCCAGGGGATGAGGAAGAAGATCAACCCCAAGGTTATGAATATGATTGACAGTGTCGAGAAGAAAGAAGTCACTTTGAAACACATGATTAAGACGGTCATCCGCGATAAAAGGAAGATTGAAGAAACGATCGTCAGTCTCGACGATTACAAGAAGAAGGCCTTACACGAGACATGGGAGAAGGTGAACGGCGACTTTGGCCAAATTTTCTCGGAACTGCTTCCTGGGGGCAGTTTCGCCAAACTTGATCCCCCTGAGGGCAAGACTATTAGCGATGGTCTTGAAGTCAAAGTGTGCTTGGGCAAGGTGTGGAAACAGAGCTTAACAGAGCTGAGTGGTGGCCAGAGGTATGTAATACAACGCATAAAGAGCAGCGGAATCGTGTGTCTGCACGTAGAAACTAACGATATTGCAGATCCCTGGTTGCTCTTTCGCTCATCATGGCACTTCTGCAATTCAAACCAGCGCCGATGTATATTCTTGACGAAGTTGACGCTGCTCTGGATCTCTCCCATACGCAAAATATTGGCCGTCTGATCAAAACGCGGTTCAAAGGCTCGCAGTTCATTGTCGTCAGTCTGAAAGATGGTATGTTCCAAAACGCCAACCGAATCTTCAGGACACGCTTCAGTGAAGGCACGAGCATGGTACAGGCCTTGACACCGGCGGACATGAAGTAATCAATGGAGGCATGTTCAAAGTCATCATGAGATACGAAGATTTTTGATATGAAGAAGTATTGTACATAAATCACTTGGCGGGCTATGGACGAGATGTGTTTACTCACTCACTTTCGCAGCATGTAACCGCATGTATGTATACAGTAGTTATTTGACACCTTTACTTGATCGCTCAGTGCGGAATATACTTGTGGGATGGTTCATCCAAGTCCAAATATTTGCCTCTCTGCCCCAAACTTTTGGTTGATCTTGCCTATCACCGAGCACTTTGTTTGATGTATAACTGAGTTCCACGCTCCAGAACATCAACCTCCATACCGACTTCCAGCACAGACTCTAATCGTTCTGGGTTATGATTATTTGGACATGCAAGCAAGAGTGGCATGCCAAGACAGCCCATCTTAGCAGCACCCGCGTCAATATCCCGATACTTGCGAAGGGCATGATCTGGTTCCATATCGTGACAGATACCTGTGGCATGGTGAACATTTAGTAGTTCGCGCCTTCAACTACCATGTCAGTGTTCCTGGCACCGTCTTCCATCCGGACTGCTGCCACTAACCTCGCAGTTCTGCATGAGACATGGAACATGCTCGTTCTTTCACTTTTGCCGGGATGTTTGAACTTGACTAATTTCCAGTCATCCTCATCATATTCCTTTAGTCCAGAAACTATATTGATAATTTGCAGGTCAGTATGGAGCAGCTCATGTGGGCAAGTGGCGCTGTGTTACGCTTCAACCTACTGCATCGTGGAAATCTATTTCGGTTTCATGACCTGACATCTCGTTTCCTGAAGTATTTGGGAATACTTTTCTACGATCAAGAGGAGTAGATCGGAAGATGCCCAGAGGGTTCTTCACACCGAGATACGTGGCAAGTTCAGCCGGCAGCTCATTGGACATGTTAAGTGCATAGGGAACGTCCGCCCATATCTTGACATTTTCAAATCGGTAGCCCCTTGCATCAATCTCCTGCTTGGATGGGAATTCCAAAGGCAGTATGAATTCCTTCTCTGGAGCTGCGCTCCATCCCCTACTCAACTTGGCAACAACGAGTTGGACGAAGCCCACGACGCCTCTTTGCTGCCAGGGAAAACGGACAGCGAGGTACGCGCCTTGCAAGCTTCCCAGCAGTCTACTCTTCTTGCCTGCATCCGGCAGCCATATGTCAAATTTGACATTGGCCAACAGCGGCAGTTGCCTCGGTGTCAAGAATTCCCAGGCGCCGTTTGAGTCTGTCGCTGCTCCATCAGGTGCAACGGTGGATAAAGACTTGGGCTTTAGCTGAGCAAACATGTAGAGCCGGTCGTGCTCCAGGCCGGTAGGTAAGACCTTGGTGCTATCCAGCTCAATACCTCTGCACGATTTGACGGGATAAATGTACAGACTCTCGATTTTCGGTTTCTTTCCCGCCTGCGGCTGATGTCTGGCATCATATTGCGAGCGCAAGTCACTGTCGCGTTGTGAGCGGCCAAGCTTGCTATGTGTCTGCTGTAGCGCGTCGCTATGGTCGACAGGGACAGGGGGGAACAGAATCAAAACTGGAAACAGGAAGACAATGATGGTGACAACCACGAGGAAAATTGCGCCGTAGTCAAAGTCAAGTAGAATCGCCATCCTGGAGAGGTAGAGCATCTTGACTGACGATGTTCGGAAGGTCTGCGATCAGCCCATCACGTAAGTGGTTGTTTGTGTTCATATGGTCCGGGCTCAGCGAGTACTTTCTTGGTCGTGGATAGGGATCCGAGCAGTTTGATTGCTTTTTTTTTATGGGGTATTTCAGGTCGATGGGCCGGCGTTCATGTTCAAGGCGCCCCTGAATACCAACGCCGGAAACCGTCATGGTAAAGATCCACCACGTTGAGGTTCCGACGTTGTTCATCCGTGTCGCAAGCATGCAACCGCCACGAAAACCTTGACCATTGCAGACCGGGTATCTGAGCAGGAGGCTCGATCGCGATTACCGAGAAGAAAGTGTTGCGTCGATGTTGTTGAGCCGTTGCTAGGCTATAGGGTAGCGACAATCCTAGGTTTTGAGATGAGCCCAGTAAGAATTTTCAAACGCTGTACACTGTACTGTCTCGAGTAGGGTTAACGGAGACACTAATTATTGCAGACTGGGTACTCCAGGGAATCCGAACCTTGGAATTCGCACTCTTACCCTCCGCCTCTTGTTCTTCTGATATCGTCTCTGCTTCTTCTGTCTTGTCGTGTCCTGAACTGTGGCAGACATTTTCCTGTGGGTCACAATTTGCGGCGTAGGGTAGGTGCGATCAGGAGGACCTGACCCTGGTTCTCGGGCCGAGATTGGCTGTTGGCTCTTCCTCAAACGAAGCAAAACCCGGCCCTCTTGTGACGGTCGGTGATGGGTTATTTCATTATTTCCGCCTCGAGCAGATGTCCCGTTGCTTCTTCGAAAAATGCGCACATGGTTGACCTGTCGCACATCATGGAACCTTTTGGGTTACACGAATTCAGCAACGCCCCCCGGCGTTTGTCGTGTTTGATTGTCCAGTCGGAGACTCTAGCTGGCATCCACGACCCCGGCCACCCACAAAGCACGACGTGGTTGCCCGCCACAATGACTCTAAAACGATGACTTACATGGCCTAGGGCAGTGCTTCATCTTCAGCCGAGGACTCGAGTGCTGCAGCATCTCTAGTCCGAGAGAGGGTTGATCTGACAGCTCCCTTTTCAACAACGATCATGCACTGCTGTGGACCCCAACACCAACTCTTCCCTGGTCATCACCGTGACAGCATCCAGCATTATCCATGAAATGAATTAAACAAACACAAAGCGGATTCTTCCGCCCGGGGGACTCCGTCGACATCCACAACTCTTGTTCGGGTCTAATCAACCGCTTTCTCCTCCTTGGAATCATCCTGTACCGCGCATACTATCATAATCCACCAGGCCATCATCACATGAATCGACATTGAACATGACTCTGAGCATTGGTCGCTGTTCCGAGGCATGGAACCTCCACGCTCCTCTACCATCCCTGGGCTCGTGAGATCTGGCCGATCACTGGCACCATTACGCCTACCAAGCACGCCGCTCACCTTGCGCCACGGGGAGGTGGAGTTATACAGTACGTCGGCGAGATTCCGTCCGCTATTTAACCCCTCCTCGGAGCCAGCTGCTACAGCTGCTGAGTGTCAGTCCGCATCACGTCCTATCTGCAGACGGTGCATTGAACCCGTTGACGTGTCAGCGCTCGAGATAACAACAAACAGAAAGTGACAGCATGATAGTGTCCTTTTGGTTGTCTCAACGTCGAAGGCGAAGAAAACAGGAAGATCTGAACGGATTCGGCTGGGTGAGAAAAAGGCATGAAGCTCGAAAGAAGCAAGGGTCGTCTTGTTCGACCCAAAAGTTTCATATCACCAGGCTCCGATTCATTATTACAAGCGGTGCAACGGAACATTGGAGCCAACTCAAGCACTCATAGCGTATGGAGCGAGGCCACTTGTCACGAATTCAATCTTCCATGTCATGTCATCCACTTCAGGCCCAAACTGGCGCGCCACGCAGCCTGTCGTGAATGCCATCAATACTACGAATCCCTGATGATAGCTTGAAGAACCTACCTCAACTCCGCGCGGCTGGGTAACCCGCTACTCCCCTGCCTCTGCCCCCTTGGATCATTTCGCTAGTTGTGTGGGTGGAGCCTTGGTGTTGTTGAACTCTTTCGGACATGAGCATGTTTGTTGTTGTGCCTTCAGTCAATCATTGTTGTATCGAGCATTGCAGTGGGACAAAACCGTCGTTATTGGTACGGCAATGGCGACCTTTGGCGTTGCAGGAAGACACGTCTTTTTGATAATGTGCCGGGTCATCTAAAGCCAGATAAAGTAAGGTAATAATCCAGCGCAATGCAATTATTCGATACTGACACGATTTCCTAGGTATGGTAATACATGACTATCATGGCCACTCACATGACAGTTGCCTTCTAAAAACAAAGAGGCATCTGTTAGGTCTTGCTGGTCAGTTAGGCATAACAAGTTCACCACTTCTAGCATACATGTAGCATGCCTCTATGCGCGAGTTCCACATGACCACCAACAGACACCGACAAAGTCTTGACAACAGTGGGAACCCCTGCCAGACTGTCACGCCGTACAAGTTTCGTGGTAGCTGTACAATACGCTCCGCAAAACACGATAAAAAAAAGCACGGAAGTATTTGAGCAGCTCAAATTGAGGACAGCTGTTATGACAACAAGCGTGCAGATCCAGGCCGAACGAACCAAAATACACAAGATTTTGCGACTACATTGAGAAAATCGTTTTTCCTCGGCCACAATATGTCAGCCGGTGGTCGTATGCATTCTGGTTATCCTGCTGCAATATACAGGGCCGGCTGGCTCTCTTACTGCCCCGACGCCACAATGTCAACTTCTCGTACGCTTGGCACTACTAGTTTTGACATTCTAATACTAGTATAAATGCAGCTAGGCTTGGTATGACGGCGGCTCGATGATATTGGCCCAAAAAGACTGCAGTCTGGGCCCTTGTTTTGGGTTATGTCTGTCGAAGGAATTGCTTGCCTAGAAGTTTTCCCATATCTTTTTTGGAGGGCTGTACTAACAAAGTACATACCTACCTAGGTCTAGATCCCTAGGCTATTCATCTCAAGTCAAGCCGCTGACGACTTGATAACCGTGTAGGCTGTGAAAGCCGGCGGCCAAGCCATGCAACCGTTTGTCCCTGCCAAGTAGGGGTCCCCGTCGGCAACTATGTAAGTGGCTCGACCACTTGGTCACTCAGTGACGGGTGTTAATTCCCCAACTGCGGCTGATTTTCCGGGTGCACTTGTTGGTGTTCAAGGCCACTTTTAAGGACCGTTGCGGAGCAAAGCGCATACGAACAGACCAGTCCTGTGGTGCGTCCGTTATGCCGAACGAAAAGAGAACTGAGAACGGCAGCAGGATCCGGGACTAGTAAGCCAGACCAACTAAACCAACCACGCCGACAAGGCAGTTTATTAGTGACAGGCGGCTCGATAGCGCTCTGTGGATGAGTGGGTGGGCACAGGGACATTCTCTTTCTCTTGACCAAGTCATCGGGGCAGCCGCGGGCTCGTTGTCAATCTTCCAGCATGCCAATGCCAGGCTTCTGACTCGTGTCATGCCGCCGTGCACCGACGCCATGTTGTTCTGACCGCACACCACAAGAGAGGAGAGTCTGTCAACTGTCGGCCTGGCAGCCACACCGGAGAGCCAAGACTGTGGGCTTAAGCCATGGAGTACTCCGTACGGAAGATGGGAAGTGGCTGTCCACTCACTCGTGTTCCATGTTCCTGGACATGTGAACACTTTTGAACTCTCGCAGATCAGCTCTAGGGGGTGAACGAACATGACAGCGGCTCAAGGATGCGAAACTCTGACATACAGCACCTCCTGTAAAGTGGACGGCCATGCTGTTATGGAGTCCCAAGAGGTGGACGGAAGCAGCCGCGTAATACCAAACCTGTACATGTCGAGAACTTGATGAAGGTAGGGATAATGGAAAGTATAGCAAAGCCCTACTGGTCCCACTCCTACTTATTACATGGTGACCGGGTCGCAATCCAGGTCGAGACCTCCTTGTCAAACGGAGTCTCTACTGCACAATGAAATCTCATGATCTGAGATGACAGCACCATCACGACGCGTCCATAATTAGTCACCGGAGACGATAGGTTTCCACTTTGCGACAGCGGGAAATAACTAGGGTTGGGATAGCCCCTGTTTTGCTGCGTCTCTTGCAGTGGCTCACGCAGGATGTCAATGTGTGTCTGCACCAAATATGACGAAGGACCCCATAGTGTCCGTCTTTTGGTGTCAGAGACACCATGATGAAATCACCCAACCTGCCTGCCTTATTAACCGGACTGTAGCATGGAGCATGGCGAATAGATTACCCAACCAAACTTTCGCCGCATACGGAAACACATGGGAATCGCGGCTTATTGCAAACAAATCCTGACAAGGAGACCCCAGCAAACCCAGACGGGATGGTCCGCTTTGACGCTGCAGTACGGAGTATGTATGTCCCTTTTACGTCTTGGACGTGTTCGTCCGCCTTGAGTGTTTCATCAGCAGCACGCTCGTCAACAGACAAGTTAATATCGAGAACAAAGGTTCGCCATCGGCAGTCATAGTGCCTGGACAGGCCCACGGGGGGCTGCGGACAACCAGCTGCGTGGCGAATCAATACCTCCGATTACGGGCGTCTTTGCAACTAGTAGTATAAAGATTCCTTGAGTTAGCCATCTTTCAAGATCGACCCAAGCTCGTCTTGTAGCCCAGGACAGTGACACGCTCCACCATCCTAGCATGGGGGAGATGGTGGAGAGCCATCACGTCGTATTGTCCGGAGGAGCACGCAGGGCAGGCTATCCTTGCAATGTTAATATGGCTTGGCTGGCTGTCCATGAACCCCCCCAAGTGCCCACAGGCCAGTACTTGGACTGGAACACATAACACATGGACTTATATACACTGAAAATGTACATTCCGCCTCTCATCCGACCGTGGGCTGGAAGCTAAGCCGCTCTGCGTGGACCAAATGCTCTTCACTGATTTCGAGGTTCGGATGGCAGTTGGTCATTCATTGTCGTTTGGGGCGCCCAAGCTGATGATAACAACTGATATTTCACGACTCTAGCCTGCGGATTCGACATAGCTTATCGGAGCCATTCGTTAGACTGTGAATAACCTTCGGTCCAAGCCCGCCCTACCGCCATCTCATATATTACATCGCGGCATTGGATGATAAATGGAGTTGCAGCTTGCTTTCGCTGGCTCTTCCTGCCCGACATTCATCTAGCGGATGGATCCATATCGTTTGCTATGCTCGACAGCTAATAATCCACCGTGTTCGCTTGTGTTTTGGAATCAAATTGGGATCTGTCCTTGGCATTGTTGTACCCAAGACGCAAAAAGGTCGCGAGCGAGCGTGAGTACTCCGTGTTCCCCGGCTCCCAATATCTGTCTGCTACGGTGCGTAGCTTCAGCCGCCCAAGGAGCAGTGCCTTCGATTTAACGAACATCGAGTGCCGTCATTGTTGGGTACCTGTCAACTCGCTCACCCGCTGCGACGTTGTAGGTGTCTGAGTAGTGCCACAAGCCCTCTGAGTAAGAACATCTAGGTCGACGTTTCTTGTTTCTCCCTCTGCGCCTTGCGGTTGCAACGAACCCGCCCAAGAGCACAGAGCTCCGTCTCCACGCCATACCACATCATATATACACGCAAAAGCCTACCGGTACAGGTCACCCTCGATCGCGTCAGGGTCCAGTTCGTGACGGGTCCGTCTCAAGGCTTTGTGTCTTTGACCTGAGGATCTATTGCAAGCTTCATCCCTAGCAACAAAGAAACCTCGATACGTTCCTTACCGTCGTGGGCAGCTACAGCTACAGATATCCATCTACCGGGCCTCTTCAACGCCGACATTCACAGGAGTCAAACCAACTTGTAGACTTATTTCTGGCACACAATATTGACTCACTGCTGCAAGCAACGCACCACTTTAATTGCCTCGACGCTCGGAGTGTGGCGAACTCATGGTTGTGCGGACCAACCCGGGCATCTGCCGTGACAGTTGTGTTCTGGCACTTTTGGACAAGACAAGGCTACCAGGGGTAATTCCCTGTCATGTGCCCCATCTAACACAACCGTTTGCTTGCGTCACTACACAGGGGGTTGATGTTATTTGAGGGAAAGTGTTTTCCCCCTCAGACACCAGGCTGATGGAGGAAGGCATCCACTTTTGATGTGCGAGTTGGCCCCTACAGCTTCAACGTAAGCCCGGGAAACATTCGGAAATGGTTTCCTTGCCTGGAGATACATCTCTCATATACACCTGCAAGATGTAACATGTTCTCACGGCGCCCTTGGACCGATTGTTATCTCATCTCTCCGGCAACAAAAACACCACCCTTGCGCCTCTTCACTAGCTCCGTTGCCAGATCTTGCGGCCAATTCGCTATAGAAGAACTGGCAACCTTCGTCCGATACTTTGGATGCCACAGAAATTTCCCTAAACTCTTGTCAGGACTGGCACGACTTGTTACATTCTTGCCTCAAGCAAAGCAATCACTACCAAAGCAGACCCACGGCGGTGCCAAAACAGTCAGTCTCCGAAGGCGTTCTCGTCAGAAATGGGTGTTGTTGCTGACTCTGCTTGCCTTATTAGCGGGAACTGATACATCCTCAGTTCCATAACACGGCTGGATAACTGTGGGATCTCCCCCAGACTTTACGCCGACTGCTGCGGTATAGCTCCGCTTGGTGGCTATCTATGTCCACACCTCTGCAGCGAAACACATTGTCTGCCTTATTGAGCATGGTAGATACACCCCGGTGCTGGAACAAGCTGCATCCCTCGACATATATCCCGGCATTACTTAACGTCATCCCCAAGAAGTCGTCATGGATGAATATTATCACCATTTCCTGACATCAATGTCGGAACTGGGCGGCGGTTATCTCCCTAGCAATCCCGAAGAGTCCAGCATGTCAACCATGCCGGGATATCATGTTCCAGTATCAGGTCCAATGATGCAAAACCCATATCATCACCTGGGACATTTGGGGACATATCTCGACCAGTCCTTTCTTCATGCTTCAAAGGCAGGGAAAGGTAAAAAGAAGTCCATCGCGGGACCGACATTCGGAACGGACCATGTTAAACACAGACGGACACGCTCAGGATGCTTCATGTGCCGTAGCAGGCGAGTCAAGGTAGCAATCCCGTATTCCCAACAGCATTGACGAGCCGCAGAATCATGCTAACTACGGCTTTGAATCCCTTTAGTGTGACGAGACCCGTCCGATATGTGAACGTGAGTAAATCACTACAACCCTCATCCCAACGATACTCTACCAGGAGCCGTTTTGCATCTCCTCCCCAAACTTGAAGGGCTACCGCAATGTTAATGTGTTGTCAGGTTGTAAAAAGGGCAATCGCGATTGCGTCTACCCCGACCCTCCGACCACAAAAGGCTCTAAATCCAAAGACAATAATAATACATCCGCTCACAAGACGAGCCCAAAATCATCCAACGAGGGGGAAGACGCTGATCTAGACCCCCTCACAAACCCTCTTCAGACGATCCCCGACGAGGCCGAGCCTGGAGAATTGTCTTCCGGGGAGAGGTCTGATTCCCAATTGTCGGGAAGCAAGACCACAGGTTCCTCGGACCGGAACCTCACGAAGCGGCAAAGCACGGATAGCCTATCACCCGATGGAATCAAAGACCCTTCTCCTTCAGTATCGACTGTTGGCAGCAGCGTTACTATTTCTCCGCCCATTGACCTAAATATCCCTACGGACGGCCGTGCAGATTGGTCGCATCTTCCTTTGGACTACCAACATTATCTAAATTATTTTGTGGACAACATCACGAGTTTTCACTATAGTGTCATGCACGATGAAGATGACTTCTTTGGCACTATTCTGCCTTCTCTGGCTATTCAACACGAGCCCCTTCTTAACGCTGTCGTTGGCTTTGCGACGTATCACGCTACGTTGCAGAATCCCAATGGCGAGCTTCAAGGCTTCTTGAAATACTACAACAAAAGTGTCACTCTTCTTCTGGAATCTATAAATCGAAGGGAGATAGACAACATCCTAAATTTGATTACTATCCTGCAGCTATTGACTATTGAAGTAAGCGCTTCCCGTTGACACCGCAGGCAGATAGATGCTGACTGGCACTGCAGGAGTATTTTGGTGATTGGGTTAACCTCATGGGACATCAAAAAGCGGCGTTCCAAGTGATTCGAAAAATTTTCAAGCCAGATACAGTTATGCTTACACCAGTTGGAAGAGCTTGCATAGACTGGTACACGCGCTACGACTGTTATGTGGCCATCATGGGCGGTTTCCCGACGGATCTGCCCAGGGAGTGGTTCAACAGGATGAACGAGTACAACGAGTCGCAACTTGGCGCCAGCCCCAACGAGCTTCGCTGGAAGATTAGTTCTCGATCTACTCAACTTCGCTCGATATCCTACGACATGTCTGTGCTCTATGCACGGGGCAGCCGCGGGCAGATAGGGCCCCAAGACTTCACCAAGGAGCACAACAGGATAACCAGCGAACTTGTCAAGTGGGAATCAACCTGGAATGCCACCCTTTCAGTGCCAGAATACTTGGTGACAGACTTTTCTTACCAACGCGACGTGGATCCCGATGACATCGTGAATCCGTACGTGCCCGGCCTGCTCTATAAGCGGCCACTCTTTACAAATACCTTGATAAATACAGAGTGGACCTCGATCATGATTATGCACCTGTCGCAGTCGTCGGACATTCCCGCGGAAAAGGTCTTTATAGAGATGGCAAAGCATGCCTACACGATCTGCCGGCATTTCGAGACTGTAGAATTCTGGCCACTGAAGCCCAAGGGCGCCCTGATACCACTACAGCCTTGTATATCCATTGCCGCTCTTTTCCTACCGCGCGACTCCCGTCATCAGATGTGGGTTCGTAGGAAGTTTGCTTTGCTAGACACAATGGGGTGAGTGCAGCCAGTCTTTTATCTAAACCCAGGCCAAATGTTTGCGTAGGGCCGCGCAGCGCATTCGTTGCCTCGACATGCGCCTGAAGAAGTATTGCCTAACGTCGTGTTGAAGATTTATACACCCCACGACACGACGGATAAAAATGGCGCGGCTGTTTCGCGACCCGTCCTGCGCACATTGGTGGCTGCCAAACGACGAAGGATTGACTCCAGTATTGCAAGCCATTCGCACTTTTGCCGACGAGCGGAACACGGCAGCTGTCAACGCCCAGCATGAAAATCTCCGGGAAGTAAGACATTTATTTGCCAAGGTGGAGGCCGCCGAATTGGCCCTCATGGCAGGCAACGGCGGAGTGGGCAAGTGACTTGGACGTTGGCGTTGCGCGATTCATACTTTTCATACCGATGTGGAACAACTCGGGGAAAGCAAAGCGGCAACAGGTCCTGCGTAACTTACTACTATTTACCAATGAAAGGGCGGATTACGCGTCACCTATCTATGGTATAATGTGAAAACAAAATGCGGCGTTACCCAGGAAGCATGGACATGGCAATGCTCAAAGGTTACTTATTCCCCCTTTAGATACCGAGATGAGAACTTGGTGCTTTCAACGACAAAAAAGGTGTTTCGCTGATTCTCCGTCGGACTGTTCGCCTTCAACATCAACCGTCAAAACAGGGGCATGGCCGTTCGTGCTTTGTACCCAGAGCCCTCGTAAGCTCCTGATGAAGTATTCCACACAAGCCACGACGTCTCGGATGATTTTCAACGACGAAGCAAAAAGAGACATGATCGCTGTTCAAATTTGTGGACTATACAATCTGCCCCTGTCCACGAGAAGAGGAATGCGAAGCTTTAGAAAGTGATGCATGCGAATACTAGAAACGCCGCAACTACCCTTTTCCCACTGAGCAACATTGCACAAACTTCCAGGTTTATGCGTGTACCGTACATCAGCTCACTGATCCTCGTGTCATGTTGTTCACTCTGGATCAGGGACCTGTCCAGGCTCTCCGGCCACGTCCTCTGATTTAGTCTCCTTGGGGCGTTCCTCCTTTTCTTCTGCCGAGTCTGATGAAGAGGGGGCGGCTCCTTCGGTCGATTGTCTGGATTCCTCGCCGTCGAGTTTTCCCTCTGTAGCGGGCTCTTCAACTGGGGTTTCGGACGGTTTCGTATCCGGTTCGTTCGATGGAGTGAGGACGACACTCGGCGCTTCGTCTTGGCCTCGGTCTTGGTCTTTATTGCTGACTGGTTGAGGGTCTATAAGTGTCTGCTTTGCTTGCTCTCTGTGTGCGTCTGCGTCTGCGTCTGCGTCTGCGTCTGCGTCTGCGTCTGCGTCTGCTTCTGCTTCTGCCTCTGCTTCTGCTTCTGCCTCTGCCTCTGCCTCTGCTTCTGCCTCTGCTTCTGCTTCTGCCTCTGCTTCTGCCTCTGCTTCTGCTTCTGCTTCTGCTTCTGCCTCTGCCTCTGCCTCTGCCTCTGGTTTTGGTCTTTGTTCTGGCCCTGCTGGAGCAGACTGCACTGGCTCTGGAGGTTGTTCCTGTGAATTGGCAGTTCCCTCTATGACGGAGCGTTCGACGATGACGGGTACTTCTGCGCTTTCTTGCTCTTGGTCACTTGGGTGCGTGCCGGAAATGTGCAGGCTTTGCATCTTGTTGGAGACGTTGTCTGCGTCTTCTTCGTCGGCTTCTATTACGGTGGTTACGGCACTGCCTGTCGACGGACTACTCCTGATATGTCTTCGGGTGTTGGTACGGCCGCCGGGGTGTGGACCTTCATCGTCTGTTCCGGCAGGTCTCTGTTGCGACGTCGGCTTGAGAATTACTGGTGGTGGCCTGTCCGCCTCGGGCTCGATGAGGGGCGCTTCTAGACCCTCGGCTTCTGGTGGGAGCTTGTAGTTCTCGGCTGGGAGCAGATCGTACAGGTCGCACACTGTCTTGAAGAAGACGTACAGACCAGTCTGGCTCTCCACGGACCAGAATACGCTGCGGTGCTGGAACCATGCATGGGCGAAAATGCGGTGTAGCCGCCTGAATACATTTACCAGGTTTTTCACTCCCGAATTCTTGCTATGAGCGTCGCTAAGGATCGCGAAGCGGCTGGGGAAAAGCTTCTGGTCGGAGACGACGTTGGCTGCCCAGTCGAGTGTGTGGCAGCAGTAGTCGATGGCGCAGCAGCTCTTGGGTTGCTCGTGAACGGCGCATAGGAACTGCCACTCGGAGGCTCGCATCTCGGGACATGTTTGCGCGCTGCAAGGAGGGGTGTCGAAGAGGAACCCTACGATGAGTTGGTTGCATTTGGAGATGAGGAATCGACATAGTTCGTAGAGCCATATGGTACGGTCGATACCCGCCGGGGGTTGGGTAAGCTTGTGAGCGGCCTCGCGCGATATCGCTTGCGTACCAGAGGCTGTTTGGTCATAATGTAAGGCAGCAAGATGCTCCTGCAACTGGAAAGCTGAATCGAGCTAGCGAGAAGAAGCTTGTCAGTGGTGAATTGCGACGAGTGCATGCGGATAGGGCCACGGGGTTCCTTACCTCGCCCAGGGGCACCAGAGGCGGCCCAGCTGCCATGTCGGCAGCCCTGGTCCCCGGATGTATGCGACGCCTGGAATTGGCGTCCAAGACGGACTGCTCCATCTGTGTCGCATGAGGACTTGCTGGTGTGCCGCCTGATGGTGAGTTTGGGCTGATTTGGATTTCTGCAGGCGGAGGAGGGCTCGGCAGACGAGGCGAGCTCGGTGCCAGCGCCATTATCGGTTCCTGTTGTTCTGTGATTGCCGGGAGCTCGCAGGGAAATGGCCAACAATTGTCGCGGTTGTGGCTGTGGCTGTGGTCGCGGTTGTGGTTGTGGTTGTGTACAAGCTCTCTTTGCTGTTGCAGCTGTGCTAGAACGAATATCCGATGTCAAGCGCCGCGGTTGTGCGCTTCTGATGCCGCGGTTGTGCTTTGTCTTTGATAGGCCGGCGTTGCTTTGTAACGCCGTGGACCCAAGACAAGTGCATTGCTAACCGCAGGCGGCTTAGCGTGGCGCCGCTTCGGAGGGACATGGGCGCGAGAGCCAGACGCCCCGACAGCAGCAACATTTGAAGCAGGCTTTATCCATCACCCCGAACGACTCGCCGGACGCTGCCTGGATTTTTGGAGCGGGTTGCTTTTCTCTTTGCTTGTTTTACTGAAATCTCATCTGGTTATTTCTTTTCCTGCATCCTTTTTCGTTGCACATGTAGGAAACAACGCCGACCGCAAATGGACTTCGATGACGATGCCCCTCCGGAGTTGGTTGACACGGCGGGACAGCTTGAACAAGACGGTGAAGAAATCGCTGTCAAAGTTCCCATCACAATTGTGACCGGTCCGTGCTTTCAGTGCCGGGGGTTGAATCGAGTGTCACTCATTTTACTGATAGCCAATTAGGCTATCTGGGAGCTGGAAAGACGACATTGTTGAATTACATCTTGACGGCTCAACATGGCAAGAAGATTGCAGTTATTATGAATGGTTTGTGCGACAACCCCCCTCTTTGAGCAGGACAGTGTACTGATCTTTGGTTGTTACTGACAGAATTTGGAGACTGTGGGCAATTAAACATCCACCCTTCCGTCTTACCATTTATGCATTCTGACGCCTCGGTAGCACTCGATATCGAAAAGTCTCTAACCGTCAACCAAGGGGATGACAGGGTCGAAGAATGGTTGGACGTGGGGAATGGCTGCATTTGCTGTTCGGTGAAGTAGGTGGGAGTTGGGAGTAGGGCGCTGACAGAGAGACAGTCGATTCTAACCTTGACAGGGATACCGGCGTAAATGCCATAGAGTCTCTCATGTCAAAAAAGGGCGCATTTGATTACATTCTCTTGGAAACCACAGGCCTCGCAGATCCAGGCAATATTGCGCCGCTTTTTTGGGTAGATGATGGGTTGGGAAGCACCATCTATTTAGACGGAATTGTTACCTTGGTCGACGCTAAAAATATTCTGCGCAGCTTAGATGATCCAACTGGGAAAGTTGAGGGGCAGGAAGACCACGAGGATCACGGGCCACTGATGACGACCGCGCATGTGCAAATATCTCACGCCGATGTCATTGTCATTAACAAATCAGACCTTGCGAGCAACGAGGAGTTGCAGCTTGTCAAGACGCGAATTCAATCCATCAACGGACTGGCAAAGTTGCATGTGACAGAAAAAAGCGTCGTACCTCAACTGGAGGGATTCTTACTTGACTTGCATGCATACGACCAATTCGACGAGGCAGATGAGCGGCACAAAGGCCACAGCCATCTTGACCCTGTAAGTCAGCGAATGGTGAAGCCATGTCTGCAGAAGGGTGAATTTGGGGTTGGCTAATCAGACCAGACCATATCAACATTGTCAATTCCAGTGCCTCGTCTTCCGCCCGGTAGCGTGCCCGAGGTGGACAAGTGGTTGCGCTCTGTGCTTTGGGATAAGAAACTACCGGGAAGCGAGAAAGAGACGGCGTTTGAGATACATCGAGCCAAGGGGCGCATAGTTTTGCGAGATGGGACGGCCATGATGCTGCAGGGGGTGAGGGAGGTGTTTGAGCTGAGTGACGCACCAGACAAGACCGAGATGCAACCAGAGCAGGGAAAAATCGTCTTTATAGGGCGGAAACTTGCAGAGGAAGATTTTGTGCGGAGCTTTCATAATGCCGTCAATTGAGAAGCAATCAAGAGCAAGCAATGCAATTGCGATTTCCAAGGCGACTGATTACATGTTGGGTAAAGGAATCATTGAATAGCTACGTTACGTCGTCATGTTCAACCAGAATTTTGCTGCACGTCGCCGTCAGCCTTGGCGCCAGCGTCAGCTTTGATGTGCCTGATTGGTTCCGGAGCAGGCTTCGGCACGGACCCACTTGAATCCGGCCAGCGACTTTGTGGGTTAGCCTTGTTAGCCTTTTCTGGATATCGATTCCACCACAAGATCGGGGACCAAGCAACGTTCAGACTTTGAAGTGCGAAAGCGCGACACACCGTTACATACCGGACGACGAAAATAAACCAGTTCAACTGCTCAAATCTCGGCGACGCGGACTCCAGTATCGACTCCGCGCGATCACGAAGACATTATGAATCGGCCAGGTAGGACACGCCCAAGCCTCCGCCTGCCTCAGTTTGAATCCTGCCGCGTCGTTACGTCGCCCGGCCGGGTCTTCGCCCGGGGGCCTGCAGTAGATGGTGCGCGAGGAAATGGCTTTCCATTTCAGGTTTGGACAGGGGCTGTCTTATTACTCATTAGCCGTTTCCTCTGCTAAGAGCGAAGAGTTGAGCTGCCCTATGAGGATCAAACGATTGACGATGATAACATATCTCAGGAGGCATTGAGCTCTCATGGGGTATAGTCAACTGTTAATGTACCGGTATTCTGAATTTGGAAAGGCTATGGCGTTCTTCTTGGTTAATGAAAACGGCGATGTCAGAGAAATAGGCTAACGCGATGTGTTGGAAACAAACAGGAACGGTGCCCCAGTCTCTCAGAGGCATGCCGGGCAATTTCGGCGGACAACAACAACAATCTCAACTACCAGGTCGATCGGTATCGAGCCGGCTACCAAGCGGGAAGTTAAGTACGCAATTGCATCGGCGATAAGAAACCACGACCGTCGACCACACGACTTTGGGGGCTGACACTACTCACTGCGCACTTAGCAAACAACGGGTCAGGCTGGGCATTTGGCGGAAACGTCCCGATCGGGGCTGCTGGATTCCAAAACCAAGCCCGACAAATGGGAGGAAATGTCAGCTTTGCGCAGAGCTTAGGCGGGTCGCAGCCTGCCACGCCGTTGGACTTGTCGTATGTGCTTTCCACTTGTCCTCACCTCTCGTTCACCGTGTCCATCCCGCGTGCCCAACCCTACCCGCCTGGATTTCTGCCGCCTTTCATCCCATGTAATTGCTTTCTGGACATGTGAAACGCAGCAAATATGTGCAGCGGGCTTGCTGGCATAAGGTCGTCAACGGCCAAACCGCCCGCTTGGGATTATGCTGGCGTTGTCAAGGGGTAAACTTTATCGATTTTTCTCTGCTGCAATACGACATTATATCTCTTACCTCACGGCTTTGTTCAAAGAAGCAAGTGCTAACAACTCTTGCAGCGATTTTCCATCTCTGTCAAATAATTCACAGCTCAGCAATGCCAACACTGTATCTATGTGGTCGTCTGGAGTGTCCCGAAACTTGGGTGGGCCTGTTCAACGAAATCAATCGACTCCCGTCTCGTCTCAGCAAGGAGGCCAGGAGGATTTGTTTGCAACCGGCTCATCACGTTTGCCTTCACACCAAGGCTCTTTTCGGTTCGGCAACCAGGGGAATATAGCTTCAGCCTCCCTCGGACAGCCCAGTAGCGTTGATGAATTTCCTCCGTTGAATAGAGCTGGAAATGGGGAGATCGGGTCAGATAGAAGTGGACTCCTGATGTCATTTGGGTTCGGGTCGCACCAAGGAGCATCAGGAGCGCAGAGAGGCAATGGCCTTTTGAATGCTTTGTCGGCTAACAGTCGGGCAAGCGATGTACGGTCACCTCCTGGAGTTGGTGAGTCGAGAAAGGACAACCTGTTGGATGGCGTTGACCAAAAGCGAGCTGACACGACTAGCACTGAACCGAGGTCAAGACCCCAAACGACTGGGAGTCGACGACGACAACAGGCATAAACCGATTTCCAGGGAAGATGGCTTGGGAAAATCTGCTGTGGAAGACCCAAATCAGAATCCCTTGGGCGCAATCGGAAACGAGGACTCTACTGTAAAGTTACGAGATGTGAAGGAGAGCAAGGCGCCGGATGCGATTGATCCTCTAATTGGGATGAGTGCCGTAGACAAATGGGGCATAAAAGGCTTACGGACGCTGATGAACAGCTACCCGGATTACCAGGCGATGGTAGTTGGCATGGATCCAATCACAGTTGGACTCGATATCAACTCCCAAGAGTGAGAACGGTCCAGCTTCCAAGTACACAGTCAGTCCCACTAACAAGGGCCAGGGCGATCTCGACACAAGTTTACTCGCTCTTTGACGATGTCCCTCCGCGGCCGACAGTCAATGGTAACAAGTTCCGGCTTCCAGAGTGCTACAATGTTACGAATGTTCAGCCAATTGAGAGTAAAATCCAGAACTTCAACGAAGAAACACTGTTTTGGATATTCTATAGCTGCCCCGCGGATGTTAAGCAACAAATGGCGGCGGTAGAGTTGTAAGTCGCAGCTTCGTATCCATGGTCTTGGTGTGTACGATGAGAGTTAACAAAGATGCGTGTAGGTATTCGCGAAACTGGAGATGGCACAAGAAACACCAGATATGGCTCACCAAAGACGAACATATGGCACCTCAGATTTTGAGCAACAGCCATGAGCGGGGTTTCTATATTGTGTGGGACACGGACAACTGGCGAAAGGACAGGGTGAGCGATTCCACCAGGCCTCCCTGGCTCAAAGTAATTGCCAACTAACTTGGGCTATTCAAGCGAGAACTCACCCTGTTCTACGGCGACTTGGATACCACATTGAACCAACCACCTGCGGTATCATAGAAACTGGGGCACGGGCGACGGAGGATGGTGGGTTTGCTTCACAACTGGTCTGTAGGACCACTCGGCGTACTGCCATCAAAGGACGGGACAGTGGTTCGGTGGCCTGAGGGCTGGGAATGCATTGTCAGGTTGTTCTTGGCGGGTATTTTGCCATATGGTATGGCATATGAAGCTCACGGTTGTTGCTTCGCAATATACGAAGTGCCCAGAACAGGGGAAGCGTTACGGGCAGCTAGTGGCATGAATATGACGTGCCAGATGCATGTGGCGAAACCAGATCCTTTGTGCCTTCAAGATAGTGGTACATGTACGGAGTAGCGAGAAGAACTTTCACTTTGCCTCTGCGGGGACGCTGTGCCGCCGCGAGCCCATGGCGATCAAGGAGACGCGGGAGTTGTCGCGTGCCTTCTCTGGTGGTGCAGGTGCAAGTGGCTGACCCGACTTGGCCAGAACCAGTCAGAATCAAGCGTGGTTGCAATTTTTAGCCGAGGTTCCACCATGAGGGTCTGAATGGGAGCGCCGTCGACACTGTCAGCAACCTTCTGGTCTGACCCCCTCGCCTCGCATGGTCTGTATAAACCTGACTCCTTCATTTCTGTCTACGAACCATCGGGTTCTCGACCGACAGCGCACAACGGGCAGTGGCCTGCTAGTTGCTCACTGTCGTCAACCAACCTGGCATCGCCACGACGGCTGCGGCCCAAGCCACACGCAAGACACGTTTGCCACTTGACCTGAGTTGGCAAACCAACCTGGCAATTGACACCGCTTTGTCCCTTCGCCTACGGGCCTTCACGCAACCCAATATGGCCAATGAACAGATATCGCTGCCATACTTGGCAGGAATCCTACTCTTGTCGGGGCTGATATTACGATACCTGTTCTTTTCTGGAACGCAGACGTCCCGACCGACAAGGTCACCAGAGGACGTGCGGAGATCGCGAGAAACGGCAGTAGAGCGGATACAACAGATGTTTCCCCAGGCCGAAAGGCGGAGTATCCTGTGGGATCTGCAGCGTAATGGCGGGAGTATCCAAAACACCACGGAGCGAATCTTGGCCGGGCGACTCGAAACTGTAAGCACAGCATTGTCATTCTCAGACGTATCGGACGTTGTTCTCAATGGCTCTGCCTCGATCAGGTGCTGCTGAATCTGGGAATGTGAGCTGACTGGGATATGAAATCTCACATAGCCGCCTGTTACGTTCCAACCCCTCCCTCCGCCCGGGCAAGCCACGGCCGGAGCCAGCACCGCTTCTGCGACGAGACAAGCCGACAAGCCATCACAACCAGACCTAATAACGCGATATAACCTAAAGAGTAAGATTACCGAAGCGAAATTTGAGGACGAGGCCAAACCGAGAGGATGGAGTTCCAACCGGGATGAGCGCCAGGCGTCGTTGCAGAAGCGACGAGACGAGATGATCTTGGCGGCGCGGCGGAAGATGGAAGCGAAGATTGCGGCGGAGAAAGCTAATCGATAAGGGTGAAATGTGAGGCTGAAGAGATGGCATATCCTGTACGACGAACATATTTTGTCATGAGCGACGCAATTGACTCGATCATATTGTCACTTGGCTACCAGCGTTTCAAGACCACCAGTGTGGCCAATCAAGGCGGCCGTCGGTTTTGTTTTTTCGGGCTTCACTGGCAGCTTTAATCTATAAATTCGGCTGGCAGCTGGGATTTGTACCATAGGTCATGGTTGTTGGGGATTTCGGAGGGGGTCGATGATAGCCAAAATGTGTTGCTTGCCGTCTTTCGGCATGAAGCTGCATTATGTCTCTCTCTGTTCAAGTGTGGCTACAATGGATCGTCTACTTCTTGGCTTGGTAAAAAGCGCATCGTGCATGTACGCTTGAGCGCCCGGGCAGAGGGCTTGTGTTTCAGTTCAGCATACAGCAAGAGAAGCGTGGTGAATTATTCAAGTTGCTTGCATGATTTGGATGTCTGGAGTGGCAACAGTTGACTGCAACCTAGAGAGTATGTAACTTATGGGCCAGAGGTGTTGAGACTGGCGTTACTACGGAGTATTATTGGTAACGCTACGGAGTAAATACTCGTAAATACTCAGCCACACTCACTACTCACTTTTCGCACTGCCACCTGGCACCCTGCGTCACTGTGGAGACCACATGCTTGCGCAAGTGCACCTCTGCAAAGCCAACCAACCACCAACCAAACCAGCCTGGGTGGGTTTCAGCGGAAGCCTCGTCAATTCTCTACTTCGCTACTCCGTACTGCAACTAACTTACATCCTGTGCTCTTTGTCTTCTCCTCTTGCGCTTTTCGTGACATGACACTATTTCTGCGTTTTTGTCTTTCCGACTGACGTCAACTCTTGGCAAACCTCTGTAAGCTACGCATTCAGCTTTGCCTCAGGCTGGGACGCCCTCAGAATCATCTGACCTGCAGGCTCGGTGGATGGTCAAAGCTCGCTTTGTCGTCCGTCTTCCCCGTTTTGTCATTACTGACACTGACTGCCCATAAGCTCTACTTGTTATGTTAGTTTCGCTTTGGATTTACGTCCAGGTCCTCCAAAAGCTTGTCGCTTGTGCCCGTGGGCCGTGAGGGAAGCGTTGCCTCAACCCTTTACCACCACTTCACCGAGGACGTCGGTAATCGACAAACACCCTTTGCATTGGCATGTTGATTGTGGAAAAGGCTCCTGAAATTCGTCTCGACTATTGTTGCTCACGGTCCCTTGGGGTCGCTTTACACCGTCTTCCATGGCACCCCAAAAAGACTACTACGCCGACCTTGGGATGCCGCGTGATGCGGACATTGAAACAATCAAGAAGCAGTATCGAAAGTTGGGTAAGGAGGGATCAACCCTGCAGCAAACAAATCTCGGTCTGTTTCAAAATATACTGACTCACGAATGCAGCGTTAAAATACCATCCCGATAGGAATAGCGGCAACGAAGACGAAGCTATTGCCAAGTTTCAGATCATCCAGGAGGCTCACGAGGTCCTGTCGGACCCAGCTTCAAAGGCGAATTATGACGCCACTCTGGGGAAAAGCCGATATACTGGAGCCTCAGGTGTGAGGGGGAACCCTTGGGCCGACGTAGGCCAACAGTTTCCTACGCCTCCGAGACGGACAACAGCTGCGAGAAACGCAACTTCAGGGGCACAACGATGGCAGTCAAGATTCTCGAGCGGAGTGCCACCGACGGCAAAACAAACCTTTGGATCTGACCCAAATGCGAAGAAGAATGCTGCCAAGGCATTTGAGAACATGCGCAAGAATGCACGGGCTGAACCGCGTTCGTCCGAGCCGCCTCCGCCGCCCCCACGACAACCACCACGAACAGAATCGGCGAGACAACGACAAGAAGCTTCTTTCGGATCCAGAAAGGCCGGCTACTATCCTCGATCGACTGTGCCTGGGGACGAACCGCCCGTGTCAAACGCGAATTACACCAATTCTGAACGACGAAATGTCCCGCAACCCCCGCCTCGAAAGCCGGTGCCGAACCCGATGCCCGACCCGTTGAGTCAGTTTAGGGAGAAGGCCACCTCGTCTACAATTCGTCACGGTACGCCTTGTACTTCTCGTCGAAGGGACAAGACGGATCATTTTGCTGGAGTCGCTGACGAGGGACCCGTTTCAGATGACGAGCAGCGCAGTTCCGGTATTCCAAGACGACCGAATCAAGAAAAGCCTGATGCAAGTCCTCCAGCACCGGCGGATGGAGATCAACATGTTCAAAATGCGGCCGAGGGCACGGGAACGTATACCGATACGTCCTTTAAGTCACGGACTGACGCCACATTCGACTCGAGCGGTCCAAATCAGGCTGCAAACTCATTTACGGAGAAAGACTGTAAGCATTTCTCGAATGTACAACTCGTTACACACAACCAAAGCTTACGCACCATTAGCAACGAGCAACAAGGATGAACCATTACTGTATGAAACTCCTCGTAGCCGCCATCGTCGTAACGTGTCAGTTTTTTCCACGTATTCAGCCTCTACAAAGCCTGGAATTGCTTGGACATCTCCAACAGCGGGTCTTGATAGTTCAGGAACCGTGCATGAAAACAGGTCTCCGAGTGGGAATAAAGGTGACAGTGTCGCACTTTTGTCGTTTGAGCGACAGCAGACCAATATCTTGAACAAGCTTATCAACAATAAGGAAGGATCTCCAAGGCCCCTAGAAGAGGAAAATCGCATTTTGGCGATGAAAAACTCCAAAGAGATGACGAGACATGCACAAGCAGCTAACCAAGCTCAATCACATAGCTTCAGCTTCCCCACGAACAGTGCCAATTTTGCGGAGACTCCACACACGACTGGCGGACGCGGCTTCTCAAAGAGCAGTCTGGATGACATAGACACCAGCTTTGTCAAGGACGACAACTTGAACAATTATCAGTTCAATGCCGGCACGGCCGAGGGGGACGCCAATGTGGGTTCTATGTTTTCTCCGCGCACTCAACGTGCTCGTCGCTCGGCAATGATGCGTCCAACCATTCCCAGAGTGAAGGTGCTAATGCTACTCCTACTGCTAAGCAGGTTAAGAATGGTTTTAATCCTAATGGATGGAGCGACAAGTTCAATGCTCAGACGTTTGTTCCACAACCACAACCTGGTCCATCTGCTTCGCCAACACGAGCCAGCCGCACCAACTCTAGAAAAACAAAGATCAGACCCACTGTAGGAACAGCAGCGACAGTTGAGGAGGGCAGCAGCGACGAAGAGACTTATGAATGGCGCGGAAGAAATGCGCAGACCCAAGGGCAGGCGGCTCCGGCGACTGACAGCCCGCAGGCTATGGATATCGATTCACCAACGTCCTCTGGCGCAACGGCAACTCAAACGGCACGAAACATTCCAGTCGAGCCATCCCGACCAGAATGGCGCGCCGGGAAGGTGGATGACGGCGCGGCCAACCATGAACAGCCACAACGACCGGCAAAAGTCTCTTTGGATGCAAATGCTGCGGGTTCGGAAGATAGTGAAGAGTTTAGGGCGAGTTTTGCAGACTTTAAGAACGTGCCACCCTTTTCTCAGTCGAAGGAAGGCCTTGAGTCTTTGAATGGAATGAAGGATAGTCTGCCTTTCGAGAGCAAAGCATCTGACGTTCCACCAGTCAAGGTACCAAAGTCTGTGTCCTTGGTGTTTCCTTCAGCCCCTCTGGCACCCCGTCTACCTCCTATCATTGCTATTGAGGGGATGAAACCCAACGCTGCGTCCTGGATAAAATATGTTGCCGATTTTGAAAGTTACTTGCGAGAATGGGACAGGTTTAACGGGCTGGTTGTTGATCATTTTGCCACAAGGAAGTCGCATATTGACAATACGAGAGCAAGCAAAGGGTACGGTTTTTTGGCAGCCCGGGGAGATGGCGATTTGCAGGAATATCATAGCTGGGTTCAGCAGGATAACGATGTTCGACGACAGTGGAACAATGCATGTGAGGAGCACGAGTCACGGATGCGAGAATTCATGGCGTTTAGACAGAGGATGAAGGACAGCCGCGTTTGAGCCTGGGTGTTCTTGGTCGGATTGCATTCTTTTATATTTAGCGAGAGATGGTGTAGTCGCGTTTATTCAGTTTTCGGGGCAGCGTGCTGTCCTGGACATGAATGATACCCATGGACTTTACACGGCAAATGTGTTTTCCTCGCGATCAAGTTCCAAACACGGAAGAGGTGATGGTATTACATGGAGCTTGTGTTCATGTGAACAGCAATACGCAGTTCTGACAAGAAGCAAGAAGTCGACTGGTGCATGTCGGGATATTTACCATCAAACACTACTACTGCAAACACTACTTACCTAGTTCGTTTGTTCCGTGGCAACGGCCAGGAGCTCGACAAGGTACGACGAGCCCGTCTGCCGTGGACAGTTCAATAATTGAATACCTCCTACTCCGCCAGCCACATGGATGTGCCCTGTTGTGAGGTTCGCTGGGACGACTCGCTTGCGGGCGACTCACTTTTGAATCACTTTTTGGCCACGATTACAGAGCACCTGGCATGGCAAGCTGCCATGTAAGCTGTGCACACAAGAGAATGGAGCTGCCTCTTCCTCTCTTCTCTTCTCTTCTCTTCTCTTCTCCCTCGCAGTCCATCACTCGCATCCTAAGCTTTTGTTCTTCGTTCCTTCACTCCGTGCCTCTTGTGACTACGTCAAACACAGGACTAATAACCCCCTTCGTCTTCTCCGCGACAAGTCCTGGGGTCGAATTTTCTTTTTCTTCGTCATAAAGATGGATTCTGCGAGCAGTGACAAGGCGGACGGCAAGGCGCTTCCCTGGACTGAGGAAGCCAAAGTACGTATTATTCCCCTGTTTCATTGATACGAGGCGAGGTTGTTGGGGCAAGGCGGCAAATGGAAGTGGATGGATGAGGAGAGGCGACCACCCGAGAGTTGATCCATCGTCAGGGTTCGCGCGAGGGTGTGCTCCGTGATACGTGTAGGCATGATCGTGTCCGCAACTGACAGTCATGTAGTTCCAGCTCCTGATCCGCATTGTCGCCCAGCTGCGCGAGAACGGACGGTCCATCAACTGGCAGAAGATCGACATGCCAGGTCGCACTGTAAAGTCCATGCAGAACATGTGGACCAAGATCAATAAGATGATTGCGGAGGTTGAGACCGAGGGGGGGGATGTGCCGATTCAGCGGCCTACTCGTGGGTTTTTCCCCCCCTTCTCCCCCGGCTTTCCCTTTGTCCTTGTCGTGGGTCGTGCCGTCGACCGTCTTGTCATGCTCGCCGTTCTTGTGCGTCGTTTCGTTGGGTGCTTTTGGACTGAGCACCGCCGGGCTCTTTTGCCGCCGCTTTCTTGACGAGGAGGTCCTGCTGGACTTTGCTGACTGACATGCTGGCAGCTCGCAAACGGGCGCCGAGGAAGAGCATGGCGGCCTTGGACGACGACGAGGAGCTCTCGACACCGACAAAGTCTCCTGAGAAAGTGACGCCTCAGAAACGTGCTTGTGAGTGTTGCATGTCCTGGAAACGGGCAGCTTGGGTACCCGAGACTGACTAGAGTGCCGCTGGTGAAGCCAAGGCTGGGGGCGGCGCTGCCAAAAGGCCCAAGAAGGGGACCGACGACACGGAAGAGGAACAAGGCTCGGCGTTGAAGGCGGAACCCGATGTGGAGGCATAAACGCTTGGTTATAGACGCGCCTTCTCGGACTCAACTGGCTACGGAAAATGGTTGCTTCACTTGGAAATCATCTGGATCGGCGTGGGAAAAGTCGACGCGGCGGTGTGAACCAACGGTAGAGATTGACATGTGCTCCGCGGAGCGATATTTGCTATTGGGACCAAATCGAATTCATGCTGCGCCATCGGTTTCTACAGGGCGGCATCATTGGGCCTCTGCGCCATGGTTTTGCTCAGAGGTTGGGTCCGTCACGAGGACGGGGGACTGGGAGGTGTATGCGCGGTCTGCCTGCATGTTGTTACGCTGGTGTGCGGTCGAGTTGCGAAGCAGGCTTATGCAGATGCGGAAAAAGTGCGATACGAACCCACGGTTGGGGCAGCGTGCGTGTCTGGTAGAAACTCAGTGCCGCCGTCACGGGGAGATGATGCCGTGAACACTGAAGGCATTCCGTTCCGCGTTTGGCACGACTTTGCGTAATGTAATGGCCTCTGCCCTCGAGGCTGGGTGTAACAGACGGAGAAGCGAGACACGACATCTGGCAAGGAAGCGTCTCGATTCCCCGGCGCCAGAATGCGTACGGACCACCCGGTCGGAGAGTATATTCCCTGGTGTTGAGATGGACGGACTTGTCCCGACTGCCGTGTGGCAACTCCAGCAGCTACACAGATGGGAAACGCTTGCATGGCTGTCGTTTTACCGTCGGGATCACTGGGTCGTCAATGATGTTCTGCATTAGCCTGCTCCGTGATCCGCTCTGGTTCCCGGTGTGTTGCCCTGACGAGTTAAAGGGAAGCATGATGGAATGCAGACGTTGGGGGTTGAGAGTCGCGGTCGAGAAAGTAAGTTTTGCCCTCGTTCCGAGGCTGGGAACATCGGACGAAATGGTCAGACCCGTTGCCCGTGTTCAGCCAATCCGACCAGGCACTTATCTGATCCAGGGTTGTCAACTTGTCCTGCTGCTTTGTACTCCGCAACAACTGTTTTGCAGACGTGGTAGATGTTGTCGTCAATGCTCGCTCGCGTACGTACATGGATATGGATGGTGCAGTGTCTTGCGCCTGGCCCCATTCCCGCCTCCCGTCTCCCGTCTCCCGTCCCCGGACCCTTCCCCTGGCCCCCCCATCAACGGTCCCTTGCTGGGGCCTTCAGCGCCCCGTCACCGTCCAAACAAGTGCAGGGTACCTGCCTAAGCACCCAGGTACTGGGGTGGCACACCCTGATGGAAGGCTGTGGGCTGCAACGATTATCCTGCTGATCCACACCAGTCCATTTTCTCATCCATAAACTGTTCATCTTCACATCACATGGACTGACTGACTGCCCATCCACCAGCCTTCTTCCTAGCCGGCAACTACTCAGAGCCGCTCGAACCGCCGATTCTCCCTCCGTTGCGCTACTCTGTCGTATCTCGATGCGCTGTCAGTCCCTCTGTCGACCTGGAACTTGTCACGAAAAATCACCAGCCCAGTACTACTTCCTCTTTTCCCACCAAGACCTCTCGTCAGCAAGGACGTTCCTTCGCAACGGCCGACTTTGAAGCGAATAAATCCTCGCCCGAGAACAGTCACCGTTAGATACCAGAAAGCGGTCGTTTCAAAGAAACTTATAAAAGGCCCAACCAAGAGACGACCCCTCTAGCCTTTCTCTCCCGGCTTCTTGCGACTGTGTCGTCGCAGTATTCCTGTGTCGATTTCCAATAATGTTGCCCAGCATGAACGGAACAGAACCCTCAGCAAGAGGCAAGAGAAAGGCTCAAATCTCTCCCGGCCACTCACCAGCAGTCAAGCGTGCCACCAACGGCAAGCTGTCCCCTGGTGACAATACTCCAGATGTCGTTGATATTGCACCGTACGACGGCGTGTCAGGCGAGTCAGAAATTGATGACATTGACGCCAGCACTCCCATTTACATAGACACACCTGGAAGCTTGGGCGAGTGGCAGGACACAATTCAAAAGGTCGTGCGGAACGTGGTCGCAATTCGGTTTTGCCAGACCTGTTCTTTCGATACCGATCCAGCCTTGACGAGTGAGGCCACCGGCTTCGTCGTGGATTCGGAACGAGGGTACGCTATTTCGAGCAGTTGCCAGGAATCTGCCCACACCAGGACTTTCCTCGTCTGTTGACGTACGCTAATGGGAGGATAGATACATCCTTACGAACCGACATGTCGTCGGCGCCGGACCCTTCTGGGGCCACTGCGTCTTTGACAATCACGAAGAAGTGGATTGCTATCCCGTTTACCGCGACCCTGTACACGACTTCGGCATCCTTCGATACGATCCCAAGGGGATCAAGTATATGCACGTTGATGGCTTAGACTTACGTCCAGATCAGGCTCAAGGTTTTTTCCTTCCCCCACCCTTGCTTTCTTGCAAATGGTTGAACAAGGCACTTGAACAGTGGACTGACATGCTCTTACAGTTGGCGTCGAAATCCGGGTTGTCGGTAACGATGCCGGTGAAAAGCTCAGTATTCTGTCGGGCGTAATCAGCCGCCTCGACCGGAACGCTCCCGAATACGGGGAGGGCTACAGCGACTTCAACACATGCTACTACCAGGCCAATGCTGCTGCCAGTGGTGGTAGCTCCGGTAGTCCTGTCGTCGCCAAAGATGGCTCTGCTGTTGCTCTCCAGGCTGGTGGCCGCTCCGATGGCGCATCGACTGACTATTTTCTACCGCTTGATCGACCATTGCGCGCTCTCAAGTGTATTCAACAAGGTAAACCCGTCACGCGTGGTGACATCCAGTGTCAGTTTCTGTTGAAGCCATTTGATGAGTGCCGTCGACTGGGTCTGACACCTGAGTGGGAGGCGGAGATTCGAAAGGCCTTCCCCAACGAAACGAACATGCTTGTTGCCGAGATCGCTCTGCCATCTGGGCCCTCGGACAGCAAAATAGAGGAAGGTGACGTCCTTGTCAAGGTGAACGGGGAGCTCATTACTCAGTTCATTAGGCTCGACGACATCTTGGACTCGAGCGTAGGCAAGACCATCAAGGTCCAACTGCAGCGGGGCGGTGAGGACATTGAGGTGGAAATCGAGGTTGGGGACTTGCACAGCATCACGCCCGACCGCTTTGTGTCAGTCGCTGGCGCAAGTTTTCACAACTTGTCCTATCAGCAAGCCCGCCTCTATGCAGTGGCTGTCGAGGGCGTATATGTTTGTGAATCTGCCGGGTCTTTCAGGTTTGACAATCACGACAACGGCTGGATCGTTCAGACCATCAATCACAAGAAAGTTCCCGACCTCGACACGTTTATCCAAGTCGTCGGGACAATTCCTGACAAGGCGAGAGTGGTGGTCACCTACAAGCACCTTCGCGACCTGCACACCCTCAACACGACGGTTGTATACGTGGACAGACACTGGTCCTCCAAAATGAAGCAGGCAGTTCGAAATGACAAAACAGGCCTATGGGACTTTACCGACTTGGGAGATCCGCTGCCACCAGTTCCGCCGGTTCGCCGGTCAGCATCCTTCATCGAACTGGATCACATGCCTCATCCTGGCATTGCAGAACTGATAAGAAGCTTCGTCCACGTCAACTGCACCATGCCGGTAAAGCTGGATGGATTTCCCAAGAACCGCAGGTGGGGCATGGGGCTAGTTATCGACGCCGAAAAGGGTCTCGTCTTAATTTCGAGAGCTATTGTCCCCTACGACCTCTGTGACATCACTGTCACCATTGCCGACTCCATCTTCGTGGAAGGCGAAGTTGTTTTCCTGCACCCACTTCAAAACTATGTCATCATCCAATACGACCCGGCTCTCGTCGATGCCCCTGTCAAGAGCGCTAGATTGAGCAGCGAGCACCTCAGCCAAGGTGCCAAGACTTACTTCCTGGGTCACAACAGAATCGGTCGTGTTGTGCACAGTGCTACAACCGTTACTGAAGTCACAGCTGTCACTATTCCCGCCAACTCTGGCGCCCCTCGTTACCGTGCAATCAATGTGGATGCTATCTACATCGACGGCAACCTCGGGTCTACCTGCAACAGCGGTGTTTTGGTCGCCCCTGACGGAACTGTCCAGGCACTGTGGCTTTCGTACCTTGGCGAACGATCACCCTGCAGCCAACGAGACGAGGAGTACTATCTCGGACTTGGGACGCCAACCTTGCTGCCTGTCATTTCCACAATTCAAAAGGGCGAATCGCCGAAGCTGCGGTTACTCTCGGTCGAGTTCAGAGCGATACAAATGTCACAGGCATCCGTCATGGGTGTTTCTGATGACTGGATCAAGAAGGTTACGCAGGCCAATCGATCTCACCACCAGCTCTTCATGGTCAGCAAACGAACTTTTGAAAGGGTCAACCAGCCAGTGTCTCTGTTAGAGGGCGACATCATTTTGACTTTGAACGGCAAAATTTGTACCACCATTTCTGACTTTGATGTCATGTATTCCAATGACGTGCTCGACGCCGTCATTGTCCGAGAGTGCGAAGAGCTGCCCTTGCAGTTGGCCACTGTTCCGGCAGATGACATCGAGACCGATCATGCCGTGTCATTCTGTGGCGCCATTCTGCACCGGCCCCATCAGGCTGTTCGTCAACAGATTAGCAAACTTCACAGCGAGGTGTACGTGTCCAGCAGAATCCGTGGCTCGCCAGCCTATCAGTATGGTGTTGCACCTACCAACTTCATCACACATGTCAACGGCCAGCCTACGCCGGACCTGGACTCATTCATTGCTGCGACACCCCCGCGCGCGGGAAATGCATAATCACATGCTGACTTTTGTACAGACTTCCGCCTAAAAGCTGTCACGTTTGACAACGTACCGTGGGTAATCACCATGAAAAAGAATGACCACTATTTCCCCACGATGGAGTGGATCAAGGACAGCAATGAGGCCTGCGGATGGCGTCGCGTTACGTATGAAGGCAGAGAAATTTTTCAAGGGGAGTCCGTCGACGGCGTGCTCCCCATTGTTGAAGATACAGATATGGACTGATTTGTGTGTGGTGGAAGTCTGCCATTCGGCGTGGAGTTGCTGTTGATTGTCACGGCGCCCACGAACCGTGGCTTGTAGTATTATACTGCATGGCACAAGCTGGTCGTGTTACAGGGACTTGTGCACTGGATACAGGCGTTGAAGGCTATGAAGGAACTTAATTCCTCGGAAATGATCTACAGCTGATGTTACGTGATGGATGCTGAACTTTTCTATGTCAACCCGCGTGCCTTTGCTATTCGGCATGATGTCGTCGAATCATATGCCTGGGTACCCGGGCAAGTCTTTACCGATGTGTTACATGCAGAAGATAATAGATCAGTTACAATCTCACCTTCAGACTCTGTGCAGGGCAGAAGTTGGTGTTTAAGAAAAGCGTCATTTCAGAGAAAGTGCCTCCAAGGGGACTGTGGACTAGCCCTGAGTGATTGACGTTTGCCGTACCACTTGGGGGAATGGGCACTTGGGTGCCTGGGTAAGTACCTAATGTAAGCACGCAAGCACTTTACTTTAGTAAGTACCTAGGTAGGTACTTATATGGACGTCTACGTCCTTCTTTGAACAGAGGCTGGGACGATGCGCGAAGTGGTAGTGCGACGTTGTGGTGGGGCAAGCTGCTCCTCGATATCGATACATCACCCACCCAGCTCTCACATGGCAGCTGACATGGCCTGCCGGCAAGCACAGCTGGCTGGATTTATCCCGCCCGCCCTCTTCCGTTTGTCCCTGAAGCAAATCCATACATTCACCTCGCCGGTCCCTGGTGTCACTGTCAAGCAAGCGGTGAGCCTGATACCGCGTCAACGCATATTATCCTTCCGAGTCGCCCGCCATGCCTCCCGCGCAGTCCATCCTGGTGAGCCCCAGAGTCCAGAGCCTCCCCCCCGACCCCGCCATGTCCATCCATCAGTGACGCAACAGGTCGAGACATATCCTGAGGGCCACCAAGCTGACCGAGACTGAATCGCCGCAGACCAAATTGAAGGTTCAGCTCAAGCTCGCAATCGCGAGACTGCGCATGGTCCAGCAGCGCGACGAACAACTGGGCAAGTCTCAACAGCGGGCAATGGCCCAACTTCTCGAAGCTGGCAAGATCGACTCCGCCACCATCCGCGTCGAGAACATCATACGTTCTGATATCACGACCGAGCTCCTCGAGATGCTGGAGCTCTACTGCGAGCTGTTGCTCGCTCGTGCGGGACTCATGGAAAGTTCTGTCTGCGATCCCGGTCTGGAGGAGGCCATCAAGAGCATCATCTACGCTGCGCCAAAGACGGAAATCAAGGAACTCGTGTCGGTTAGACAGCTTCTGGGGGAAAAGTACGGCAAGGAATTTGTGCTCACGGCCATGGACAACTCAGATGGCAAGGTCAATGAGAGGGTTGTCAAGAAGCTGAGCGTCGAGCCGCCAAGGCCGGAACTCGTGCAGGGCTACTTGGAGGAGATTGCGAGAGCGTATGGTGTCGATTGGCCGAGGAGGGAAAAGGTCACGCCCCCGCCGGAGCTTGTCGACGATGATGATGATGATGATGATGATGACGATGAGGGGGGCGATCACGACGATAGCCAGTCGGGCGGGCAGAAGATATTGGCAGAGCCCCTGACGGCCGGGAGAAAGCTTTCCAGGGGCGAGGAGGAGTTGAACAAGGCCACCCCGCCGCAGGGGTTTGCTGGTCCCAGGAGTCCGGTGACGGTTACGCCGCCGAGGAGAACGACGGAAAACGTCCATCCCAAGGTGACGCTGGGGTCGGTTGAGCTGAAGCCGAATAAGAGGATGGAGGCTGCGGCTAGTAGGAAGGAGCCCGAGGGGGCGGTGCCCGACATAAGTGACTTGGAGAGGAGGTTTGCAGCATTGAAGAAGAGGTGATGACGGGATGGACGGAGGGGATAAACGCAGTTTTTTTTGTACCACCTGCAGACGCGCTCATGCTCACAGCGTTCTTTTTTACGTACCTAGATACCGTCAGTTTCTGGCACCGTGCTCAACTACGAGATACCTAGGCTCCCGGCAGTCTCATGTCGACCATGTGTCGAGTATGCGATCGTATATCCCACCGTCTCAGACCATCGCCCGCTACCCAGGCACGTAGCCAGGGTCAGTCACCTTTGGCTCCGAAGGGAGATTAGCTACCTAGGTGATGTTCGAAAACAGACCAACCTCGTTGAACTGTATCAATGTTTCAAGTCCATGCCTGGTTGGTGTTTGTCTTGTGCAGCCGTTGCGGCCGTCTGCCGGCTGGCGGCCGACTGCCTCCAGAAGCTGAAAGAAACTCGCCGACTTTGCTGTCCCACACCACACAGGCGCACCTTCTCCTCTCAATCGTCTTGTTTTCCTGGCCTCTTGAGACTTTGGATTGTTTGCGTTCTCTGTTTACCTTGCTCTTTGCTATTGGCAGCCACTTGGAGGCGGGCAATCTGTTCCTGGACCCAGATGCGCATCATGTGCAGTCATTGGTCCCCCAGAAACGTCGTCGAAATGGACAGCCCGGACCGCGTACTCGATAACCTCCGAGATATCCTGGGATGCAGCGGTCTAAGGGACTTCCAAGACCTCGCCAAAATGAGACTGGACACGCTCCACGGTCGAATCGGAGCCGTCAATCATAGGCTCTCACGACACAATGTCATATCCATCTGCATCGGTTGGCTTCAGACCAATGTCTTGCAAGACCCGTCTTCCCTACTCCCAATCAAGAATTGGTGCTCCGCCTTGGTAGACCAGCGATGCAATGGAGAGGACGTGCTTCATTTTTGGCAGTATTCTCTGGATCACACGTGGCTCTACCATAGACGAAACCGTCAAGGGCCACTAGAACAAATGAACAGGCTTTATGGTGAGATTAAGAGGTATTTGTATGAAGATGAATCTTCTCTCGATGGGAAGCCAATGGTTAGTCCTAGTTCTAATCCGCGAGGCGCACTCTTGGGGAAGACTATGGATAACTATGATGAGGTACCTCCTAGGGGGGAAGGTGCTGGACAATTTGTTACAGCGATAGGTTGCGCAGAGAAGACAACCAATCTGCCCTCGAGGCCCAGTGAGGACGAGGATGGTGTCTCCAGACACCAGACAAAAACCTCGGGCTTAGACAAAACGGAGGCCCTCAATGAGCGGAAGCATGACCTTCAAGATCATACCATAAAGGGTCTCCAGAAAAAGGGGGCGCAAAAAGAGGCTGCCCAGACAAAAGGCGCCCGAAAGAATTTTGCATCTCCCAAGGCTCCAGCAGTTCCAAGCTTGGCCAAGCCTCTTGCGAAAGATATCTGTCGGAGATGTCACACCGCAGGTGAGCGTGCCTGACAGTTAAAGCAGTGTATTTATTGCTGAATAGACTGTCTTAGGGCATGCTTTCTCCAATTGTCCCACCATCAATGACCCGTCATGGGATCCTCCTCCGCATCCGAGATATAGGAGGAGGTGAGTTCACATCCCCAACGTCGCTTTCTGATCTAACATCACCCAGTACGTATAAGCACGACTTGCTGGTCAAGTGGGGATGCGTTACAAGAAAAGTCGTTACGGAAAAAGTCGACCGTGGGGCAGGCAAAGTTGCTGGCCACACTGCAGACCAAGTTTTGTCTCAAGAGGAAATTCGATGCGAAAATTGCCCCTGGGAAAAACCGCAATGGAGCTGTGGCAGAACAGCAGTGACCTGATTGAATTTGTTTCTCGAGCCGAAAATGAGGCGCCTTTGGTCGTTATCAAGCTGGAAGAGAGTCACGGCGCTAGTGACGATTCCAGGGCGATCGAGGGCATTTAGAATGGTGCTGCGGCTGGCAGTACTGTGGAAGGGGAGGAAAACGACAGCGTTCCCCCTTTGACATGTGCAAACGAGAAAGGCGAGGAGTGTGGTGGTTCTGGGCATGCCGCTGCATGCGAGTTACACCACACTAGTGGTGTAGCTATTCATTCTGTCAATGACGAGGTGAAGCAGAGTGGCGCCATGTCTTACCCTCTCGTTGCAGCTGAAGGCAACAAGAATGCCGCGGCGTTTGTCGACGTTGTAGAGAAAAAGGCAGAGGGAAGCGCTTCTGCAACCGACTCTCTTGTTGTAGATGGGGAAGATGTTGGGCGAAGCAGTATTGGGCTCCCCGTTACGAATAGTCCACGCCAGAATGACGCAGCTGTTAGGGCTGTTGAAACTGAGCCGAAGCAAGATGAAGGCGGCGTTGAACACTGTGCGCATATCGTAGCCTAGTGCTGAGATGATGTCGAGTGTAGCAATGTGAGAGCGCAGCTGGTGCGCCTCTATAGAATATAAGATCATTGAAAGTAATAAAATTGACCTTAGATAAGCAAGCAATAGCTCAGCAATGTCGTCCATGGTATCCCGGCGAGTCCTTTCGCAACGCCAAACTCCATGATGTAAGCCTCCAGCAACGATATTCGTCATGTACTGTTTGTCCAAATCCTCAGGGGGTTGACTGCAAACCAAAGCCAATTCCTCTCCGTCTGCGCTTCCCCTCTGACCAAGGATAAAGGATAATCACTCAAGCTTGTCCAAATGTTCTAACCTCGTCAAGACAACCTGCTTGCTCGTCTCTTCAATCTCTCCGGCCAAGAAGACCTCATCCAATATCGCGTAGACTTTGTAAAAGTTAAAGACAAGATCCAGCTCGCAGACATTTCCGAAAAAGGCATCCAGCACCTCGACAAAGAAGTGGATGGCCTCGAGGTAGGCCAGCTCGTTGTCGTTTGTGTCGACGCAAACGCAGAAGAAGAGCCCCGCGTAACGGCGGTACACAATCTTGTTGTTGCGGAACTCGACGAAGTTGGACTGGTATTTCTGGTCGCGCGGCGCCACGAGCCTGTGGACTTCACCCTTGAGCTTGATCTTTTGGTCGTCACTGTAGGGTGCGTACCATTTCGCGAGGCGGGTTTTGCCCCTGGGGAGAGCGGGTGTCATTAGCGGATGGACAGAGGATTGAGGGAGACGACAGAAGGAAAGGGGACGAACTGGCGGTTTTGGATGAGGATAAATGATAGCATGGCGGTAGCGGGGGGTTGGTCGGTTGGGATGGACGTTGCAGATGTGGTTGTATTTCCGTGCCCGTTTGCCGTTTGAGGGGTTCAACGGATCGGAGACTGGCTTGGGGTTATGGCCACGGCGGAAGTCGCGGCGGGGTGTAACTGCCCAAGTACGTGTAAGTGCCCAGGTACTTCGTACATGGGAAGGTACCTACCTACTATTTAGTAGGTACCCAACCGACCTATGCAAAGCTTCCTTAGTCCGCTGCGTTGCAGAGCTGGGTCATTGAATGTTAAAAAGAAACCAGCGTTATCATGATGATTTTAAACATAAACCTACGCCGTACCTACTCAGGTATTCCAGGACGGCATAGAAATGTCCATTGTTGAAAGTCTGCCAGCGGGCCAAGTTACTTTGGTGCTTAGATGTGGTTTTACTTTCCCATTACCCATCTTACTGGCCGCTCCTTCCTTCCAAATGTGGGTAGTTGATCACCTACTTGGTAGTAACCATGCCCATGGTGTAGATCAGATCGTCAAGCTACAGCATCATGACATCTGCCCACAACTGCAACACCCATGTTGAATTGCATGTGGTTTGGGCCGCTCTCAGACCCAATGCGTGTGTACTGCAAGACTTCTTCTTTTCTGCCTCTGGCCTTTTCTAACACAACTGCCGCAGCGGCATATTGCCTTCTCACATTGTCTCGTGCCGAAACTGGGCAGAACCTCGAACCACGTTCGAATATTCTCGTTGATTCACGATTACCGCTGCCATGGGATTTGGTCCACAACTCCGCGAACTATGGCGTCCTCGAAGTCATTCCGGCGGCTGGTCACAGCAATTTGGGGTGATTGGCGAACAAATGCATTGTGGCAGCGCATCGTCAAGCATTCTCTGGCCTGCACCATTGCGACCATCATAGCCATCCTCCCTCATTTCAAGGCCATTGCGACATTCTTGATACCCATGGTTACCGTGTTTGCTCATCCCGGGCAACGGACGGGCCCCATGATTGAGGCACTTCTCATGATTCTCTTTGGAGGGCTGTTGGGGCTGTCATGGTCAGTTCTCGGTTTATACCTGTCTAGCCTGGTTGAAGATGTCAATGCACCCGCAGCCTATACTATTCGCGCTTTATTCCTTTTGGTTGTTGTATTATTTCACGGGTTTTTTTTTAAGGTCTATGAGCCCCCGTCTCTTTAATTTTCTTTTGTTTCTACTCGTCTCTGCATTGCTTACAATTCAGCTGCCGAGCAACACAACCACATCCTTATTTACCAGCATTTACATCCCTATTTTGCTCGGAGCTGGCGTTTTAGTGGCTGTCAATCTGGCTGTCTTTCCGGAGCTATCTAGCAGTTACCTTGGCTCATCTACGATTGAGACTCTATCGACTACCATAGACACATTGACATGAGCGACTCATTGCTTCATCACAGCAGGTTGCCATACTTCTGAAGCAAAAAGCAGCTCCAATACTTTCGCCAAAGTGCCAACAGCTGGGGCCAGCAGGACCGCAAGCGGAGCAAGACGAAAAGACAAGAGGCACATTGAAGCCTTTTCACCCATTTCCGCAATCCATTGCATGCGAGTAAAGGCCACATAACAGCTGCTACTGAGCCTGTCCATCGAACTACAGTAGCTTACCTAATAGGGCAAAAAGCTAAATTGCGTACACAGCTTTCACGTTGTAAAGACGCTCAAGACGAAGTCAATTTTGAGATTTCTACGTCATCTCTGCCCCCGATCGCCATGAAGCCTATCAGTATAGGCTATATGACAAGCCTTGTTCAGAATATCATTACACTCATAGGCAACTGTGAGAACAAGTTTGTGCTTGCTGGTAGCGAGGGCCACCGCCTTGTGGCTTACCAGACTGTTCGGAGCACCCCGAAAATGCAACACCAGATTTTCAAGGGAGGACGGCACAACGAACCCAGTCAACTAGCCACAATGCAGTTGCAGAACCACATTGCCAGAAGAAGGTCAAGATTGCTAATCTCAGATGGGGAGATTGAAGCAGGCAGCTCACAGCTCCTCGAGATGACCCTCTCACGTATCCGGCTTCCAGTACAAGTCTTTCATATCTCTATGAAAGAAGCTGCAGATTTACTAATAGCATGTCTTGCCTATTGTTGTGAAGTCCCAATACTGCTCTCCGGAGCGCCTACACCAAATGGCGTGCTCCTGGGAGAGATTGATGCTGGGATCGACAAATTCTCGGCTTGCCTCTCCGCCTTTGATGCAGGATCTGCCGGGGCGCTCGAAAAGGCAATAATGGACGAATCTGGCCTGGCAGTAGATTTCATGCCACACATGGAGACCTTCCTTGTTTCCTCATTCATTCTTGCACTGCGCGACTCGGCAACTCAGATTCTGCATATGCTTCGGCATGTAAGGAGTCTTGCAGAAAGAAGACAGAGACGACATGATAAATTCCGGATCTGGATTCCTCAATACAAGAATCTAAGGAACTGGCTAACATCCGGTGGTGAAGCTGATGCCAGGGTTCTTCCCAAAGGAGCCAACAAGGCAGCTCGTCAGGGGCTTTCAAGTTCATCTCCCGAGGAAAAGGCCGAGCCATTAAGCGACAAGTTCCAGGATCCAGCTGTGGCCAAGGATGAGGAATCGCGTCCCGAGATCATTAGTTGTTACAAGTCTAAAGAGACACAAAAATTACCAAGCAAACCAAACAGCCGGGAAAGAAAACAGTCCCCGCGTCGCCTCATTGCGCAGTTCCGAGGTACAGTGGCGGACGTCTTGGAGTGGACCCAACAGTCTGACGATGTCGAGCATGCATCAAAGTTTGCAGTTGCAATATTTTTGGTTTCTTGGCCAGCTTTTGTTTCTTCTTCAGTGCTAGCTACAGCGAAGTGAAAGGGGTGTGGGCTCCCATGCAACTTATTCTTGTATTCAAGGTTGCCATTGGCACATCCTTATTTGTTTTTACCGTTAGACTCTTTGGTGTCATCTTTGGTTGCGTTGTTGGAGATCTTTCGGTGGAAATTGGACGAGGTAATCGCGTTGCTGCTGTGGTAATTCTTCTTTTTGGTGTAGTACCGTCTGTGTATGTCCAGGTTGCAACCAAATATGTCAAGGCAGGGATGATGTCGATTGCGTCGTTGGGGGTTGTTGCTTTGGGTGAGAATACAACCCAACGCCTCGTAATACGGATAGCGAACTAACCGTACGTGAATCAGCTGCGATCAATGAACCCACTGCGGCCTCACATGTCTTCTACGAACGGCTAGTTGCGTTTCTGGTCGGTGGTCTTGTGGCCATGGTAGTTGAAACACTCGTCGTCCCCGTGCGAGCCAGAGACCGGCTGGTAGAGTCTCTATCTACATCGGTTCGTCAAGTCCAGAAGATGCAAGCCGCCGTGGCGGTTGGTATCGATGACCCAGAGAGGCCGAACTTTCGGTCCTCGAAGCTTTTGACCCGTTTTATCCATTCTCGCGACAAGGCTCAAGAGGCACTAGCAGCGGCTGAGATGTTCTTGCCGTTCTGTCTCACTGAACCACGTCTGAAAGGGAGTTTCAAGCCATTGGCGTCAATTTACAAGGAAATTGTTTACGTCCTACACCAGATCATCGATCGAATGGGCAACGTGGTTCAACTACGCAGGGCATGTGGTTCATCCATCTTGGAGGACTTGAACTCGCGAGTGTACACGTACCGTAGAAACGTTGCCGCCAGCAGTACTTTGATCCTCTTTTCAGTGCAGGAAGCGCTCACTACGTGGCTACCGCTACCTCAATTGCTCCTATCGGCTCGTCTAGCACAGTTAAGACTCATCAACCGCATTCGGGAGCTGTTGATAGGGCAGGATCCAAAGGGGCCGAAACCAAACATGCTGAAGTACCAGCGAGGGAGGCCTAATCTGGATAAGGAGACGGCAAGTCTGATAACCCAACACAAGTTTTTATCTTGGAATGCCAGCACATCTGGGCAAATAGAGATAATTGAGTATCTTGAAGAGCTGGCAGAGCTGGTAAAATTGCTGGTTGGCGTCAATGCCTTTTGAGACGGTACGCTAGAGCGGCCGCAATGTCGACAATATATTCGACAGCTAGAGACTGAACAGGACGAGGACTTGGGCAGAGTTCTATCAAAACGCTCCCATGCTTTTGCTCAGGTAGATGGCGAGGGTGACGACCTTGGATGCAGCACGCGCAGACCACGGGCTACCACAACTGGGCCGGGGGGCAATAACCCCCTATTTGCGCTTGGCCAAATGGATGATGAAGCAGGTCCTGGAACCGATGACTCGGAAGATGAAGACGAGGTGATACCAAGAAGTCTACAAAGAGTTGGAACGAGATTAATGAGAGTCAACACAGTGGTGAGAAGGCGGCAATGTACAGGTGCGTAGAGAGAATAGCATAGCATGGCGAATTTTCAAGATGTTGCTCGGTATCCATCAAGCCGAATCCCACCATTTATGCCATGTATAGGTGTCAAGGTATACTCGAACGGTTTTGCCGCCAATGCTTTTCCCACGTCCCCATCATTCAGACCAAAAAAAAAAAAAGAAAGCCTCTACGCTGAACCAACGCCAACACGCCCCCGTCTATTCACAGGGAGGAAGCGCAGTGGAAGAATACAAGCAAGCAGCCACCAATGAAGCAACCGGCACCCTCAGATGATGTTGAGGGGCGTCTTTTGGACAATTTTGGACTCGTTGAGCATAGCCCTCGTCTTCTTGGGCCGCTCCTGGAAGCGTCTGAATGCCTCCTGGACGTGGCGCGGCTCAACGGGAGTCTTGCCCTCACTCGGGGGGTCAAACAGTCCTCCAGGCTGCATTTTCCTCTTCTTGGTCCCCGCATTGTCCGCACCGCTCTGGGCCCTGGCCATGTCCTCCTGCTCCTTGACCTTGAGCGCGACTTCTGTCAGGGTAGCCACCATCTCGAAGGTCAGGAAGCCCAGAATGTCAACAATGTCGTCTGACGGCTTACTGTCAGTCACGATACCGAAGCCAGCCCACTCCCTGAACCTCTTGCCCTTCCTCCACGTAAACGACGCTTGGCGGTATTCAGACCACGTCACGTATTCCTCCTTGGTCATGGCCTTTGTGCGTTCGTCGGCCTTGCGGAGCCGCTGGAGGGTCATGTAGTTCATCTCCTCCTCTTCCTCGTCGTCCTCCTCGTCACGCTCGGGAACTTCTACGGGGTAGAATGACGCCGGCTCCCAGGGCAAGCCGACCTTGGCCTTTTTGTTCTTCTTGGCGGCTTCGTCGACGGGGCCGCCGGGGACGACGGCGTCATCACCGCCCGCGAGGTCCGCGTCGGCACCCTTGTCGTCAGAGTCTTTGACGTTTTTGCGCACGTCTTTCCAGGAGAGGAACGTGCGCAGTCGGCTGACTTTGGCTTGGTCGTGGCGGATTTGGAAAATGAGGTCGTTTGTCGATATGGATTTAGCGCCGCGCCGGGAGGCTAGTTCCGTGCAGTTGCGGAGCTGTGGAGAGGCACATGCTGGTAAGGGACTGTAATTTTGTATTTTTTTTTTTGTTTGGAACGTCTTTGCTTACTAGTTCTATGACTTGTTGGCGGACAATGTCCTCGATGATGCTGGTGGTCTCGACTGATGGTTCGCCGGTTTCACCGGAGACGTACATCATCTGCTGCGGTTAGCGGGTTTTTTTATTTTTTTACTATTTTTTTTTTTTGGGCAGACGGCGCTCTCTTTGTGAATTCCAGGCCTTGGAATGTTTCAAGGTTGCAGTACCTGGCTAATCTCTTGGCGGTATTTGTACGCCTTGTTGTCCCTGGAGTCTGCCATGGTCGCCGACTCACAGCGTCGAGGTAATCGACGACGAGTGTGGATGAAGTGAGCGTTGTGGTTGAGTGCTCGACTTGGCTACCTTGCCGGGGGCATAGGTGAACCACGATGAAAGTCTGATGGCGGAACAGTTCGAAGACGAATTTTGGCGTCTGGACTTATGCGCGAGGCCGGTGGGAAGCTCGCGCAATGCGCATTGCGCTGAGTGGTGTCGGACGGAGTGTGAGGGCGACCGCGAGCGAACGCGAGACCTTGTGCCGAACGATGGTGCTTGGCGCCAGGGCCCAGGAGGATATAGGAGAGGATGTGCGGCAGGTATAGTTTCGAGGGGCGGCTGAAAAAAGCCGGCAACGCCAGGGCGGCGATATATGTGTCGTTGGCGATGAGTTATGATGGCAAGGTTGATTTGTCGACGACTTGGCTGGCGTTGGCGGCTGCGAGATGACTAGCGGCGCGGGCGCACGTGATCGGGGTCTCGGGGTTCGAGGTTGAAGCTTGACGGCATCGACGCCGCAACAACACTCGGGTTGTATTGGAAGCAGCTTGTAAGATTGCAACCTCTACGGATTGGTTCCCATGGCCCAAAATTTTTGCAAGGGACCGAATGCAGCACCCCCCCTTGCCCCCCAGACGACGACATAATGGGCGGCCAGGAGGTTCCATTCCTCGACCTCGTCCAGGCCCTCTAACCCATCTACTCTCTCCCTCTCCTTGCTGTCAACCCATTCGTTCCAGGTATTTCCAATCGTGGCGTAGCCAAGACTGTCGAATCCCGAGTCCCGTAACCTCGCTAGCTGGCCGTGGTGGTCTCTGTACGCTTGCAGGGAAGGCATGTGAATGTGTCGAGCTTCGAGGTTGGAGACCATCATGTCGCCAAATGCGTCGTGTAGCGGCATCGGTTCATATAGCAAAGCCGCTATGCTATCTATCTTGGAGCTGAAGAAGTGTAGGACGGTTTCGGAGTCTCGCTGCGTCAAGTAGCAGAGGCAGCACTCGGACAGGAGCAAGGTCGGGACGTCGCTGCGGACGTGGGAGGGAAGCTGTGTCATGGCCTTGGATATGTTGCGCAGGTCGAATGCGTGGCAGTGATACTCGCCGCCCTGGGGGGGCTCGGCACTCCAGGATCCGCCTTGGTGAATGATGATGTCCTTGAATATGCGACACAGGCCGGGCGATGACTGGGTGATGGCCAACTTGCGGCGGCACGTAGTTTCAAAGTCGATTTCGTGATAGACGAGATTTTGGGCGCCCGGTCTCTGCAGCATGTGCAGCGGTCTCGTGTCCGTTCCGGCACCAAGAGAGATGACTTGCTTCAGTGAGGAGCCATTGTGTGAAAGGAAGGCGTTTATCATGGCATCCAGGGCCCTGGTCCGCATATACGTGCCTGCGTGCTTCATTAGCATCCGTGACACGAGGGTCGCGCTGGTGCCGCGGCACGGACCTCGATTGATGATGGGCAGGCGTCTTGTCGGCGGCCCCGTGACGAAGTACCGCGCGTAGGGATCCTCCAGATAGCCCTGGTCGACGGCACTCAACCGGGAGACGGCCGCATCGGTATCTGTACCCTGAATGGCGGCATCTGGTGATGGCCCCGTGGACGGAGGGGGCTGCCGTCTTCCCCTGCCTCCACGGCCTCCGGGGCGACCGGTGGCTCTTGAGGAGAGGAGATTTGGTATGGACGGAGCAGCCATGTACGAGGGACGGCGGCGTTTGGTTGATTTCCTTTGCGGTTTGCCTTTGGTGCGAGCGTGTGCGTGTGTGTGTGTGTGTGTGTGTGTGTGTGTGCAGAGCTGAGAGGATGACGGGACGACGACACATGCAGCAGACGCGCTCAGGTTGCTGCTGCCTGCTGCTGGCAGCTGCCCAGCACTCTGTAGCTCTCCGTCACTTGCGGAGCACTGGGCAACTGCGATCAACTGCATGTACTTGCAAGCCGCTGCCCAGCGATGACTGACACTGCCCCACCAGCAGTCTGGCACCAGTCAGTGACTAACAAGGCTCTACTCCGTAGTGCCGCTTGGCCGCTCAGCGCCGCTTCCTCCATTCCGCTTCCCAGTTGTGACCGCGCTCGCTCCAGTCGTCATCGTCGCAAAATCACCGCCGGCATCTATTCTATTCGTAGTACTCCCCAGCTTTACCTTTATTGCTTCCTCCTCTTCTCCTCCGTTTTCTCGGCCTTCTTCGTTTACTCGCCTGGTTTTCCGGGGGTGGTTTTTTTTTCCTCTTTTTAATTCTCCCTCCCCCTCTCCGCATCGAGGTTGGCGTCATAATACCCAACTGCCATGCAGTTCCACGTCAAACGCACACTCGAGGGCGGCGATGACATCAAAGGCTACGAGCTGCCCTCATGGGCGCTGCTAGTCTTCCTCGTCGACTTCTTGGCTTTGATTCCCATACTTCTCCTCGTAAGTTGATACTGTGGATGAACCATGGGCTGGCTAGACGCATCCATGCCCTGGCCGCCATGACTGCGTCGTCACCATGACAGTGACATCTCCATGGCCTTCATGTGCTCACGAATTTTCCCAACAGTTCCAATATACCTTCAAGCTCGTCTATCCCGTCTTCGCCATGGTTGAAGATGAGAACCCACCCGCCTACGAACCCGTTCCCCTCGACCAGTCTGCGTCCAGCCGCGAAGAGGGCGTCGCTCGAAACCGCTTCAAGTCCACCCATGGCCAGCCTCGCACCGTTACGTCTTCCTTCCGCGCCGTCAACCGTCTCCTCATGGCCAACGGCGGCGTTCTGGCCAACTTCCGCGGTTTCTTCTGCTTCCTCGCCCAGCTCTTCCTGACTTCTATCCTCGTGGGCATCTTCACCGGCACCCTCGGCCGCTACTTCGTCCCCGTCGCCACCCTCCTCGCCTCCTTGGCCCTGGTTCAGTACAGCACCGCCTGGGTTCACATCATCATTTCTGAGCCATCGCATCTGCACTTTTGGTCTCGCCTGCCTCCCTTCCGACGCACATTCGAGGCCACCTGGAAGGCCGTCACGATTTTCTGGTTCGCCAGCGAGGTGGCTCGCTTCCTCCCCATATCCGTCGCTCTCATTCTCCGCCTCAAGATGCCCAAGGCTGCCTACAACGAACCCGTGGACATGGACGCCCTTGGCGCCGGCTTCGTCGTCAAGTCCGTCATTGTCACCGTTGTCACCATTGTCACCTCTGTCTTCGTTGTCATCCCCGCCTATGTTGTTCTCGTCCGCGTCCAGGCCTCACTGTTACCCGTCGAGCAGAGCACCATTATTCCCTTTGACCGCTCCTTTGACGGCAAGGTTGAGCCCGAGATCGTCGGTGGCAAGGGCTATGCCACCGTCTCTGACGCGTGGACTACCTTCAGCAAGACTGCATGGCGCCGCCTCTTGATTCTCTACGTCAAGATGTTCTGCCTGAGCTTGGCTGCCATGTCCCTCATTGTTGCTGTTCTCGTGCCTCAGGGTGTCTTTATTGCCAAGCACAGCAGGGAGATGCACTGAATGACCAGAGTCCTCTCTGAAGGGCACCGTAGAATGAGGGTTTCAAACACCCCCAATATGCCTGGTCTGTACTAGAAACAGCTCTACTGATGAACATGACCATCATTTACTTTTGTTTTTTTGTGGCGTTTTCAATTTCAACATCCGTCTCAGTACGGGCGGGTTGTCATTCTCTTCTTTTCACTGGGTAATTGTATCGACTCATGTAGAACCATACGTGTCAATCGTTGTCATCCATGGCATGGTTCGAGACCTGTTGCCAGTATGTTCAAAGTGTTGTATTTTCTTGTGCATATGTAGTGAAACCATACGTGAGCTCTACAATCGTAAAACTGCCCATCGACCAACTCCATCTTTCATAGTTCCATCAAGTGACAAATGACTCGGCTTTCACATCCCTTCTTTCCAGCCCTTTGTCAGGGTCCAGGGTCCAGGGTCTCGGGTCTCTGGGCGGCTCCCCTGTCCAATGTCTCTCTCTATCCTCTCTGCTCCTCCCATTGAACAAGCCTATTCCTTCTCAAAGGCTCATTTCGTCATGAATCCAATCGTCGTTGCCATCCAGTTTTTATCTATGTTGTAGAGTATGGACAGTGAAGGGGTGTGAGGGGCGGCGGAGGGAAAACGGGGCGTGTCTTTTCGCGCATTTCCTCAGTCCACCGGGTGAAAGGGGAATGTGGTGGGTAATTAACAAAACGAACAACAAGGTCCGGTCAAAATGAACAAATGGGAAAAGAAAAAGAAAGAGGAGGCACACACACACACACACAAAAGAAAAGACCCATTGAGGATACCAAAATGTTGCAAAGGGGAGGCGAGGCGTGGTAGGGTGTAAGAGGACAAGGACAAGGGCATCATTTCTTGCTTGCAGTATGCATCAACTGCGGGTCTTTGGGGTATGTCTGGTGTAATCTAATCGCAACGTCTAATCGCAAACGCCCTGTCGGAAAAAGCAACACGATTGCGCAAGACTACGACTTGTTGAAAAACCAGCTGCTGCGCTTGTTGTTGGTGCCCTCGTTCTGCAGCGACTGGATGGTAGGGACGTTGGGCCCGTCGCCTCCGCCGCCACGGAGAGGTTTGGCGATGCGGCTGCCGGCAGCAGAGAAGCTGAAGCCGCCGCCGGTGGCGTTGAGGCCCTTTGTGCTGCCGGCTTTGGCTGCCTCGAGACGCTCTTTGACGGAGGCGAGTTGAACCTCGAACCTGTTCAAGCAAGATGCTCGTTAGCAATGTCATGGTGAACGGGCGGATACTTCGAGTCGCTACATACTTGTGATTGGCGGCTGCCATCTTCTCCTGGCTGTCTTGCAGCAAGCTTTCCAGGCTCTGAATGCGCTCGTTTCTCGCAATGAGCTTACGCTCCGCAATGGCAACCTCCTTCTTAAGAGCAGAGTTCTGCTCAACGAGCTGGCGCTGGACCTGTGTAAGCTGTTCGAGATTTCTCTCCAAAAAGGCCATCTTCTTCTGCTGTGCTCGATTGTTGGACGATCGAAGCACATTGTTGTACTGCTCACGAGTCTCATCTAGCGAGATCTCCAGCTCAACAACACGCTCGCAGCGGTTCTGCAAGTCTCGCATGAGGCTCTTCTTCATGACATCAAACTCGGCAATCTGTTGCTGGATAGTCTTGCCGTTGGTCGCAGGCGTGGTGCCGCTGCCCGTCTTTACCTGCTGCTGAAGGTCCTCGATCAACGTCTTCATCCTCGAGTTCTCAGCCGCCTTCTGGGCGGCGTCAGCCTTCAACTCCTCGATGAGCTCGACCTGGGCTGTCTGTCGGTTGGCATAGGCGTGTTCCAGGCGGGACTTGACCTCTTCAACATCGCTCTCGCTCAGGTTCTTTGTGAGCAAATCTTCGTACTGCTGCTGCATGACCTTCAGCCTCTCTTCCAGTTCGTGCCTCCTCCGAGAGTCCATTTCGCTAGATGAAGAGCCAAACATGGATAATTCTGCCTGTCTGACAATCCCCTGTGTCTCCAAAAGCTTGACGCGAAGGTCTTTGAACTCGTCGGGGGCAATGTTGTTGCCCACCGCGCTGATCTCGTGTAACTTCTCAATGTGCTGAATAGCTTCGCTAATGCATCGCTCGTTTTCGCTGAACACATCTCCACCAAGATCAAAGCCAGCCATCATCTTGGCCATCTTTTCGGCCTTGCGTTTCTCCTTTTCATCAAAGGCTGCACCTGTCTCCTTGGCGTTCATCTTGATGTCAAGCAGCTGCTGCTTCACATCATCTAATTCCGTCGTCAGTTCTGAGTTGGCCTCTTTCAGGGCATCCATAGTAATCTGCGCCTCCTTGCTCTCGAACGTCAACCGCTCAAGTTGCATCTTGAACTCATTCGTCTCCGTTGTAAGCCGCTCGTTCTCTTTACCCAGTTTGCTGTCGTGCTCCTTGAGATAGCTCAACTCCTCCTTGGTCTCGCGCAAGGTCTTCTCGGCCATCGTCGCCTGGGATTCCTTCTCGGCCAGCTGATCTTGGAGCTCATTTTCGCGGCGCAAGAACTCCTCGCGTTCATCCTTTTCCAGTGTCAGACTCGGAGTAGAAGCGCGGTCAGTAGCAACAGGAGTTTCTGCTCGGCTCTCAGCTGTCAATCTAGAGGGGGTGGATGGTCGGGGGGTCCTGGGCTCCGTCCTTGCGCCAACAGCAGCAATGTCGCCAGGCTGTGCCCATTTGTCCTTGGGAACCGATTCTCCAGAACGCCACAGCTGGACTTCCCCTTCCAGCGTCGAAATATAGTTCTCGAAATTTGTGACTTGACCTTGGGCCTTCTTGAGCAGCAGCTTGAGCTCGGCAGGGCTGAGTTCGGCATTGACCTTTGCCTTGTTCTTGATGGACTTTGCTCTTGTGCCAAAGCGTAGTGTGCTCAGGGTCTCGGCGTCGTTGTAACTACTTGGGGAGCAGTTGATGATAAGGGTCGTCCGGCTGTTGCCACCCAACGATTCTTGCAAGATTCTCGTCAATTTGGAGTCTCGGTAGGGGACGTGAGATGATTTGCCATCGGTCAAGGCATTGATGACCATGCCCAAGGCACTCAAACTCTTGTTGATCTTCTTGGCTTCTTCGAGCGTTTGTCCACTGGCGCCCGTCTTTCCCACTTTTTCACTGCCAGCCAAGTCGACCAAGAAGAGCTGGCCGCTCTTTGCCGAACCTGTCTCGACGTTTTTCTGGGTGACGGTAATGACGAAAATGGAGTGCGATCGTGAGGACTCCTGGTTCATGTTGGTGGCGGCCACAGCTCTGGCATTTCCTCCCCTCCTCATGACCTCGTAGACTTCAAGGACGCTCGATACGTAGATTTCAAGCAAGCCCTTGACGTAGACGCCACGATTCTTCTCCTCGTGGACGGGTAGGTTGTCGTTCTGGGGGGCCAAAAGATCTCGAATTCTTTCCATGTAAATCTCCATGTAGCTGACACGGACGGTGTATTCTATTGTGCTGGGGCTCGACATGATGCTAGCAAAAATCTGCTCGACAATTCGTGGGATGACGCCGCGTCCTTCCTCGTCGTCGATGTTGGTGCCCATCATGGTGTACGATTTACCGGCACCAGTCTGACCATAGGCGAAGACGGTTCCGTTGTAGCCGTTCAGGATGTCGTCGACTGTGGGTCGAATGGAGAAATCGAAGATATCCTGCTGCTTACACGACATGTCGAACACTCTATCGAAGGTAAACCCTCCTTGGGCGTCTTTGGACTGTTTTGTTTACATTGTCAGCTAGGTCAACGATTGCTAGGCCCTGCGAAAGGGGCGGCAAGGGCCAGCGGTTGGACAGGAGTGACAAGACGGGGATTTTTTTTTTTTCATACGTCGATAGAACATGAATCCTCCGAGCTGAAGGAGACGATGGGCTTTCCGCCCGACTCGAGTTCGATCCGGTTTTGGGGCCGGAACCGGGCCACGACCTTGATGCTATTCGCAGACATGATGACGGTGTTGTTTGTGCCGCTGAGTTGATGTGATCATGGACCACGCCCCTCGGTATCGAGGCACACAGGTCAGGGTCGGGCGGTGGGCACGGACGACGCGCGAGATGAAGCAGACTGGATAGAAAGGGCGATTCGGGGTGCGAAGCAGCAGATGAAGACGACACAAAGAGGGTGGGTTCTGGAGAAGCGAACGCAAGTGTCTTTGCAGCGCAGAAACAAATTCGACGACCGCCGCCTCGGCGTCAACAACACGCAGGGGGCCCGGCAAGGTTAGAGGGGGGGGGGGGGGGGGGGGTCAACGCGCCTGGGCAGTCGAGTGGCACCGGTTTACATTTCACGTAGTGCCTGAATTACAGCCCTGCGTTGTCACCACATGCGGTTTAGCGTATTCCGCCCTAACGCCTCTCGATAACGTTACTTTAAAAAAAATTATAGCTTAGTGCTCGACTGTCACATGTTTCCGTGCTCTCCTGCGGAGCACTCCTGGCGCCGCCGAACCCACGGTGTCTTGGACGGTGTCCAAAGCTTGTTCACGGTATCTTCGAGGCTGGGCATTGATAATTCTGGTTTTTATTTCATCAAAGGCGAGATGAAGAGGCAACGGGGCCGCACATGGAACGCAAAGCGGCAGCGCGCTGCACCCACCCCCTCTTCCCTTGGAACAGCGAGGTACCTACTTAAGTAAGTACTTACGTAGTTGGTGAGTATCGAGGTAAGTATGATGCTGTATCTGATTCTCAGCACTTGGCCACCGTTTGCCAGTTATTATTCCGTGTAAATACACAACAGTGCGAGGGTCTCTGCACGCACAGACACTTACTCGAGCAGTAAATTGCGGCGGACCGCCCCGACTTTGTTGTTCATGCAGGCGGCAGACCCTCCGTAAACAATACAGAGCAGTTACAAGCAGCTTTTATTGCATCTTCATGCACCAACAAAACACGTAAAGTGCAAAATGGTAAATCTCGAAACGAAAACTGGCGACAAGGCCAGGCTCGCGTTTGAAGAATGACTAACAATGCGTTCATGCTATCTGATATGCAGTTCCCATGGTATAATCAGTCCAACACCATACACCCAAAAACGCCTGCCAAACTATGTCCACTCCCTCCACGGTTCGGCCGTCCCTTGCTATGAGTATCCCTAAGCCGGAACGTGCCTGACAAGCCTACATATAGGTTCCATGTGCACCCCAACTGCCCCCCCGGGCCTACGCGGAGCGTTGTGCACGATGGACTAGTCCTCCCAACTCTTCTCGACCGTTTCTCTCACCCTCTTTGTATATTCTTTGCGGTTGTCTTTGTACAGGTTCGACGCCTCGACATTTGCAGGTGACCCAGTGTTTGGGTCGTTGAGCAAACTGACCGAGAGCACATTAGTACATGTCAGTCAGTCTAACAGTTATAAAGAGAAAAAAAATCAACTTGTCTGCTCATCAGATTGGAGGCCCTACCTTTGAATACTCGTCAAGACAGCTGCGACGTCATATGTCGGACTCCAGCGGTTTTGCAGGATATCAAGACATAGCTCCCCCGTTGCATACACGTTCGGGTGGAACATTTGACTGATAAATTTGACCTGTGGCGGCTTGTTGGGATACTGTTCCTCGAATTGCATCACCAGTCGAAAAGTTCCGTCTTCGAAGGGCGTGTCGGCGGGTCCGATAATGACGGCATTCCTGCATTGATCGTGGTAAGCAGCTGGGTAGGCATCAAGGTGCTTGACCGCTGCCACCGCCCGTGAATGATGGAAACGTACCATGTCATCACATTATCAGGGATGGGTGAGGCGGAAACACCGGCCGGAGGATCCATCTGCATGCGCTGCGGAGGAAGAATCAGTACACGATGCGAAATAGAACAATAGGGTGGCGAACCTTGAAGTCACGCATTAGACGACGTCTTGCCGCGGTAGACATGGTGTGAAAGGCCCGGCCTGGGAGATGGTTATGTGCAAAGGTAGACGTGAGGGGGCGCTGTGCGGGTAGAGGTGTCGACGATGAGGCGCGACACAAACCAGACACTTTCCAGCGGGCGTCTTGTATCTAGTGTCGACAGCTTGAGGCTTGACGGATACTCGACGGCTGGGTGCGATGTCAGAGGATAAATGGGGTTTGGTCATCAAGGAAGAGCAGCGTCAAGCGCCAGGCCAATCACAGCGCGGGCCGAGGACTCGCCGTTCGCAGCGGGCAGATCGAGTCACGTGACGTAGCGCTCCTCAGTCGAATGCAAGCATGCAGTCGCACGTGGAAGTTATATTAAAGCTACAAGTTACACTCCGGTACAAATTGGCCATCGTGTCAGTGGCATGGCGGCATGGCCGCTCGACGCAAGCAAAAAGCTTGATGCCACAAGTTCAGTTCAGGCAGGCTCACAGCCGGATCCGACGTCATCTGCTTGCTCCTGCTTACCTAAGGCTACCTACCCCCGTGCCTCGGAGCATAGTTCGAGGCGCGTGTTGCGCGTTGCCTTTGGTAGGGTCCGGAACGTCCCGACTTGCCTGTGCCACCACCGCGGAGAAGTAACTTACCGCATGGGAGGACATGGGGCACGAGTTTTTTCCATTGGACACTGTGTAATACAGTGCATAACGCCATTACTTACACTCACCACACGGATCACGGATCTTCCCCCGCCACGCCATTTTCACAACCCAGCGGGGCCTTCCTTCCCCAGAATGCCGGACCCTCCCCGCCCTAAGCCGAAGCGTACCGAGTTGGCCACCTGCAATGCCACCAGCTTCGCCATTATCTACACCATCGTCCCCTTCGTCCAACAAGTCCGAGCTTCTTTTTTCCCTTCCTCGTGCAGCTGCTTCCCGCGACTCACAATCTTCTCAGTCTGGCCGGTCATACATACCCTTCAGCTCGCTTGACTCTTCACAATGCCCGTTGCACAGCTCAGGTCACCACGGCTGGCAAATCAGCTGGCCCGACATGTGAAAGCGGCTCGCTCCCTTTCGACGAGCGCCGCTCTGCGCAAGGAAATCCAGGATGCTTACATCCTCAGTGCTTCCAGAACGCCAACGGCCAAGGTTAGTCTGGCTTCTCAGATGCAATTTATTCCCCCCGTGTCCCAGTCTGAAACTAACAAGTCCCCGCCTAGTTCAACGGCTCTTTCTTGACTGTCCCTGCTCCCAAGCTGGGTGCTGCTGCCATCAAATCTGCGCTCGAGAAGTCCAAGGTCCCTGTCGAGAAGATTACTGATGTCTACATGGGAAATGTCCTGCAGGGCTCGGTTGGACAGGCTCCTGCGCGTCAGGCAGCCATCTTTTCTGGCCTTCCGGATTCCATTGAGGCGACCACCATCAACAAGGTCTGCGCTTCCGGCCTAAAGGCCGTTGCCATGGCGGCGCAGAACATCCAGATGGGCTTATCGGAAGCCCAAATCGCCGGTGGCATGGAGAACATGTCTCAGGTTCCTCTCTACTTGCCCCGCGCCAGTGGTCTGCCTGCGTTTGGCCATGTCAGGATGGAGGACGGTCTGATCAAGGATGGTCTGACCGACGTATACAAGCAGTTCCACATGGGCAACTGCGCCGAGAACACCGTCAAGAAGCACAAAATTACTCGTGAAGAGCAGGATTCTTACGCGATTCAGTCATACAAGAAGGCACAAAAGGCCTGGGCAGACAAGGCCTTTGCCGACGAAATTGTTCCCGTCACGGTGTCAGGTCGCAAGGGCGACAAAATCATCGACACGGACGAGGGTTTCCTTGACATCAAGATTGAGAAGATTCCCACTCTCAAACCTGCCTTCGTCCGCGACGGGAGCGGCACAGTTACTGCTGCCAACGCATCCACCCTCAACGACGGTGCTAGTGCTCTGGTTTTGGGCAGCAAGGCCGTGGCCCAGGAATATGGCTCCGGTTCCCGAGTGCTTGCCAGGATCTGCAGCTACGCCGATGCCGCCATGGCGCCCATTGACTTCCCCATCGCTCCGGCCAAAGCTGTCCCTATTGCACTCGAGAGAGCTGGCATTACCAAGGACCGAGTCGCCGTCTGGGAGTTCAACGAAGCTTTCGCCGCCGTCATCCTGGCCAACCAGAAAATCCTGGGTCTCGAGGGCGCCAAGGTCAACCCTCTCGGGGGTGCCATCTCTCTTGGTCACGCCTTGGGTAGCTCCGGTTCCCGTATCCTGACTACCTTGCTGCACCAGCTGAAGCCTGGTGAGTATGGTGTTGCGGCCATCTGCAACGGCGGTGGTGCTGCTACAGCCATGGTTGTGCAGAGAGTCGAATCGGTGTAGCATCTACGAGTACGCGTGAGGGAACAAGTTGGCGTGTGTCCTGGGAAGAAGAAGGGATTTACGTGTATCTGAGTATCTGAAGAAGATAGGTCAGCACCTGGGGCGGCGAGTTGGGGTCGTGGGATAATTACTGTACCAGCTAAGCGCATTGAAGAGCCTTTTTTTTTTTTTTTTTGGCATTTGGGAAATACACAGATATCAGCATCAATATGGAAGTGCCGGAAAGAGCAAAGAGGAACATTTTTAGCAAGCCAACCGTGTGATGTTGCCTGTCGATGTGTATATTGTAGGATCCTGGCTGGCAATGAACCCGCATCCAAACAACATGGCTCTCTCGATTGGGATGCCGCCATGGTCAAGGAAAAACATCATAACGGCAAAAAAGACAAAAGAAATCCCCCCAATTTTTTTTAAATTTTTTTTTTTTTGAGCTTCCGAGATTTCTTGCGACACCGACTTGACCTTGCCGCCAAAGCAAAGCATCGTCGTCCGTGATGCACCCTCAAATCAGTCGTCTCCACACACATGTATCGATCCGACGTCAATTCCCCCTTCGCATCAACGTCAACTGCTCCTCCCGTCGCCCGCAGCAGCCCAGCTGCCCAGCATGTCTCTCGTCGCCCAATTCCTCACTCAAATCAACCGCTATGTACGCCTCCAACAAGGAGACAACCTCGGCGCGTGGCTGCAAGTCGAGCCCAACGCGGCGAAATCCTACCACGACATGGCCGCCGAGTTGCGTGCCAAGTTCAACACGGCCAGCGGTCTAGAAGCCGCCATTGAGACGCATCTGCCCATCGACGACGACGTTCCAGACGGCCAGGGAGCAGTTTGGCCGAGCTTCCAGTCGTTTATGAAAGATTACCTCGCGCTTTGGAGGGATATCAACTATGACGATTTGCTGGGGACGCATGAGTTGCTGACAGCCTTGGTGAAGTGAGCCTTTTTATTTTATTTTATTTTATTTTATTTTTTTGGTCTACGTTTTGCTCTGGCCCCGATAACGCGCGGCAGAAGTCTTGGCGCATCATTTCTTCGTCCTGGCATGGCCTTCAGATCAGAGGCTTCGTTTTGATCTACCTCCTGACAAATGAACAGCTCCTGCGGCACGGCCTTTACCCATCCTACGTTTGGAGCCATGCTTCTGCAGACAAGCATGTCCTTCTCCGTGACCTTGGCGCGCTTCACGCTCCAGCTCAACAGACGGCCTGATCTTACGCGGCGCATCCGCTCCGTCGACGAAGACAGCGGCGGCAAGTCCGTCGCCGAGTCGTCTGCCGAGATTATCCAAAAGATCTTCACGACGTGCTTGACGGACCGGTCCGTCGGAAGGGTGCCAGAGGGGAAAAAGACGGGCGTGTACATGTTTGCCAACCTTGTGCTGAAGCTCCTATTCGCAGTACGTCCGTCACTCCTCCTCGTCGCCGCCACTCTCTCCTCCCTGTCCTCCCCTTCCCTTGCCCTCTTGGCCAGATTGGCCGGCCGACCCGTCAAGAAGAGGCAAAGACAAAGGCCGCCACGGGGTCCGCAACGACAGAGGCCAGCTGACGGGCCGCAAGTGTCGAAGAACAAACCTCGCAAAGATGATATTCGTCAACATATCCACCATCTCGCCCCCTCTGTCCCTCTACCCGGCCTCCCAGCGCGTCACGTTCCTCTACTACCTCGGGCGCTTCAACTTCTCCAACCAGCACTACCGGCGCGCCGCCCTGTGTCTCGAGCAAGCCTACCTCCAGACACCGCCGCAGCTCGTCTCCCACCGCACCAACATCCTGACGTACCTCATCCCCTGCAACATCCTCCTCGGCCGCTTCCCCTCCGACGTGCTCGTGCGACGGCCCGAAGCGGCGACCCTCCAGCCCTTCTTCATCCCTCTGTGCCAGGCCGTTCGCTCCGGAAACTTCATCCAGTTCCAGCACCATCTTTCGACCCACGAAACGTGGCTCTTTGAAAAGGGCCTCCTGCTGGCTCTGACGCACCGCCTGCGGCCTCTGCTGTGGCGCTCGCTGGCGCGCAAGACGTTCATCTTGACCTACGTGCCGCCGACCGATGCCTCTTCCCGGAGGGCGGCCACCCTCGACGTCGCCCACTTGCACTCGGTGGCGGTCTATGTGCAGCGCAGGCTGGAAGGCTGGCTTCCCAACCATCCGAGTGTCCGGGGCAGACCGTCCTCCCAGGCAAACCCACTGTTTATGAGAGCCGTGACGAACAACGTCCAAGACTCGGCGGAGACGACGCTCGCGCCCCCTCCAGGGGGGCCAACCAAGCTCCGTCCAAACGAGGGCCTGGTTTGGGGCAACACAGAAATCACCCTGGAAGACGTGGAGATGGTGGTTGCTGCGCTCGTGCGGCAGGGCCTGATGCACGGATTCGTGGCCCACGGCCAGGCGAGGTTTGCCATTATAGGGGCCAAGGCAAAGGGCCCTGTTGCAGCGGGCTGGCCCGTCGTCTGGCAGGCGATTCAGGAGAGGCGGTACGAGGGGGATTTCGATATCAACGAGGTGCCCGGGTGGGTGAAGGGCTGAGCATTCAAGAGAAGCTATTTGCTACGTGACACGGGCAGTTGAGGTGGTGCTCGATGTATTAAAACTACGGCCGGATTGATGTCGGATAACGATGCCCATTGGTGAGAATCACAGTCAAATACATCACGCAAGTAATCAACGTCACGAAGCAAAAGGGTACGGGAGGCAAAAATGTTATTCGTACATCGGGAAGAGAGGTCCTTCTTCTCTCCCAAACCATGAAGACAGTACAGGAGAGCTTTGGCGACAAGGGCCAGTCTACAGGCAGCAGTCAGCCCACAGAGATGTTGTATGTACGCCAAATTGTGCTCCCGTTGGGCAGTTGAAGAGAATATGCGGCTGGCCATGAGCATGAAGCGCCACAAACGTCAAAGAGCATAGCTCCTGTTAAAGCGAGCAAGCGGCAGCAACGAGAGCGACAACAAGGCCAGGTATTGCGGTGCTGACTTGTTGTCGGCCGGCTTCTGCCTTTCACTGCGGTGGGCTTGGACGCGTCAGGGACAGTTGTCTGAAACGTAGAGGGCGTAGACGATGCGATTGCGGTCGTGCTGTATGCGGAAAGAAGTAGTTTCGTCTTCATGGAAGGTACCAGAGATCATCAGAGCTGGGAAAGCCGATGGTGATGCGGGAGGCGATGCGGGAAGCGCAGACGAAGACTTCGGGAGCTCTTTGTTGTTCCCGCCAGATGCTCAAAGATGGCAATCGTGGCATAGCTGCCCTTGGCAACGCTGACAACACAGAAAGAGGGACCACCAGCACCGACAGCAGCATCCTCGCTGTCAACGCGGCCCAGGCCAGCCCGCGGATCGATCTGGCAGGGCAAGCCAGAACAGCCACCGTCGGGCCATTCAATCCCGAGGCCAAACGGACGATGATGCAGACGCGGTTCCTGTCAAGACCGACCCAGTTGTGCCATTGCTGTCGGTGTTGGCGCCGGCAACGAAAGGAGCCCGATTACCATATAGCTTTTCGGGAGTTTCCCATTGGTACCAGGAGGGTTAAAGGCTTCATGCGGTATGCATGATGCAGAAGTTGAATTATGCTTCATGCAAATGCAAACGTAGAGACGTGCTGCATACACGTCTCAGGGAAGCTCACAACAACTTTTCCCTGTGTCCAACCACCCTTGCAAACGAGTCGAAAGACATGGTCATGGAGTGCCGCCCAGCCGTCTTGCTCCGCAGGCGGTCGTCATAGTCCAGCATTTCCTTGTATGGTACCTTGGCTACAATCTCGACCATCCTGTCCGTCGTCTTCTTGCCCCTCAAAGATGTCATGACCGAGTCGTAAGGATCGGGTGGCGCGTAAATCTTGGACACGTCAATCAAGTCGTCGCCCACGGATTCAGCAGACCTGTCCTTGACTTCAAGGACTTGACCGCCGGCGCCTGCAGCAAGGTCATGCTGCACGATCCCAGCCGTCGCTTCTGGACAAGTAATGTGTGTCAGCATGATGGGCTCCAGCACCCCGATCTGCTGCTTGTCGAAGGCGTCTCGGAGCGCATTTTGCACCGCCGTTCTGGCCACGCTGCTGAAGTGTCCACCTGTAGGCGTCTCGAACGAGCCGTCAACGGTGTCAAGACTGACTTTGACATGGCAGCTGTGGAGTGGTGAAGCCCTGCGAGGACCTCGCGCCAACCCAGCAATGGCTCCGTTGAGAAGCTGATGTCGAGCCTCCTCCACGTCAAATGGCAAGGCACATGACTCCTGGGACTGGGCAACTTCAATCTCATAAATATTGCCGTCTATCCCAATACCGGACTCCAGCAGCGTATTTCGGTTATCTGCGTCAATGGGCTGTAATATCACAGTACAGGCAGCTTTACCCTGTTTGCTGGCGACTGGTCTATCAAAGACCGTGTACATTGGCCTGGTAGGTTGAGTCACGTTTTCCTTGTAATCAACCTCGATTTGACCAAACTCGGCGTCGATCTTATGCTTCTGCCTCATGTTGTAAAGAGACACATCCAGGTGAAGCTTTCCCATTCCCTGGATTGTGAACTGATCCGTCTTTGGGTCTCGGCTCCATCTAAGGCTTGGATCCTCTCTGGACGCATTTTCTAGCACCGTCTGTAGCTCCTGGGCGGCGACGTTGCCGTATGGTTCCACCTGTAGAAATGCTACCGGGGGTGGAATTTCAGGAGGTCGAATCTGCAAACGGCGAAGATGCTCTGGAACTGGTTTGCCGCCCACAGTAGTAACCAACGTATCTCCAGTTCGAGATTTCTTGAGGCCTCGCAGGGCGCCGATTTGCCCGACTGTGAGCTCCTGCACATCCTGTGTTTTGGATGCTGATATCTGAAGGATCCCCATGGGACGCTCCTGGGTGTTGAGGCTGGTATTGAAACTCCCAGCATTACGAGTCAAGGTGCCGTGGTAGACTCGGACGAAGCTGATGACGCCTTCCTTTGGATGACTGACGACCTTGAAGATGGACGCTACAGAGGCAATATTTGCCCCCGCCTTTTTGCCCTTGCTATCCAAAAGACTGTAAAGCCCCTGTGTGCAAGACCCGGCTCGCACTTCTGCATCTGGTCGTTCCGCTGGACTTGGCAAGTAATCGGTAATGGCGTCCATCAAGGGCTCGACACCGATGTGGCGGAAGCTAGAGCCGGCGAAGACCGGAATGACCCGTCCGTCCCCGTTTCGAATGGCACGCCGGATGGCCTGCTTCAGCATTGAATTCGGAATGTCGAGGTTTTCAGCAAGGAACTCGTCCATGATCGCATCGTCGAAATCAGCAAGACCTTCGATTAGACGTTGCCTGGCTAGCTGGATTTCAGCTAATAGTTCCGGATTTGAAGTAGAAAGCTTCTCCTTCAAGTCGTCTGGTCCGTATTGAGTCTTCTCGCGTTCCGACTTCCATCTGTAGCCGATGCCACTGATGATGTCTATCACGCCGACGAACATTTCCTTTTCCCACCACGGGACTTGGCACACGAGAGGCCAGCCCTTTAGCCTGGTACCGATTTCCAACACTGCCTTTTTCAAAGATGCGCCTTCACGGTCCAGCTTGTTGCAATATACAAGGCGAGGGATCCTGAATTCTTGCGCTGAGCCCCAGACCCGTTCTGTGTGGGCTTCGACACCCTTGACCGAATCAATGATGCAGACGGCACCATCAAGAATGGGAAGACATCGATCGACTTCGAACCTAAAATCCTGGTGGCCAGGGGTGTCGATCAAGTTGACCGTCTTGGGATGCGTGCCAGGAGCGCAATTCTCAGCTTTCGGCCAAGTGAAGGTGATGGCGGCTGACTGGATCGTGATACCTCGCTCCCTCTCCAATTCCAGAAAGTCAGTCACAGTGTTTCCAGCATCAACATCTACAGAACAGAGTTAGTTGATGAAGTTTTCTTCATTCGGCGCCGTGAACGGCACCCAGTGTCTGTGTCACGACTTGCCTCCAACTCTCTGCGTGATACCGCTGTAATAGAGCATGCGCTCTGTGGTTGTTGTTTTCCCCTGTCCTTCATAATCAGCCAGTCATTGCCGAGAGAAACTACCCATGGCACAACGTACGGCATCGACATGAGCAATTATACCAATATTGCGGATGTTTTGTACTTGAGCATCTTGCTGTGGTACAACTCGGCCATGGACAGTGCGTCGGCCGAGCGCTATGGACTTGAATGCCACACCATGCTCCAAAGTCTGCGCCAATATCCTGTGGGGAGGAGATGTCCTCCGACACAAGGACAGAATGAGCATGTTGAATTACTGCCGACTGGGTGGTAGTTTGGTCAAATAAGCCCGCTGAGGCGGATTCAAGCGCCCAGCGAGTCTGCCAACGGCTGCAATTAAGATACCGTGGTAGCCATGGAATCAAAGAATCTCGACCGTCAGTTTGCCTCGACGGCCCAGCAGTTCTTGTAATTTCGAGCTGGATTGTCGTCAGAGCGGCAGAATTTCTTGAAGCTCAGGCCTGCCGCCCGCGCCTGCCCCAGCTCAGAGCCGGCAGGCGGTGAGGGACCGAACCACTCGACTCGTCCATCGCGGACCGTCCCACTTTTCCAATCCGGCATCGTGCCGCCCCTCGATCGTGGTTGGATGCTTCGGCTGGTAACTACGTCAACGTCGCTTCAGTCCCAACCCGTCTCTGCAACCACCACACGACCCCCTTTTTGCGACACGCAGCCGATTGCTCCAGCCCTCGCCGCTCGCTGCCTGAATCCATACCGACAGCGCCCCCGCCGCTAGTATCATACTCGTCTCTGGGCTTTGCATCGTCTTGGAGGCTATAGGAACGACCGTATATCCCTTATTCACCATGGAGCTCTCTGACATCTTGTATGTGTCGCATGGCAAGGAGCGCATGGCCCTTTCGATTTCGACAGCCACTGACGTTAGCGTGATTTCGATATGTAGCCGGATCGTGAACTTGGTCGTTGCGGTCATCACCGTTCTAGGTGGTATCGCCCAGATTTTCAACTTCCAGCTGTACGTGCTCGTCATTCAACAAGGCTTCCATTGATTCCGAGGCGGTTTCTGTCAACGCCTGCGATTGCTGGCGCGGGCCCCCTCGGCGGAAGCAATTTCACCAAAGGCTATCTGGGGGTAACGTAGGCTGATGAGATGAGGACAGGCAAGCGATTATCCTAGGGGCTTATATGATCGTTTTCGGTCTCGCTATTGCCCTCCTAGGTAAGTGTCCAGTGACGTCGAGTCGTCTTCGATATCGCAGTTAACAAATTTCAGAGTTCCAGATCCCTCCTCAGGTATCTCGATACGCCAACTTCCTGTTCTCCTTCATCGGAAGAGGCATCTGTAAGTGGGAAAATTGTCGAGACGTGACGGTGACCGAAGTGGATCTGACGCAAATGTTTAGTCTATATCCTCCTTGGTGGTCTCCTCTTCGGCAAAGGGGTCCTCCCCAATATTGCCGGTGGGATTGTCTGCATTTTCGGTGTCGGCTACGTTGCTCTCGAATTCATCCCCTCGATCGAGCCGCCTAGCAACATGCGCGAGGCCGATGCAGGCTGGGGCGCCGAGCAGGTCTAAGCAACCATGCACAGAAGCTGCCCCGGAGCCCTGGAACGGAGCGCTGCTCCTTCTGTTCCCTGGTCCGCCGAAGACGCTCACGACTCTTGTCAGGGATGACCCGGACGGATCGATTTTGAAATAGTTTGACACGAAATCCTCATGGAGTGTGGGGGCATGCGCTTTCAAAAGTTGACGGCAAGGAAAGGAAACAGGTATAGAACTGTATCATTTGTTCATTCACGAAAAAAATGACGTGGAGATACGTCAGGTCAGGTTCATAGGGGGGAAAAACACCAAGTTATGATTAACTCATCCGTGCCCTACCATATCCATTACATCACTGCTTCTTGTTCAAGTTACCGGCATCCTCAACCCCCCCCGCGACACTGTTGATCCCACCCGCAAGACCGCCTCCGAGAGAAGAAACCCCATCGCCTACAGGTCTGAGTGTGTCGCCGCCCACGCTGTTGACCGTGTCTCCCACTCCCTTGGTCGCGGCGCCCGTGACGCCCCCAACTGTTCGCGTGACGCCACCAACCGTGTTGCCAAGCGTGCTGGTCACGAATCCAAGTCCGCCCTTGGCCTGGTCACCAGCCGTATTGGCCTGGTCGGAAACATTGCCGGCTGCATTGTTGACTGCGCTGGTGGCTTGTTGGTCGGCCATGATGCTTTGCTTGGTTATAAACTCGGACGTTGGGATATGGTTTCCTTTCTGGTATAGGCTGACGGATCCGGCCGGTTCTTTTGTTTTGTATTTTGCTTCAACCGGCGGCCCAGGCGGGGCCAACTGAGACAATATCAACATTTATACTCTGCTCAGTAGTGCTCGATTATACGCGTAAACAGGTTTTTTTTCTAGACAGCGTGATAATCCTGACGTCATGCGGGCGGTGGCTTGGCATGCATGATGGCGAAAGCCCCAACGTCCCGCCCGAATGGCAGGTAATTAGTTGATTTACTAGTTGACTAGTTTCCTCGGGGCAGGTGGTTAGAGAGGAATCTCATGTAGATGCTAGATATACTATGAAGAAGCGAAAACGAGAAACAAGACATCATTGTACGCTATTCGCTATGACGATGCCCAAGTCAAAATGATGTGTTTACATGTGAAAGTCGACCTTGCTATGCGCCCCTACTTTAAAAGGCGATCCTTAACCAATGTTGAACTCATCTGCGGTATTACTCATCAATAGCATGCTCTTCTGCCTGATACTATCCCTGGCTGGCTTCTGATCCACAGCCACTGATAATGTGTCGTCGTCCTTACAGGAAACGTGGCGATCCTTGGAGTTGGCCGGGCCCTTCTTCTTGTTGGCTTTGCGATCGATACCCGCGCCTATGCCGCCTGGCGGATCGCGCAGACCGAAGCTTTTCGCGACGTGGCCCAGGTGAAGCTGCGTGATGTCGAAGTGGACTCGTTCTTCACGGATGTGCGTTGCGTACGCTCTGATGTGAGACTTGAAACCGTTGCGTGCAAGCTCCAGACGTTTGGTGTCTTGTAGGAGGCGCTGCTCAAAATGAAGTTGCAGTGCCTCGGCCTTATCATGGTATGATTGCCCGTCTGCGGAGGTGGCCGAGGTTTCGACAGGGAACTCGAGTTTGCCCATCAAGCCCGTTCTGAGGATGTTGTCGTATGATTGCGAAGAGGGAGGAGACGAGGATTTGAGGAGCTCAATGTAGCCTTCTTCGCTTCCGGGAAGGAGAAAGAGCGTGGCGTCGCCGGACCTGCCGGCACGGGCTGTTCTCCCCACGCGGTGGATGTGGTCGGCGAAACTGAATGCTGGATCGTACTCAATGACCAGCTCGACGGAGGGAATATCTAAGCCTCGAGATGAGACGTCGGTGGTGATGAGCAGAGACGGTGACTTGCAGGCGGAGAAGGATTTAAGGGTTGCTGTCCGAATGGGTTGAGATAGTGAGCCATGCATCCTATGCAAAATGACGTTTGGGCTTGCGGGCGATGTGATGTATGCGGCCTTGGAAACTGTCTTCTCAATCAGCTCCTTGTCCGTTGGTGCAGATGCTGGCAAGTCTGTTTCGTTGGGGTTGCGGAGCATTTCGTAATGGAAATCAACAGTGTCGGCGCATGACATGAAGACAACAGCTTTCATGGTCCGTCCACGCCTAGAAAAGACCGATTTGAGATACGACGTAAGCGTGACTAGGCGAAGCTTGGAGGGAACAACAATGTATGTTTGGTGTAGCTGGGCCGGGGCTTTGTGAACAACGTCCTCGTTGATTTTGCCGTCGTCGTCGCTATTTTCGGCGGCCAAAAACGTTGCATCAGCAAGACTCATTTCTCCTAGTTTTTGGACGTTCATCTTCATAGTGGCTGAACACAGTACCGTGACTCGTCTCTCGGGCAGGCTCTCAAGAGATGTTCCCGCCCCTGTGGTTTTGACGATGGATACTTTATTAAGAGCGCTAATCGTCTTCTGCAAATCTTTTTCAAAACCCAGGTCCATGAGCCGGTCACCTTCGTCTAGAATAAGCCAGCGAACAGTACCCATGTCCAGAGCTTTTGTGTTGTCGATGTGATCAGCCAGGCGACCAGGTGTGGCAACCAGAAAGTTGACACCTTTTCGAATCCTTGCCTTTTCGGCCTTTTTAGACTCTCCACCAGTAAGTGCGCTCGATACAAGCCATGGAAATGGTTTTATAAGCTGCTCGAGAACGGCATGTGTTTGCTTCGCAAGCTCGCGGGTAGGTGACACGATGATTGCAAAAATACCGGAGTCTCGGTGGATCTGCTTGCCGTCGCCTTGGCTGCTGAGCATCAGAACTCTATGCAGCATGGGGAGGAGATAAGAAAACGTCTTTCCGGAACCGGTTTCGGCTTGTACGAAGGCGTCACCGCTACTAGACAGCAGATGCGGAATGACCTTTTGTTGAATGGCAGTAGGGCGTTCCAGGTTCATCTTGGCCAAGGCATCGACAAGCCGAGTAGAGAGTGTCAGTGAACCAAAATTGGCAACGCTAGAGAGCGGCGCATTTGTTGGCTGCGGCGCTTTCCATTCTTCTTGATTTGCAGTTTCGGTCGTCTGAGCCGGATTGAAGGAAAAGAGGCGTGATATAACCTGGCGACTGCCTTTGGCCGTGGGGTCTGACTTGTGCTGAGTAGAACCGTCATTTGCGGCGGCATCGTGGCCAGACCGGTCAGGCCGAGAGCCTGGTCTGTAACTTGAATAACTTGCCGACGGGTCGCCATGGACTCTTTGCCGCTTTGTCGATCTAAAGCCGTCGTCGTTTTGCTGTCGGTCTGAGGAGGGACGAGGGTGCCTCAGGTTTGCGCTCCTCTCAGCGCGCTTCCTGTCTCGCCATCGGCCGCCTTTATATTTGACCTGCGTCTTGAGAGGCTCAGAGCCCAGCTCAAAGTTCAAGAGCATACCATCGTCCGCCATAATCGCCAGTTGTCGTTGTTGTTGCTCATGTATTGATGGATGGTGGTGGGGCTATTCATTTTTTTATTTTTTTTGGGAAGCTCTTTTATCGATAACCTGCGTGGGGTCCACTCGCGCCACCAGGGGGTCGAGCAAGTCAACTATGGACTGCTCAAGCGGACGGCCACTTGGATGGCAACAACTCAATGCAAAGCTTGACACATGCAAGAAGGACATGGTCACGGCGGGCACGAGGCTGTGTCTGTTTAAATTCTCGTGGCAACGCTGTCAAAATGGTGCGGACTTGGGTTTTGAAACACGGCTACTGGCATGATGGACTTGGTTATTGTGCCTGGTAGGATCTCATTGTTTCAATGTTGATTCCTGAATGGCCCAATTGGACAGCTGACGGACTGGAGACCAAGACCTGCAGTCGCTCGGGGACTGACGGCGCCACTACGTACAGTGTTGGGACTTTGCCCCGTCTCCGGCCCATCCGAGCGCGCTGGCGGGAGATTTTCGTGCCTGCGAGTGAGTGACTGGTCCGCCCAATCGTGGGGCCTCGGGTGGGTGCGCCCCGACAGGCTGACAGGCGGCAGCTAGGCGTCCCGACTTCTTCCACCGAGATGAGATGGAGTCGGAAGGACTGGCATGCGACGAAGGCCGGTTTCTTCCCGACGATGCACTACTACAATGGCGCTGCACATCATGTGGGTGTTGCAGATTTTTGGCATGGCGAGTCTCGATACCAAGATTTTTGCCCATCGACACCGGACTGCCCTCCCTACAGTGTACGGCGGACTATTCCTCTCTTCTCCTAGCGAATGGTTGGTAAGTAGTCACTACAATCTGGAAGCTTTCGATACAAGGGCTCAAATGGACGATGCCATCAATCGACATCGCACACGTACTCGCCCAAGACGCACAGCGTCCACGTCAGACGGCGACTGGTGGCAGGTGCGGTACCTACCTACTTCAGTACTTAATCTGGAGCACAGCTAGTAGCAAAGTGCCAAGTACTCCGTAGTGAATGACGGCAATGGTTATAGTCATACTATCCCGTTAGTCCGTAGTCTCCGTAGTTTCCGCAGTCTCCGGCGCGTCGATTGCGCTCCATTTCGGCGTCCCTTCCTCCTCCAGTGGTCGCTCCTTCCCAGTTCCCCACATCCCATCACCCCGTCATTGCGTTCCTTTTCGCTGCCTTATTAACTACACGGTACTCCGTACCTCGCACTTGGTCACCCGCGCCCATTTTCCTTTCCCCATCCCCCCTCATTACTCATACCGGGAATTTTTTGCCTGCACCATCAGAGAAATTTTTTGCACCTCGGTTTGCTAGTAGTAGCATTCTATCCCTTCTTTAACCTTATTCACTCCCCAAATTTCTAGCATTCTCCCCTTCACGTGGACCGCGCGTTCGTCTGACGGCTAGATCTGTCATATGAACCTGCAATCGACATATTTTAATTCATCTCCCCGTACGTACTACCACTTCTGCCTGGTGACGCGAATCCCGCCGCACGTCCTGTGGCGTCTAGCATCAATCAACTGCACCGTACACCTGTTGTTCTGGTTTTTCCCTACAGCTTGACAACTTGACCTCCCTCTTCCTCCAAGTTGAGGCAAAGGAAGTCTCTCCTACTGACACAAAACACACACAGTCTTTTCCCCATCAGGTGTAATCTAAATGCCCACCATCTATTCTTCGCTGTATTCGAATTTCATCCGTCAGGGATCTACAGTCGCGAAATCCATCACAACACATGGCTACGCTCAGTCTTTCGTAGCTGCCACTCATCCGCACGTTCTCAACTCGCAGAACCGCCCCGTCTTTGGACGCCGACATACCAGCCGACTCGGTCTCTCCGCCCTTCAGTTTCATTCGACTTTTCACAAGGACAGCGGAGGCGTCTCCGACCACAAAAATGCGCACACTCATTTGCCGTTAGACGCCTACTTTGAGGCCTTGCAGAAACACCAAGTCAATGACGAGCTTGACAAGGAATGGACGCAGTTTGAGTTTCCAAAACAGATCGAATGGAAGCCCAGCGCCGCTACTGTCCTCCAAAGCAAAGATGCGGTCGTCGCCGCCGAGTCAGAGCCTCCTGAGGAGTCAGAAACTCGGTCTTCTATCTCTGCCGAAGATGAGGCTGCCCTTGCGCACATTGACGCTGCTCTTGAGAGAGAGCTTGAAGCGCGGAGACTCTTGGAGGCTGCTGAGAATGCGCCTGCTGTTGAACAGTCTTCTTCAATACCTTTGTCTAGAGTCGGAACACCTGCTGGTTGGAGATCCAAATCTCCCGCTGTTGCTGGCACCTCGTCGCCCGATGTCGACCGTCAGTCGCAGTCCTACGCTGATCATCTATTCAAGCTCTCGCAAGCCGGGCGATATGCCGAGATCCCCGCTGTGTTTGAGGCCATGCTGGCTACCGGCGTGAAGCCAATCGCCAGCGCATATAATGCCCTGCTTGTGGCTGCCATTCATATTCCCAGCAAGAAGATCGAAATTGTATCCAAGGCACTCGATGTTTACGCGGACATGATCCGTCGCCGAATATCTCCCGACGGCGATACATACGATATCCTTGTGGGACTCCTAGCTTCTCGATCTGCCGAAGTGTCCAAGATGAAGGTTGCCTTGGAGGACAAGCGTCAACGATTCGGTGGCATGGACGAGCCTGGCAAGTTCATGCTCGCTTCTCATGAGCTTGAACATGCTATCCTTTGTGAGGATGATAGACTCGATCTTGCCATGAAGCTGTTCGATTCGTCGGTGGATTGCGATACTGCCATGTACTCCTCCGAGACATATCACCAGTTAATCTGTGCCTGTGCTGAATCTGGCCGTGTCTCTGACATGCTTAGACTATTCGAGCACATGGAGTCCACCAAGACGGTGCCGTTTGCTTCCACCTTCCCCACCATGATCAGTGCCTTCGCTGAGCGTGGCGACCTGGTCAGTGCCGTTGAGTGCTACAACGAGTATCGTAGCCTGGCTGTTGCCCAAGACGGCGGCGAAACTACTCTACATGATCGTGTCGACTCTGAGGTATATGCGGCTGTGATCAACGCCTATGTCATCTCGGACAAGATCGAGAGGGCCATGAAATTTTTCGAGAAAATTGTCAAGGAGTACGGCGTTCGTGCGAGAGATATCAAGGATGCGTTGGTCAGCACTGGATTTGTCAAGGGCTTCATCTCTCGAGGGATTTACCAAGAGGCCTTCCATTGGGCTCAGTCTGTCGAAGCCGAGGCGCAGTCCCAGGACATGATTCGCATTGCCACTGTCGCAGCGGACCATGACGACAACGTAACCGCTACTGACGCGTATGCCAATATCGTCGCTGATCCGCAGGCCCTCGTCGCACCTGCAACGGCACTCTTGGCTATGAGTATCCGAGGTGGCGACGTCACTTCCGCTACCAAGTACTGGCATGCGCTCAGTGACCCCGAAGTCAAGGCGACTGTTGACCTCATTGAGCCCACTGTGATGTACGCCGTGGCATTGATTGGTTCCGGACAGGTCGCTGAGGGTCTGGCTCAATCTGAGATGATGTTTGGGAGAATTCGCGCCTCGGAGGTTGAATCGGCCAAGGAAATTGATGAGGGCGTCGATTTCATTCATTGCTACATGGAACGCCGTGGTCTAACCGATCCTCGTGAGGTCGCGTCTCAAACTCACAGTGGCACTCCGTTTGTGTCGACCGCAACACCTGCTGTTGCCAGCTTTGAAGACACTTTCGACCCCTATGCGCACAGCACGGATTTCAAGGGGTCTGCTCTCATTGCTGAGGACCTCGAAGGTGGCCACGGGCGCAAGGGCGTTCAATGGAACGAAGCTTTGGGACGTTTCCGCAACATCCGCCGTGCCGGTCGCCACCCTCGCTATATCACCTACGCCAAGCTGATTTCCGCTGCTGCTCGAGATGGCAAGATGGACCTTTGTCACGAAATTTTCGCCATGGCTCGAACCGACATACCTCTGGTGGCGCAGTACGCTGTTGTTCGATACGGCTGGTTCTCTATTCTCGATGCCATGGTCGCTGCTTGCTTAACCCTGAGGGACCGTGGCCGCGCCGAGCAGTACCACCAGGAGCTCTTGGAAATGGGCGCGGCCCCGTCTGCAAATACTTATGGTCTCTACATTACGACCTTGAAGGACTCCACCAGGACTTTCGACGAGGCTTCTGCAGCTGTCCAAATATTTCACAGGGCCAAGTCTGAGGGTGTTGAGCCCAGCTCTTTCCTTTATAATGCTTTGATTGGCAAGTTGGGCAAGGCTCGCCGTATCGACGATTGCTTGTTCTATTTTGCCGAGATGAGGGCTTCAGGGATCAAGCCCACTTCGGTCACGTATGGAACCATTGTCAACGCTTTATGCCGTGTTAGCGACGAAAAGTTTGCTGAGGAACTGTTCGATGAGATGGAGGCGATGCCCAACTACAAGGCTCGCCCTGCACCATATAATGGCATGATGCAATTCTTTCTTACCACTAAGCGCGACAAGACCAAAGTACTGGCGTACTACGAGCGCATGAAAGCCAAGGGCATATCCCCTACTTCTCACACGTTCAAGCTCCTGATTGATACTCATGCTACTTTGGAACCCGTCGACATGGCCGCCGCTGAGAAGGTCTTGGAGACAATTCGCGCCTCCGGCCAACCGGAACCTGTTCACTACTCGTCACTCATCCACGCCCGCGGATGTGTGCTGCACGATATGGATGGGGCCAAGAAGCTTTTCGACTCTGTCGTTGGCGAGTCATTGGTGCCTGTCAATGCAAGCTTATATCAGGCACTCTTTGAGTCCATGGTTGCCAACCACCAAGTTGCTGATACCGAGCCTCTGCTTGCTCAGATGCGAGAGAAGCAAGTTGAACTGACATCCTACATTGCCAACACTCTGATTCATGGTTGGGCTGCCCAGAAAAACATTGGCAAGGCCCGTGACATCTATGACGCCGTGGTTCGTGAGAAGCGGGAGCCGAGCACTTACGAAGCTATGACGCGGGCTTACTTGGCCGTCGAGCAGCGTGACCAGGCCCAGGCCGTGGTATCAGAGATGCGTACTCGTGGCTATCCTAGCGCTGTGCAGAATAAGGTCTTCGAACTCATTGGTGGTGGCCGGGAGGCATCCGCCATGTAGAGCCTTTTTTTGCTTTGACAGTCGGTGCGGGTTTATCGAGGGCGAAGGATGTCCTTTGTCCAATGGGCCTCTTGTTTTGATACCCTATTGCATTTGCCAAGCAAGAGGTGTTATGGGGTGTCGCAGTTGTTAGTGTGAGGCTCATTTGCCTGTTTTGGAGTGCTTTTTTGGGTTCTTGATTGTGCTTGTTTATACCGGCATGGCGTTTCGGGTTTTACTAAAAGACGGCGGCCTCTGGATAGGCCGGTTGTGCAATGGTATAATGGCATTGGATTCTGTGGGCGGCCACCCACTAATAGACACATCTCCACTCGGCCACGATGAAAAAGCCGTTCGCGAAGCAGCATATGACCCAAGGGTCAATGGCAAATGGAGAGAGGTCATCGTGGCATGCCGAAATGAGGGCGTCTACGATGGAGCCAGGACACGATGCTGCTGCTTGTATTATATAGATTATGTAATATAAAGAATCTAAAAGATCTAATGCCCTGTCCTAGTATACAACTTTGCGTTGCTTGTGTGCTTCCGTGTACATGGGAGACTTAAGTTGGAGGATCACCTCACGACCTCCTTTACGTACTGTATGAAATGGAGGATTGTGGAATCCCACACTGTATAAGATACCCCACTCGACAGTTTTCCACAATGAAACTCAGTCCATACCTTGAATACCTCGCAATATTCCGAGCCAATCCAAGTCTGTCGACTATGCCGCATCCGCACGTCACGATAAAATCCGTGACGTCTCGGTGCTCTCGTCCTCCTTGCGGAAGAAGCTCTGTACGGTTCTAACTCATCACCGGCGGCGTCTACAAGTCGTCAATCCGGCCAGGCTGCCCCGAAGAGTCTCCCCCGCCCCATCGCCAACTATTGCTTCTTGCACAGCCAACTCCTCGCGACTCTCCTTGTTCACCCGCCCAAGGTACATAAATATACATAGACACACACATAACATATCGAGCTCCTGCGCCCGTTCTTGACGAGGGGTCCAGAAGCCATGGCGAGCGGGAATCCCACCGTGGCCGTCTCAGCACCCGGCAAGGTCCTCCTCGCGGGGGGCTACCTCGTGCTCGACAGGAAGCACACAGGCGTCGTGTTCGGCCTCAGCGCCCGGATCAACGTCGTAGCGGGGGAGATTCACACGAGCCCAGGCGTCCAGCTGAGCGAGATCATGGTGGACAGTCCGCAGTTCGTGGGTGCGCAGTGGCGATACGGGTACCACTTGGCGCCGCAGGGGGGCGGCATCAAGGTCACGCAGTTGCAGGTGTGAGTTGCTCCAAGCAAGAGACAAGTGGGCGATGTTGATGTTGCGGAGAGAAAGGGAGTGGGGGGGGAGTGGTTGAGCGAGCGGGAAAAACCATGGACTGACCGGCCTTTTCCCAGGGACGCCGTCATCTGCAGGAACGCCTTTGTAGAGACGACGCTTAGCTATGCGCTCACATATGTCGACCGGCTTATGGGCCGGCTGTCAGACTATAGCCTCCGGCCGGCTCGTCTCGTCGTCCTGGCTGACAACGACTACTACTCCCAGTCTACGCCGACCGACGGCCAGCCGGGACGCTTCGCCAAGTTCACGGTGCCGCTGGGCGGCGCCAACAAGACGGGGTTGGGGTCGTCCGCGGCGCTGGTGACGGCGCTGACGGCCGCGCTGCTGAGCCACTATCTCCCCCGGAGGCTGCTGGACATCACGTCCGCGCAAGGCAAGCGTAGGCTGCACAACCTCGCGCAGGCGGCTCATTGCGCCGCGCAGGGCAAGGTCGGGTCGGGGTTCGACGTCGCGGCCGCCGTGTACGGGTCGTGTCTGTACAGGAGATTCTCGCCCGACGTGTTGAGCCAGTTGCCCGAGGCGGGCTCGCCTGGGTTCGCCGAGAAGCTGGTCTCGACTGTGGACGGCGCAGTTTGGGATGTTGAGGTGCGGACCGAAGGGCTGCGACTACCCAAGGGCGTGACCCTGAGCATGTGTGATGTCGACTGTGGGAGCCAGACCGTGGGCATGGTCAAGAAGGTGCTGGCATGGAGAGCCAGAGAAGTCGACGTGTCGACTAGATTGTGGGATGAGCTCCAGGCGCGAAACGAGGACCTGGCCGCCTGGTTGAGTGACGGAAACGTAACTGAAATTCCGGTCGCCGTGGCCAAGGTCAGGGCGTTGATTCGGGAGATGGGCAAGCTGAGTGACGTACCGATTGAGCCCGAGTCCCAGACGGAGTTGTTGGACGCCTTGAGTGCCATTGATGGCGTGTACGGGGGCGTTGTCCCTGGGGCCGGGGGCTTTGACGCTCTCGCCCTGCTGACGAGGGATGATGAGGAGACGAAGAAGCGTGTGGAGGACAGGGTTGCCCAATGGTCTCGGGAGAAGGGGGACCAGGTTCGTTTGTTGGGTGTAAAGGGTGAGATGGAGGGTGTTAAATATGAGAACCTAGACGTTTACTCTGGATGGATAGCAGTCCAGGGTACAGATTAGAGAGAATAAACATTTTCAGCTGACGGTTTGGCACATGACATGGAGAAGACAAGCAGAGGGGCGGGGGGGGGAACCTTTGATTTGCCCGTTGCCAGAACCAAGCACATTATCCATGCTAAAAATACATCGACTCCAAGGAATCCCGTTTTCCTTCCTCACCTGGGCCAATTGTTGGTAACCTTTCTAAACCATGCTGCTTTCTAGTAATCACCATTCCCTGCCGAAGAGAAACAAAAGATACAACCTTGCTCAGCAACCAAGAAAAATAAAAAAAATAAGCCACATCACAAAAGAAATATCGGTACACGTGTCGCTGTCGACACACACCAAACTAATCTCTCTAGCCGCCTAATACCACAGGGGACGTGTCTCTATCTCCAAAGTGGCAGGCTGCATGGCACGAAGTCGTGGAGACGGGCGGGACATCTTGTGGTACTCGGATGGCGATTCGGGACGGAGCTCGAGGACACCGATGCGCGAGGCAGCTGCTTTCTCTCGGAGAATAGAAATTCTTCATCTTGTCAGTTTGATGGTGTGCATGAGATTTCAAAAGGTGCATGAATGGGGTACGTACTCTTCTTGAGAAACACCAGGGAGGTTAACAGGCTCGAGCTTTAGATCAAATGGAGCAGACTAAATCGTTAGCTACACATTGGAAAACGAATCCAGCAGCATCACGCAAAAGAACCTACAATCTCAATGTCCCGGCGGGCTCTTCTTCGATCCCGAAGCAGACTCTGAAGACGTGTGTAAAGCATAACGAAATTGTTCTTGACGTGCATATGAACACTCTCCGACCGAACTTCCGAGGCTACCAATTGACAAGGACCGTGTTCGTCGCGAGCTTTTGTGAGAAATGTCGAGGTTATTAGGTGAGATAGCGATAAATGTTGGGTAATAATGTTGAATGCCAAAAAAAATCGAGTCCAGCCTCGTGAGAAAAGAAGAAAAATCTCCAATTGACGGCCTATCTTCTTTCAAAAAGGCCGCAAAAATGTGCTTTCATGTACTGATGTCTTCTTTCCTATGTTGCGCACCGCGGCAGGATGTTTCAAATTTAGATTGACAACGATGTGGCGTTTTCGGAGCCCGAGAGGCTGGAACGAGAGCAATCTAGAAGAACGTTGTCGGGCGACAGAAGGAAAAAGAAAAAAAAAGGGGGCCAGAATGTAACTGGCCGAGTTGAATGATTAAAAGTCCTTGGGTAGTATAGGAGCGTCAATGTGGAAAAGCAATGCTGAACTTGCGATGATGAATGACCGACGGAGACAAACGAGCGCAGTTGAGAAGAGAAATATTTTTGTTTGTTTGCAGATGCTGAAAAAGAGTGACACGCTGACTCGGCTGCTGCCCGTCAAACGGAATTAAATCGGAGTGGGAAGAGGATGGAGGTCTAGAGAGTGTTTTCGACGAGGTGAGGATGAAGATGCTGATGGTGATGGAAGGGGGGGACGGATGATGTTATATCTGAGATGGGATTTGGTGTACGAATCGAATCGCAAGGAAGCGCGTTTCGAAGGGGCGGGTCTAGAGTGTCTCTCGATGGGAGCATGCTAATAAGGGAGCATATTCCCAGGGCCTGTCTGTCCGAAAGGTGTTTTCGTGTCTTCCTCCAGACAGGTGTTAAGAAAGTGGACGGTGGAGACGGAAAGGGAAGCGGCGTTCGGGGCCCAGGAACAGGGACGCCCCGGGGGGTGGGTGGCGGCGGGTGGCAGGGACAAAGAGAAAGGTTAGACTGCTGGCCGGCCCAATGGCGCAGAGCCAATGGCGAACTCTTGACGAAGGGCAGCCAAAAGTCCAAGACACAGACAGGCCTTGCAGCGGCGTGGCTGCCACAAGACAGGAAGGAGCGAGCACCTCACAATTGCTCACAATGGCTCAAGACGGCACAAGATGGCTCACGGTTGGGCTCGGGAACAAGACCAACAAGTCGTCGTCTGTTGACGACACGACGACATGGCTTTTGGATGGGTCCCGGTGTGTGTACTACTACTACTACCGCACGCACACGAACGGAGTACTCCGCACGCGCGTATCAAGTAGTTATTATGTGCATACCTCATGTGCCGAGTGTGCCTGGTGCCTGATGTGATGTGGTTAGGAAAGTTAACGTTAGTATCTATCTGTGTGCCCAGCTCAATGGGCGGGCTCCGGACTGTCGGACGGTGACACAAGGTCAAGCAAGGGTCTTGCACTGGTGCCAAACCCGAGCGAGCGAGTTAATGCACAGCCTCGTCCTCGTCTCGCAGTGGTGCAACGACCCAAAGGGGTTGCTGGGCCCGCCGGGCTGGATCAGGAAGGAACGGGTCGTGCATAGCATCTTCATAAATTGGCAGGTGCGTGCGTGCGTGCCTTGCAGGAGGAGGAAAGGAAGCTTTGCAAAACAAGGAACCGGAACCATGCTGGTGGGAATATTGGCAGGGCAGCCTGTTACCCGCGTAACAGAATAATGGCGAGGGGAGGGGAGGGCCACCTCCCCTTTTTGTTTTTTTTTTTTTTTTTTTTTTTTTTTTGGTTTTTCCCGTCGTTCCTCTCAGCTCCCCTCTACCTGCCTGCGTAAATACTAGGTTGCTTTACCGACGCTGGACCAATCCGAAGCATCCCCAGTGCGTGGCATTGTTCGGATGCCGCTCCGAGATGAGAAAGAAGGCGGCCACAGCCCCGGCAACGATCTGGAATTGGGCGGCGCTACGGGAGCCAAAAAAGTGGCCAAGCAACCATTTCCACACGGACGAAAAGCAGGGGACGTGGTTGACAACTCTTGGCCGGCCAAGCCGCGTCTATGGATATTGAAAAAAAAAAAATCAGACCTTGAGTGCCCGCGTCGCTGGCGCTGCCGGAATGTCAGCAGTTGTTCGAGGCCGTTGTTTAATTTCGTTTCGTTGGACCGCGACTTATCGCTGGCTGGAATGCGGTTTTGATTTTCTTGGTCAATACCATTTTTCTTTTCTCCGTACCATCTCACCTCGAAGAACCAGTCTTGTTAATTCCTGCAGCTCGAATTCTCCGAGCACGCCGACCGTGATTAATTACAGATGCGCAGGGAGGGAACAATAGAAGGCAACGTTTGTGGCCCGACCCAACAGGTACGTACCTACCTGGATGGGGCTGGACGGGTCCTTGACATGTTTCGTGACAAGACATGGTATCGGCGCTCCCTGGTGACTTCACTCTGGCATCATCACGGCCCAGCTCAATGGGCCAAGGTAGATTGCAATGGGACACTATTGCTTATTTTTTTTATCTTTTTAGTTTTTTTCGCGACGACTACTCCACTCCGTACAAGGCCAACCGTCCTTGACCCTAAACCTTTTGGTTGTTTCTTTTTTCTTTGCCCTCTTCTTCTTCTTTTTTGTTTTTCCTTTGGGTTGCATTGTACGCAATCACGACGACGACGACTGCCCAAACAGGCCGGGCTCGCTCGATCTGTCCATTGGCACATCATTGCGTCCGGCGGATGCTCAGCTGAGTTTATTCATTTATTGAGCACTACTCTATAGTAGTACTACGTACTACGTGCTCCGTACCAGGACAGCCACAGCCGCTCCGCAGCCGGGCAGCAGATTACGTGCAGCCTCACCTGCCATCCGCTTGCATGTACATACATGTACGTGCCATTGGCAAGTTACGTGCAGCATCTGCGCGCACGCAGTGCATACACAGATCCTCGCACCTTGCATGCTGAGCTGAGGATGATGCAATGTGCTCGACTCAAGTATCAATGTTATTCTTCTCATGTTACCCAAGACTCGGTCAGCTGCGTCCATCGGCCCTGGCTGCGTCAGCTATTCACGCTCCGCGCTCCACGCCTCACGCCTCGCTCTTCGCTCGTCTCTCTTCACTCTTCACGCTTGACCGACGCCTTGGTCATCCTTCCCTTCCAAGTTCTCGCCCCAGCCAGCTGTGACTGTTGGTCCATTCAATAAAATTCAGGTGAGATTCGAGCGCTCCCTTGCGTGCCGAGCCTGCCTGCACCGACCGACATGTGTCTTACTCCCTTGGCGAGTGCGAACTCGGAACCCTGAACTCACTGGCTGGCTGCCGAGGTGACGGTAATCCAGCGCCAGTACGGAGTATCAGGTGGGACAGCAACTAACACTAGTAGAAGTGGCAGTGGTGGTGCTAGTGGTCGCCGTCGTCGCCGTCGTCGTCGTCGTAGTCGTAGTCGTGCTGGTAGCAGCATCTATCCTCCATCAGCAGAGTGCCATGGCCTCGAGCAACTTTCCGGCGCGTCGACGCCCTTTGTTCCTCTGATCTGCTCCGTACAACATCATCAACTAGCGAAGAAGAAAAAATCCGCCCTTTGCCCGCCCCCGCTTGCTTGCCGACGGGCTTGTGTGTCCGAAGTCAGACTCAGGACCCCGAAACCATTCGATTGTGCGTACGTAGCTTCGACAGCGTGCCCGCCCGTGTCGTGTTCACTGTTCACGCTCTGGGACAACGGGAATGGCAATTTCGACCGACATCCGACATCCTGGCCAATACCGGCTTCTCGGCTGCATGAGATTGACGAGATTGAATTGTCCCCAAAAAGTCTGGTGGCCTGCGGTGCGGTGGACGGTGGATGCAGGGCACTCGGGCCACTTCCACTTGTCAGCCGACGACCAACGTGATAAACCGACACCTTTACTTCGCGTCTCTCGTCTAAACAGGGACGGCTGAAAGGAGGTACGTAGTGGTGGTGGTGGCAGTAGTCATTGACCGTGCCGTGCTTGGAGCATTTATTATTGTCCCAGTCCACAGGTTCCAAGTCAATTCCAGGTCAGTTCCATGTCAATTGCCGAAACCCCAGCCAGTCCAGGCGCGCACCGGCTTCATGTTCCCGTGTCCTGTCCTGTCATCCACCACACCCCAGCTCCCAGCTCCCGGCTCCCGGCTCCCAGCAATCAGTGCAATACTAGTGGCATGTATGTACGTAGCAGTTCACCAATCCTGCCCACGGACAGGGGCCCGCCCCCCGGGAGTTTTAAGGGAGATCTCGCTAATCGTCTGATCGGTGCTCAATTAACCCACCCCCCCGTGCCTCTTCTCTCGCCATCGTCGCTCTTCCTGTTGCCCGACCGGGCGCCTGATACCTGGTGCCTGGTGCCTGGTGCCTGCTTCTCTTCCGAGTCTGAAAGGCCGTTTCCCAATGTTTCCTGGCGTCTGCTTCGTTACTGTCGGCCTTCGGTGCCTAAATCATCAGCTCAGTCGCCCCGACGGACGCCTTGTGCGAGGTCGCGGAGCACGTCAACCGGGGTGAGCCTCACGTCACACGACACCATCCAAGCCCGTCCACAACCAAGTCGCCAGTCCACCGACGCACCCGACGCGGTGCAAGGTACCAGACTTATTGCGGATAGCTCTTGACGTGGAAGCTCTTGGGTTTAACAAATTGCTCGAAGCCGAACCGCCCCAGCGTCTGACCCTTGCCAGACCTCTTGAACCCTGTCCAAGCAAGATCCTGGTGTCCTCAGTCAGCAGCAAAAGAATAAGTGAGCACGGCATCCCAGGGAATTGGACCGTAGTCAGTCACTTACAGGGCTGGGGTAGTCGCAGCGGTTCACGAATACAGTACCCGCCTCCACATCTTCTGCCAACTGGTATCCCTTTGCTGTGTCTCGGGTCCAGATGCTTGCAGTGAGACCAAGTTCACTATCATTCATAAGTTTTATGGCCTCGACATCACTATTGACCTTCATCACCGGAATTACTGGGCCAAACGTCTCCTCAGTCATAACAATCATTGTGTGGTCCACCTCCGTCAGCAGCGTAGGTCTCACAAAGTTGCCTTTGGGTGGCGGATTGCTGAAGCTCTCGTTGTTTGGAGTAGCATCCTTGGCGCCTTTGTCTAAGGCGTCGCTGATGTGGGACTCGATTGTCTCCTTGGAACGTTTGGAAATGACGGGTCCAACCTGAGTCGTCCTGTCAAACGGGTCGCCCAGTCTGTAACCTTGAAGCACCTTTTGCACGCTCTCGACAAAGGCATCGTGGATTTTTTCGTCGACGTACACTCTCTCAATGGAACAGCAGCTCTGGCCCGAGTTGAAGATGGCTCCGTCAACAATCTCTTCGGCGGCCCAGGCGACATCTACGTCGGATCGAACATAGGCAGGATCCTTGCCACCCAGCTCCAGCCCAACACCCACAATACGATCGGAAGCAGCCTTTTGGACGGCCAGACCACCGGCCACAGAGCCAGTGAAGCACACGTGGGCAATTCTTGGGTCCCGGATCAGTGATTCCATGACAGTCGGTGAGCCGCAGTGGAAATATTGGAGGACGCCTTCCGGCAGCCCGGCAGTCGCAAAGAATTGAGCAACATGCTCCACGATGGTGGGAGTTTGGGGAGACGGCTTGAGAATCACGGTATCGCCTGCTAATATTGCGGGAATGAGGGAGTTGACGAGAATAAGGTAGGGGTACTGAGACACCAACAGCGTCAGTATTTGATAAATTCGACAATACTAAATAGTACTAGCAGATTCAGTCGCGGAAAAGGCACGTACATTCCAAGCAAAGATGATGAGGACGGGTCCAACCGGAACCTTGCGGATGAAGCGCCGGAAGCCTTTTTCTGGTTCGCCGTCTGTGTCCTTGAGGGCGTCGTCGCTAATCTTCAGCAGGTATTCGGCGCGCTTGACAGCTGTGGCAATTTCCTTGCCGGTGTAGGCAATGGGACGGCCCATCTGCACGGTCAATTCCTCGGCAAGCTCAGCCTCGTGGCTGGAAAGCTCCTTGAGGAATTTCTCGACAATCTCTTGCCGCTCCTTGAGGGTAGTCTTGCGGAAGCTCTGAAACGCCTCGGTGGCGATCTTTGGCATCTGGTCAAGCTCTGCGGCGGAGACGCCATTTCGAGTTATGATGGCTTCGTTGGTATTTGGAGAGATGGTCTTGATTACTTCGACGGACATTTTTGGCAAGCGAGGAAGATTCGAACAAATAGTCTGCTTGTATCAGGGAGCCGTCGTGGAAAAAAGCGGTTGTGGTTGATTTAGGGCTGTGAACGGCTTTTCCGAGGGTGCGGAGGTGTTGACGTGGGTTAATAATAAGTGGCACCGGCGAGCAAGGTAAGGATAATCAACGACCATGACGCTGGTCCCCGCCGCGGCCATGTAGAGACTCGGGAGTACGTAGCACGGCGCACAGCGCACGGAGTGAGTATGCGGTGCAGATTACTGGAAACGAGTCTACAGCTTCAATGTTCTCTCAAGAGTACGTCGGCAAATGGGTTACTTAAAGTTACTCAAGTACCTACTTTAGTAATAAGCCACGATACGATACGATGATGCCCCGGAGCGTTCTGGAAAGTTGGCGACAGCGTGGCTCCTGCCCAACAAAAAAGCCCAGGTGCCTAAAGTATGTATCCGTACGCCCCACTTGCGCAGAGTCTCGGTACTCCGTAATGCCCCATCATCTTATCGTTATCGCGTCATGCGCTGCAACTTTTTCTCCGTGGTCCGTGGTCGCTTCACATTCTGCACCGGCGGCCCCGACAAGCTCATCCTGCCAGCAGGACAACAGCCGCAATGGCCCCGGGAGAGAGCAATAAGTTTCTAGATGCTCCCGACAGCGAAGATGACCAAATAGACAACTACAACTCTGACAACGAGATAACAAAAGGCGGTCGCAGGGCAAAACGGCGCAAGGTTGAAAGCGATGATGAAGATGCTGGCAGCGGCGTCAACCCAAGTGCCAGCGATGATGAGGGCTCACTCCACGAGGACGGACAGGAAGGCGACTCCTCAAAACGAGACAAAAAGGCCAAATCAACATCTCGCAAAGAATTGCCCAGATTAGAGACAGGCATTCCCGACATCACCAAACCCTTGACGAAAAAGAATCTCGTCGCTTCCGAAGAAGCCATTAGGAAGTCAGGCGTGGTATACATGTCCCGTATACCGCCAGGAATGAAACCGTCTGCTCTGCGAGCTCTACTGTCACCGTACGGGAAGCTGAACCGGATATTCCTGGCTCCCGAGGATCCTACTGTCCGCGCCAGACGAAAGCGTGCCGGTGGTAACAAGAGAGCGTTGTTTACGGAGGGATGGCTTGAGTTCGTTAAGAAGAAGGAAGCAAAGGCGGCTTGCGAGTTATTGAACGGGCATAATATTGGTGGCAAGAAGGGATCTTTTTTCCGCGACGACATCTGGAACTTGGTCTATCTGAAAGGTTTCAAATGGCACAACCTGACAGAACAAATTACGACCGAGAACGCAGAGAGGACAAGCCGCATGAGAGCTGAGATTAGCAAATCGACCAAGGAGAACAAAGAATTTGTTCGAAACGTGGAGAGAGCCAAGATGTTGGATGGCATGCAGGCCAAGGCGAAGAAGAGGAAGGCTTCCCAAGTGGAGGACGAACTCGTACGAGAGGGCGGGCGGTCTTTCAAACAGGTACGACAAGTGAAGAAGGACGATACGGGGGCGCAGGATCAGCCGGCGAGCGTCACGAGAGTCTTGAGCAAGATTTTCTGAGGTACCCAGTGCCATGATGTGTAATTTCGGATTGATTTGCATAGCGTTGTGATCTTAAACGTCGTGGATCCGATATTGGATAGTTGAAAAATACATCGAGTCGTGCGCCAACTGAATCAGGATGGTGGAAGATGTGACGGTTGACTCGGCATGCACTTAGCGGTAACCTTGATTTACAAGACAGCTTTTACGCGCCGCTAGTCACATACCATCCATACTTGCTTAAGATGCCATTGTTTGTCTGTTATGCCAGTCCCGAGTCTCGGTTTCGATTGACTACCCTGTACTTGATCCATCCATCGTTATTGCATGGACTTACCCGGGAAGGCACCAGGGAGTCCTTGCCCCGCCATCCCGTCGATAAGGTTCTCCCGACGCTTATCAAGCAGCGGGGCAAGATTTTCTTGATCCTTGCGAGTCACAACCGAGCCCAAGTCATCTGCTGCTGGTCCTTCAATCTCATTTCCAACAAAATCTTTATCTTCATCCGACTAAATTTCACCATCGAAGATGTCCATGGACCTCGACGATGCTCCTGTACCCATTGGGGTGGCAACACAACAGACAGCCGCGACGTAAGTTGTGCCGCCCTTTTTCCCTTTCTTTTTCCACTTCTTTTCTCGTGTGTGTCTTGTTTTCCTCCTTTCGGTTCTGTGGGTGGATGGATATTGTCGCTTCTCAGGACCTACTACTAACATGATATGTGTATCAAGTATTCTCTGCTGCAACTGCGGCGCCCCTATCGACGGAACGACCGCCACCAATGCTCTCTGCTTCAATTGCGTCAAGCTCACAGTCGACATCTCTCAAGGGATCCAGCGCGAAGCGACTCTCAATTTCTGTCGTGACTGCGACCGATGGCTGCACCCGCCGGCCAGCTGGGTCGTGGCCATGCCCGAATCCCGCGAGCTGCTGGCCCTGTGCCTCAAGAAACTGCGAGGTCTCCATAAAGCCCGTGTGGTCGACGCAAGCTTTGTCTGGACGGAGCCGCACTCCCGGAGAATAAAGGTCAAGCTTACGATCCAGGACGCCGTCCAGGGCGGCGTCTTGCTCCAGCAGAGCTTTGAAGTCGTTTACGTGGTGGCGACGCAGCAGTGCCCCGAGTGCGCCAAGTCATTTACCGCCAACGTCTGGAGGGCGTGCGTCCAGGTGCGACAAAAGGTCTTGCACAAGAGGACGTTTTTGTTCCTGGAACAATTCATCATGAAACACAACGCCCACAGAGATACACTCAACATCAAGGATGCCAAGGACGGCATCGATTTCTTCTTCTCGCAGAAGAACCAGGCCGAAAAGTTTATCAGCTTTCTCAACTCTGTTGTGCCCGTCACGGTCAAGGCGTCCCAGGAGCTCATATCTCACGATGTTCACACGTCCAAGAAGTCGTACAAGTTTACTTACTCGGCTGAAATCGTGCCCATATGCAGAGACGACTTGGTCGCCATGCCCATCAAGCTGGCCAAGCAATCCGGCAATATTTCACCTCTAGTCCTGTGCCACAAGATTGGAACTTCGGTCTATCTGATGGACCCCCAGACTCTCCAAACTGCCGATATTGCCTCACCGATATACTGGCGCGCCCCCTTCAGATCGCTTGCCGACGCCCAAGAATTAGTAGAATTTATCGTCATGGACATCGAGCCCACCAATACCCGAAGAGGCAAATGGGTCCTCTCCGAAGCCACCGTCGTCAGAGCATCAGACCTCGGGGTCAACGACCAGAGCTACTTTACGAGAACACACCTGGGCCACTACCTCCAACCCGGCGACTCTGTCATGGGATACCTCCTTACAGGTACCATGTTCAACAATCCCGAGTACGAGGCCATCGAAGAGTCCAACACATACTCCTCCACCATTCCCGACGTGGTCCTGGTCAAGAAGCACTACCCGCGTCGCCGGAAGAACCGCCGACGTAACTGGAAGCTCAGACGCATGGGCAAAGACGAAGGCGAGCTCCTACCCAAGAAGGCAGATCAAGATCGCATGGACCGCGAGTACGAACTCTTCTTGCGGGATGTGGAAGAGGATGAGGAGCTTCGTGCCGCTTTGGCTCTTTACAAGAACGACAAGAAGAGAGCAGAGGAGGAGATGAGCGTTGCGGAAACGGAGGAGGGCGAGGATGACGGCGTACCTCCGGTCAATATGGACGAGCTGCTAGACGACTTTGATGAGCTGACAATGCAAGACTCTTGATAGCAGGGGCCACCAAAAAGAAAAAGAAAAGAAACAGAACAAAAGAACGAAATAAAAATCAACATTGGCGTCTTGCTCTGCGCATCTATAGTCTCATACCTAGCTGAGCATTCCCAGTCGCGCATTTGTCGTATCATATATTTCGTAACTGTAACGCCGCAAGTTTGCCGTCTCAAAAGAACCAAGGTATCGTATCCTCCTCCAGCTTCTTGGGAGTCTCTCTCCGCCTCTCACCCATCCTCATCATCTCCCTCTCCCTCTCACGCCTCGCCCTCCTCTCCCTCACGCCAAAAGGATCATCCTCATCACCATCATCCTCCAGCGCTGCCTCAGCACGATCCTCCGCCCCAGCCGACGCAGCAGAAGACGACGCCAACACCCTCCGCGTCCCCCCCGGCTCCCGCGAAGAGGCCGAAACCACAACAGGCCGCGGCCGCAACGACACGCCCGAACCGCCCGACCTCCCCCCAACGACGGCCGGACTCACCTCCCTTCCGCGGCGCGTCTCCATCAATCCCTGCAAGCTGCTTCCCACCCAGGGCGCCGGGCCCGCCTCGCCGCCTCGCCGCCGCCGTCGCGAAGCCGCCTCCCTGCACCTCGTGCCCGCGGCCGCGGCCGCGGCCGTACCCGGCCCAGGCACCACCGGTCTCTCAATCTCCCTGATGGCCGCAGCGTTCTGCGCCGCCGCCAGCTTCTTCAGCCGCGTGTACTCGGCGCGGTGGAGGTGCGCCGTGAACAGGCGAGCCGTGTCCAGCAGCTCGTCCTCCACCATGCGGAACCGGTCGTCCCCGCGGGGCCCGGCGATCATGAACCTGCGAAACCGAACAAAAGAAGAAGAAGAAAAAAAAATGAGCCACACGAGCAAAGGGACGCCCTCGGCGGGAAAGAAGGCCAAAACGTACTGCTGGACCGGCGGCACCGGCGGCGGCGATGTAGACGGACTACAAATCCCACCGGCGCCTTCTGCCCGCCAGGTCAGTCAGTCTTTGGACGCTGCTCGTTCTCGAGGGCAGGGCCGCGCAGGGCCGCGCTGGGCCGCGCAGGACAGGAGACGTACGGCCTTGCTCCGGGGCGCGTCGAGAGCTGGAGCGCCGCGCGGGGGCATGAGCACGCGGGCTCTGCCGCCCGGGCGCCTTGACTGGCGGCGAGTCCTCGGGCTCGCGTCTAGTTTTCCACGGCAGCTTTCGGGGCATGGTCGAGCGTGGCGGGTGAATGCGGTGATGGTGTTGTTTTGCTGGTTGCTCGTCGGGAAGGGTGTGCCGCCGAGTGGGGTCGCGAACGGGGACGAACCGACGCGCGTTGAGGTCATCATGACTTGGGTGCGCTGTGATTTGTTCGTTGCCTGTTGCGACGACGCCGGCCGTCCAGCTGCGGGGTTTTCCATTGAGCTGGAATCCATGCATGGCTCCTTGGCCGTTTCAATCACCGACTTCGTTGTGTCATATCATTGTTGCAGTCTTTGTGGTTGAACAAGAAGATGAATAAAAAGTAAAAGAATACACACACATGGATGGGAGAGAGTTGGCTGCAATGTCCGATAGTAATAACCACCACCGACGTCATTGAATACACCGCCATGTATGCATCTTTTGCACGTGCACGCCAAACTGCGTGATTGCACGTTACGCTTGCTGGAGGATTTTGTCAAGCTCTAGTCTCTACGTGTTCTGCCCACATCGACCAATGTCGCCCAAAGCGAGCGCATATAGGCCACCGTTGTCGGCTCTCGCATATCTCTTCACCACCCAGTGCGTCCTTGGAATTTCCATATTTCTAGTACACAGGCCGGGCGTTCCAGCTCGAGGCCCCTTGTACAAATAAAAACGTGCTACATGTAAAAACCGAAACAACATGGCTTCCTCCCTTTCCTCTTCATCCATGAGATTGCCCGTCGCGCTTTACTGCACCTCTCTCACAACTTTGTCAATAGCAGTAGCCACGTGGTCAATATTTTTCGAATTCAGGCCGGCCATGGAGATGCGGCCATTCTTGGTCATGTAAATGTGGTAGTCGGCGCGGAGCTTGAGGACCTGAGCCTCTGATAGACCCGTGAAGCTGAACATGCCAATCTGGTCAGTGATGTGGTTCCATGTCCCAGGGGTGCCGAGCTTCTCAAGTCTCGAGCGCAGTTCGTTGCGCATGGTCATGATTCGGCCGGACATGGTCTTCAAGTTGTCCTCCCACTCAGCAAAGAGCTTGGGGTCGTTCAGGACGGTGGCAGCAATACGGGCACCGTACAAGGGGGGGTTGGAGATTTCGGAGCGCTGGAGAATGGCCAGTTGGGAGGCAATTCGGGCGATGGAGGTGCTGGCGTCAGGTCCGGGGCTGGTGACGACGTGGAAGCAGCCAGCCCGCTCGCCGTAGAGGCCAAAGTTCTTGGCGAAGCTCTGGCAAACAAAGGCCTCAAATCCCTGGTCAATGAAATAACGGATGGCGGCGGCATCTTGGGCGAGGTTGCCAGAGGCGAAGCCCTGGTAGGCACAGTCGAAGAAGGGGAAATGCTTCTTCTGCGCGATAATGACGGCAAGCTCCTTCCATTGGTCGAGTGTAGGGTCGACACCGGTCGGGTTGTGTGCGCAAGGGTGCAAGAGGATGATGGAACGATCGGGAGCAGCTTGGATGGCGGCCTTCATGCCCTCAAAGTCGAGGCCATTCGTTTTCTTGGAGAAGTAAGGGTAGTCGGCAACCTGGAGGCCGACATTTCCAAAGATTTGCTTGTGGTTAGCCCAGGTCGGGTTGGACATGTAGACGGTCCGGGTGCCCTTGTAGAACTTGGCGAGGAAAAGGGCGCCAAGATGAACGGCTCCGGTGCCAGAGATGGTCTGCATGGAGGTGGCCCGTTTCTCCTTGAGGGCTGGGGAGGCGGCACCGAGAATCAACTCGGCAGCCTTGGAGGTGAAGTCGGCAAGGCCGGCAATCGGGGCATATTCGTGGTTCAGTTCGGGGTTGTTTCGGAGAATTTCATCAGCCTAATATGGCGACGGTTGGGGGGGTTGGAGGATTTGGGGTTTTGACCACGAGCGCGGAGCTCTCCAAGGCCGACGAGACTGGGGTGGCGGCCACCGGTGGCATACGATACGACAGATTTATCCACAGATTTATCGGCACCAAGCAAAGGAGGGGGAGACAGAGCAGAGCAGAGCAGAGGAGACGGGCCAGGGCCAGGGGCAGTGGGCAGTGGGCAGTGAGCAATTCATGAATTGCTTACCTTTTTGACAACAGGGAGAACCCAGGGCTTAGCATTGTCATCACGATAAGCGCCAATCCCCTATTTGCAGGGCGTCAGCACACATGACAGGACCAGACGAGCTCAACCGGAAAGCTGCATGGTAGTTGGTCACACGCAAAAGGAGAAATAGACGAGAAGCGTCCCGGTCCAGTGGGTGCTGGCACATACCAAGTCAACCTTTTGGGAGCTCTGATCAGCCTTGTAAGCGCGAGCGAGGCCAAAGAGAGGATCCTCGGGGGCCTGCGGGACGGTCTCGGCGGGGAAGCTAGTTGCAGAGGCCATGGCGGGCGAGATGTGGCTGGCAATGTTGTTGAGCCTCGCAAGTGAGGAAGAGGGAGGAGCAGAAGAAGACGACGAGGTTGGCGAGGTCGACGAGGGCGGCGGCGGCGGCGGCGGCGATGATGATGATGATGATGATGATGATGGAGGAGCCATCATGGAAGAAGGGGAGGACTCGAGGATGGTGGTGGGGTGACTGATGGACTGCGGCTAATAATGGCGACAGTGCCAACAACAACAACTCTCCTCCGTGGTCCGTCTGGTCCGCAGGGAGCAGCAGCGACGATACGCAGGTAAAACTGCAGGCCAAAGACAGCGGCTTTGCCCGGTCGAGCAAGGATCGGAATCCAGAGCCAGAGCCAGCAGAGCCAGACACCAGACAAACGCAGACGCAGGATGCAGAGGCGGTTGGAGGCGGAGCGCGGCAGAGGTCGTATTTACTATTCGAGCAAAACAGCGCAGTCATGTGCCGAGTGCCTAGGTACTTGAGGTTAGAGATATCAAAGTCGCAAGTCCGGTCCAATGTCCGGTCGGGACTCTCGTCACGGTGCGGTGCGGTGCGGTTGCACGTCTTTCAGAGGGAGGGGGAGGGCATTGGTCAATCAATCAACTGTGATCATGGTAGCAAGCCAAGCTCGAGGACTTACCCGTCGCTGTTGACACAGTCCGAGTCTGAGTCTGGCCAAAGATCGGGACGCAGGACGCAGGACGCAGGACGCAGGATGCAGTCATTCAACAAATCTCGTCACTCCAGTCATTCGATGGCTGCCGCCGTGGCGCGGCACCGCGGAAAAGGGGGAAGGAAGGGGGCGGGGTTCTTCGAATGCGGTTTCCCTGGCCCGCACGCAAGCGGGTAAGGTGAGCCAGCTCCCGAGGTCGTTTGGCCGAGGCCCTTCGGCTCTCACGCAGTCGCAGTCGCAGGTGCCCGCGCACGGCCGAGCTGCTTACTATTACCAGTGCTGTGCCCGATGCTTGCACGCACAAGATGTAGCATGAATTTATTTTCTACATTGCCAAATGCCCACCGCTGCACATGCCCAGAGCAACTCGACACTTTGCTGCTGCTACATGTACTCCTGTCCTGGCAAGCCGCCTTATATGATTAAATCCCACAACACCAAAAAGGCACACAACCCGCTGGCCGCGAAAAAGGTGTAGCGCGCAGTGCTCGGCCGTTTCGTAGCCTTCTCCAGCTGCTTGTTGCCTCCGCCAATGTTATCTGCGGTTGATAAGGAGTTGGTCACAAGCTGCTCAATGTGCTCGGATTGCATCTCTAGGTTGTTGACGAGGAGCGATTGGAGTTCGGAAATTTCCACCAGCGACTTTTCGGCAGTTCTGCCTCACCGCGTCAACAAGGAGACACGGCAACGGAGAGGATGGCGGGTGGCGGGTGGCGGCGACGCTTACCTGACCTTGTCCAACGTGCTTTCGTAATGCTGCATCATGTCCTGGTTGCCCTCCTCAAACATCTGCAACTGCTGCTCGGTCAAGCCTTGACTGAATGTAGACGCCTTGCTCGGCGCGTCGCCCGTCAGGGCTGCGTCTTCGGAGACGGCGGCTGCCATGAATGCGTCTTTTGACACTGGCGGAAAGGGCGTGAAATCACCAGCCGGAGGAGCCAGCATGCCGCGCGACTTTTCCACTTCTCTCCTCAACCTCGTCTCCATCATGTCTTGCTGCGTGCGACAGCACAGCTCCAACCTCTGTCGCAGGAACCACAATATGCCATCGCGGTGCATATCTGTTTGCTGAGCATGCGCCTCCGCCGCGTCGTGCTCTGGCGACCTGCTTGTGATGCTGCCACCCGACGCCCAGGAACCCAGGGCACTCAAGGCGCTCGCGTACTTTTTCCGAATGAGGGCTGATTCCGTCTCTCGCCGCAGCTGCTCGGCTTCTTCCAGGCCGCGTATGCTGGCGTTGAGTTCTCTGATCATTTGCTTCGCATTGACGTCGACGTCTTCCCGCTCGCCATCTGTCAAAACCTGCGGCGGGCCATGACCCGCGCGGCCTGGCGCCCTCCGGGGCTGAGCTGTCGAAAGGTATGCCCGACGGACATCCTTGAGTTCCTTGTGCAAGCTCGCGATGTGCGAGTTCTGGGGCAACGCGTGGGGGTCAGCAATTGAACTCAAGCACACTTCCCCCCCGAGATGGTGGACTGACTATGCGATACGCCTCCCTGACGAAGCCTTCGAGGACGTCAACATCCAGAGCAGCTTTGCCCGATGTAGGCGCGGCGTGGTGCGTCCGCAGTAGATTGTTGAAGTCGTTGGCTAGGTCTCTGGACGGGAGATGAAAGGCCGTCGAGAGAGCCATTGCGGGCCAGCTTCCTTGTGTGCAGCGGAACGAACTGCGTGGCTTTGAGCAGCGAGGAAGCTTGGACGTCGTCTTAGACACAAGCCTGCTTAGTCATCACACACCGTCTGTACTCTCTACTCTGCACTGTGCAGTCTGCACAGAGTAGATTCTTCTGATGGCGCGCGACCAAGGGCATTTTGGTGACTTGTCGTCACCCTTATCAGCTCTAACAAGACGGCTCATCACAAAATTTCCACCAGCACATGACAATTTCTACCGTCTCGTGATGGCTCTACTGTCCTTTGAAACAGGGGCGCCGCGCGAGTGCCTGCACGAGTACCTACCTCCGAGGTATCTACTACTTGGGAATAGAAAACCTAGACGGGGAGAACCTGCAGCCCGATTCCCGCATGAAGACAACGCCGGGTGTTGAAAGTGCACCCCAAACGTACTGAAGCTGCGAGCGGCATCATGGGGCGTCGAATTGGTTTACTACTACGGGCTGCGGCTTGGACATCAATCGTCTCGGGTGCATTATTGACTGAATCAGCTCGTAGGGCATGCAGCCGACGAGAAAGACAAGACGAACAAAACAAGGGCCCAGAAACCCTAAAACAATCCGAGGGACGATTTGGCCGGGGTCAGCCAGCATCAAGACGCCCCGCCCCGCATGAGTGCTTGCTACGGACTTGCTCTGTGAAACTGAGGAGTGAGGACTCGATGAACCTTGCACCCTAGCTGGACCTTGGGCCTTGGACTTGGGCTACTCAAGACTTGACAACGCAGTACGGAGTAGTAATATATGTTCTGTCATGTTCGCCGCAACCTGGCCGTGCACCACCGGGGCCGGAAGTGGGAACGGACGTCGACCGAGCACACGTTGGCAGCCATTTGGTAAAGTGCTTGCAGTTTGAAAACGGGCCTGACGGGACCAGACGAGACGAGACGAGACGGATGAGAGAAGACGACGTTGACTTGAGGCTCATCGTAGTCGATGCTCATACATACACACATACATACAAACGTGGCCATGCGCGCACAACACACTGTGATTGGAAACAGCAGCCTCGTCGGTGACGGTGACGAAAACTAGCCGACTAACACAACGTGCCAGAAGACAACGACGATGCGGACCTTGGACGGATATGTCATCCACTCGGACTGCTGTCCCCATGATCCATAATACTACGGAGCACCTATGTAGGTAGTTAGTACCGAGTGGCGGGCCTGAATCGACAAAGCACAAGAAGCAGACAACCTCGGTCGGCTTCGCCTCTCTTATCAAGGCGTACTCTGTCATTACTCCGTAATATTAGTAGTCTTCACTTACTCGCTCCCGCCCCCCACAGCTGACGCTGCCGATATGACGTTGGTTTCGACCGGGCGCCAGAGTCCTGAGCCGGCTTCTGCTCTAGTTTCGTCTGTCAAAACCCTGGCCCGTCCTCTCTTCCCTCTCTCCCCCGTGCAGCATTTGCGATATGGAATCGTGACCTATTTCTTTCGCCTGTAGCAATGAAGGATGAGAGGGACCTCGGCGTTCCTTTGTCCGACCGCCGTGCGCAGCCAAACCCAGAGCAGGATTGCCGACCGGCCGCCGACACGGACCCGGTGGACACGGCGCCGCCGGCAGGACCAAGACCAGAGCCGGCGGTCGATTCCTCGGTATCAACACCATCATCACCATTGTCACCGTCAACGGCGGCCCGGCCCGGCGACCAGCTCCGTCAGCATCATGTGCCGGACGTCGTCGACAAACAGATGAGTCTGCTCGCATACAGCCCCTGTAATCTGCCATCATGGTTGGAGCTGTTGCGCTCATCGAATGGGGCTGGTCATTGGAGGCTGAGACGACCGTGGCCGCGCCGCTCGTCTTGCTCTTCATTGTCGGCATGCTCGTGCCGTCGTCGTTTGGCGTTCTCAACACGCTGCTGGTCGACCTCAACGGTGACGCGCCGGCCACGGCTGCCGCAGCGAACAATCTGACCCGGTGTCTTTCTGGCGCCGCCGCCGCCGCCGCCCTGGATCACATGTTTGATTCCATGGGTCGCGGCTGGACTTTCACCCTGTTGGCTCTGCTGATGGTCGCTTGCCTGCCTGGCTTGCGGGTACTCGAGAGGTATGGCCCTCGCTGGAGGGCAGAGAGAGCAGCCAGGACAGGGCGGAAGACGGGGGAGCAAGAGAACTAGACTACTTTGCCCACAAGACAAGACAACTGGCAAGGCAAGGCGACGCCGTGGCCGAGCATATAAAAGCCGCGATTTCATGACTCGATGACGATGATGACAAAGTCCCTCGCCTCAACCAACAGGCAGACGTAAATGTAATAGATACCACTAGAGATTTAACACAGCGGAAGCGAGAACATGTATTCAAACACACGGTTCGTATTTTTCTATTCTTCAGTTTTCGCTATCCTCATCTCGTCGGTGATGTGCATGCATTAAAACGTCACCGCAATGCAGTGATGGTCGTGTCCACAGATTCCCTCAACGGCTCCCACATTAACCAATCTGACCTCGTTGTCCTGCAAAGCGGCACGTTAGCAATGGACACGCACCCTCACCGCGCCCCGAGAAAGCCGGAGAGTCATGGGAGCATCAGGACGGGCGTGACTTACGGCAGCAGTCCCATCGAGTTCACCTTCCAGATGCCAACTCCCAGGGCGACGAGTTGCATCGCCACGTAGACCAACTTGGTTTGCAAGATCTGGGCGGCGTTCTTGTCGGTATTGAATCGCTCAAAGGTCTGGTTAGTCGCCATCAGGCCTGCAATGGGGTTCTTGAATGCCATGAACACCATCATGATGCTGAAAATCTGGAGCGAGTTGCCCGACATGTACATCATGATGACGGTCATGGGAAGGGCCTTGACGGGACCCAGGGCGAGTTCCCATGCTTTTTTGAGCTTGAGCGTTTCCATTTCTTCGCCGGTCGGTGCCTTTCGAGGAGGCTGCGGTTGGCCTTTGCCATCCCTGCTTGGTTTCTGATTATAGGCCCGTTAGTGGATGGTAGGGGAATAACGAGGCAAAAGGATGAGAACGAGGGCATGTGTCATTCGCCGTCTTGTTGCGGCAGCACGCGCACCTTGGAGGCAGACGGGCCCGAGGAGAAGCCGATGGGATCGGGGATGCCCGGCACCTTGGCTTTGGCGGCTGGAGGCGAACGCAGCTGCGAGACCCAAATGGGCACGTTTGAGTCTGGTGTTGACATTGCTATGGAGGCTGCGGAAACGAATCGGCAACGTTGGATTACCTGGGTAGTGATGGGATGATGCATGGGACGGGTACGGAGTACGGAGTAGTAGAGATGTGTGCTGCGGCTTCAGCATGTGGGTCCTTATCGATAAGCCGTCACTTGGCTCACATGCAAAGATGGATGATGGATGATGCAACTGAACTTTGCTGCTGGTACGGAAGCTGTTGAGCCGGCCCCCGCGCCATGCCAACGTTGGCCAGCTTCAGCGCGCTCACAGTGGATGCTAGCGGAGGCTTAGTGGACGCCTGGTGGATACGCGGTGGATATTCAGCGGATGGCTCCTTGACTGTTGGCACCAGTTGACCAGTTGACCACACTTGCCCAATATGTGATACCTAAGTAACTAGGTACCTTGGTAGTTACCAGCGGACCCCTTTCTACGCGGTTTTGACGGAATGCAGTAGTTACTCAACTCCCAGATGATTCGGCCAGTCCTCTCTTCCGAACCTCATCGTCCTCGACCCAGGCCTGGATCCTCCTGGGTCCGTCTCGTCACTCCGTTTCTGCGGCACGAAAAGAGTCGAGGTCCAAATGGTGGCCTGACTGGCGCAAGGTTCCCCCTTCCGACGGCAACACACTGGGCGGTTGAATCTGTTCTTGACTGGCTCGAATTTCCGAACCGGACGTGCCGCCTCATCGAGGTTTGACGTTTGACGTTTGACCATCGAACCATCGACTCGGCAAAAGCTCGCCTCCCGGAGACGGTTGTGCAACTCTGTCAGAGTCAATCGTAAGGTGTGTGGGAGAGCGGGTGCCTCTGTCCGCCATATTTCTCAGCTTTTTGCGTCGGCGTGACGAAGCAGACAAGCATCCTCTCACCAGAGTCACCACCACCTTCGCAGCGCCAACTGGTTTTGTTTGCTACCCAAGTAATTTGTTATCGGGTATCCTGGCCATCGCGGCTTGATACTACAGCCACCGGCTTCTCCCACCACCATGTCTTCCAAAGATAGCGGCGGGGATTCGAAGCTGTTCGCTCGGGTAAGCTAGTTCCTACATCGGTTTTTTTTTTTCAAATACATTTGCGCCCCCTACATGTACTTCGGTTTATGCCAACTTACCTTGCACCTGCCCCACGAAACACTCCCGACAGCGGTCGCATTGACATCCGAATGACCCCTTCGCCCCCGCGGACGTCGGTCGCTTGATATACCTCGTCCCGCAATACCGGCGCTGGAAGTGCTGTGACGACATCGCAGCGCAGCGCGTCTCGTCGACTCTTCTCAGATTATGCTTCCTATACCCTACGCACCGGATCCTCGACCATTCACGAGATGATGGCTGTATTCCCATTGTACATGCCACCCTTGATGTTCGATAGACTAAGAACTCCACAGGGCAAAGTAGCTGAGCTGCGACTCGAGCTGAGCAGCGGCGGCAAGAAGGATAAGAATTATGCCATCAAGAAAGTCGCCCTCAAAAGAATCGTGGCCAACATGACGATGAGCAATAACGACATGGTGGCGCTGTTTCCCGACATCATCGCCTGCATGCACATTCCAAGCTTGGAAATCAAGAAGATGTACGATGCCAACCCCCACACCTGGCTGACATCGGTCAAGCTGTGTCGTAGCTTACAACGCTTAGGTGCTTCTTGTACTTGGTCAACTATGCCCGAGTAAGACCGGAAATCGCCGTCAAGGCTATCCCGGTGCTAGAAAATGTTGCTGCCATCTGAACTCTGCAAGACGGGACCAAGGTCGATGCTGACTTGGTATTAGGACATGGAGGACCAGAATCCCTTGGTACGAGCTCTCGCACTGCGAACAATGTCATATATACATGTCAAAGAGTTTGTCGAAGCAACAGTTCCCATTGTAAAGCATATGCTGCGCGACAATGATCCATACGTCCGTAAAACGGCTGCATTCTGCGTTGCCAAACTTTACGACCACGACCGACAAATCGTTGAACAATCGGACCTACTCGATAGACTCAACTCTCTGCTGCGTGACGATAATCCCACCGTTGTTGCAAGCGCGTTGGCAGGACTGATGGACATTTGGGAAAGAAGCGACGCCGTCAAGCTCACCATTGACTATGCCAATGCGTCAAAAATGGTGGCCATTTTGCCTGATTGCTCAGAGTAAGTGGTCTCTACAGACACCGGCAGGATCGAACTATGCTAATAAAGGAACAGATGGGGTCAAACGTACATTCTTGAGGCGTTAATGTCCTACGTGCCACAGGAAACAGGCGAAGCTGCCTTGCTGGCGGAGCGCATTGCACCGCGGCTTTCACACTCGAATTCATCTGTTGTGTTGACATGTATCCGCGTAATTCTTTATTTGCTGAATTACATTGCGGACGAGAAGCAAATTACCACGCTGTGCAGAAAGCTTTCGCCGCCACTGGTTACCCTTCTCGCCAAAGGCCCTGAAGTCCAGTACCTGGCCCTGCGGAACGCTCTGTTAATCTTACAACGACGGCCCGAGGTGCTGAAGAACGACATCCGGGTGTTTTTCTGCAAATATAACGACCCCATTTACGTCAAAGTCACAAAATTGGAACTCATCTTCATGCTTGCCAGTGAAAAGAATATTGATGAGGTGCTGACCGAATTGCGAGAATACGCCACAGAGATCGACGTTCACTTTGTTCGAAAGGCTGTTCGAGCAATAGGGAAGTTGGCCATCAAGATAGAACCAGCGGCTAGTCGGTGTATCGACCTTCTTTTGGAGCTTGTCTCGACGAAAGTCACATATATCGTCCAGGAGGCGACCGTGGTCATCAGGAACATCTTCAGAAAATACCCCAATCAGTACGAGACCATAATCGGCACCCTGTGCGAGCATCTCGACTCGCTAGACGAGCCAGAGGCCAAGGCTGCAATGGTCTGGGTCATTGGACAGTACGCCGATCGTATCGAGAATAGCGACGCGCTGCTGGAGGACTTTCTCTATACATTCTCAGAGGAGCCTGTCGAGGTGCAGTTGGCTCTGCTGACAGCCACGGTGAAGCTGTTCATCCAAAGACCCACCAGAGCCCAAGAGTTGGTTCCCAAGGTTTTGAAATGGGCAACTGAGGAGACAGACAACCCCGACTTACGTGACCGAGCGTACATGTATTGGCGACTGTTGTCAACAGACATGAACGCAGCGAAAAAAATTGTCATGGGAGACAAGCCGCCGATTACTGCCGAAGCCGAGAGGTTAGAAGCGCCCACTTTGGAGGAAATGTGTCTCAATGTTGGAACGCTGGCAACCATATACCTCAAGCCAGTCCAGACGGTCTTCCGGTCCGCACGCCCACGTAAGCTTCAAGACTCACCTGCGTTGCAAAAGCAAAATCTCCTCGTGGACGCGGATAACCAAAAGAGCGTCAGCATGCTTGGCCGGGGCGGTCAACCGACGAATATTGACCTGAGAAGTCGGAATGCCGCCCCGGCCAATGGGCAGGGCAACCTGTCGCAAGCACTCAGCGATGCAGACGCTTATTTTTCAAGTATTGGAACCCCAATGGCGGCGATGAGGCTAGACCAAGGCGAGGATATGTTTGGTGGGAGCAGTGGGAATATGACGGGCTACGTTGTCAGTGCTCATGCACCAGAATCTGTCTTGCAACCAGCGCAGGGGGCGGGGAGCAACGGTGACTTGTTGGCGCTTTGAGAATCGAGCGATTGGAGTTGGACTGCCGTTTGGCGGGCAGCGGTGGCATGTCAAAAGGGCGGATTGTAGGCGAAGACTGTTTGATGTCTTGCAGATAATGCCATTGACGGCGGACGTTGTTGCGGATGAGACATGGCCACTGAGCCACTTCACTCGATGTCTCTCAATTGCCCGAAAGAGACGGCTCTACGTGGGAAAGGGCATGAGCATGTCCTCCAGGCTCTGGCTACCTAGATATGGGTGTTCAATTGAGGGCTGATTTTTGACAATCCATTTACGTGACGCAGGTATGGAGTATGCAGCAAGGCTTGCGTGGCAACCAAAGGATATTGGATTGGTGCCACGAATCGAGGTCAACCGTGTGCTTAGAAGTATGAAATCGCGCTGCCACAATACGACGGCTGCCAGCCGAGATTCTGGAGCGTGTTGATGAGCCCAGTCCAGGTCCATGTCCCAGGTCGGTCGTACCGAGGAACAGATGGGGATGCATTGCTACAAAAAGCACAGAGCAAGGAGCCGAGACGGCGCATAGATGGATTCGGAGGGCCTTTCGGCCGGGTGGGCATACCGTATGGAAGCAGTTCCATCATCGTCGAAGCTCGAAGCGCAACGTGAGTAGGCAGGCAGCCAAGTCGTATTTGGTTTCGGTGGAGGCGCAAGAAGGGGAGGGGCTGGCATCATGGTTGGAGAAGTCGACGCCACAAACATGCCACATGTGCCGGACTCCGTACGAACGACGGGGGCTCGTGCCCTGACGAGGCAGATTATCTGGAGAATGCCATTGCGGCACGGAAGTCACTCGGAGAGTCGGCACGGAACAAGTCACTTTATTGTTACCCCGTGGGCGCCAACCCAGGATATTGGATGCCAGTCAGTGCCGTCCGTCACCCGTGGTCCGCCATCCCCGGACGTGCGACCTCGACCTTGGGGACGTCGACATGGCTTCGCTGGCAGGGGCGCAACGTGAGCCACGGGCGGGGGACTCGCACCTCGAGGCTTGGGACGTCTTGGAAGTCTTGGAATGAGTCTGGAGGCCTTGGGTTTGGCCACGGACTGCACTGCATAGAGTGAGGTTAGGTACCTACTTGAGGGTATCTGGGTACCTGCCTTGAGTAAGTACCTACTTGGTAAGTACCTCGATGGCATTGCATCTCACGGTTTGTGGAAGGAGAACATGGAAGGAGGGGGAAGCGAAAACCAAAGCCAGCTGGGTGTTGAGGATGCTCCCAAGACACTGTACTTGCTTGCTTAAATACTTGAGTACTTAAGTAGGTAGCTAGCCAAGTAAGCACCCACTGAAGTAGCTACTGGCCTTTTATTATTACTTCAAGTACTTACTCAAGACCCAAGCAACGAGCAAGGTGGGTGGGTGCTCTTTTAAATGCCTTCGTGTCATGTACCAGCAACCACGTCTGCGCGCTGCAAAGTCACCTTTGGAACGCCCCAGGCAAGCCAGTCACCTCGCTTCTCTTTCCCTCTCTGACTCTCTTCTTCCCTTGGTGTCGCTCGTCGTTCGTCGCGCCTTCCTGTACTCACAGCCAACAGGACCACCCTGGGCAACTTGAGCAAGCCGATCTTCGCCTCCCCCCACTCCCCGTCTGAGCCGGGTCCTCCTCGCACTTGGTCAATCTGGGACTGTGCTCAACCTGACGTCTACATGACCATCATCATCTCTTACTTACCACTGGCCTCTCAGGACATCTGACCTCTTCCTCTGTTTATCGCTCAAGGCCGGGTCGAGGGCCTCTTTCATCTTGGAGCCATATATGATTTGTTTGCCTCAGCTTCATCCCACACGCCTGCGCGTTGCTCGTATCCTTGCTGCCGGCTGCAGGACCCCCGTCGGACAGCCACCCTGCGGCCCCGGTCCTTCAAGTACCTCTCGTCCATCGCCGCTGCTGTTGCGAGCATCTTCATAGGCCCAACCATGAGTTCTGGCAGTAACCACAAAGTCACCCGTCTTCCTGCCGACAACCCCCGACTCGACCAGCCCAGCGACGCTGTTCCCATGGAACACATGGCTCAAGGAACCACGTCGGTTGAGGAGCCGAACACGGCCGCCCGTGCCTATGCCTCCCACGAGTCCCAGATTGTCGCCGTCGAACCGCCGTCGGTATCAAAGACAACAACGCCCACCGATCCCGAGCAACGCAGCGCCGTAGAGGCGAACAACGCCGAGGCCGTGTCAAAGGGCAAAGAGAAGGAGGAAGTGGCCCCAGTGCCGCCCAACAAGGAGAGGAGCGACTCCATCCTGGCCATTGGGCCTGCGCAGGACGACATCCATACAGCCCCTGGCCAGTCCGACAGCACTGTCTGCAACATCACTCTCCTGCTAACGTCAGGAAGTCGCCATCCGTACAAGATTGACGCCAAGTATCTCACGAGGAGAAACGTGACCATGCCCGATGAGACAGAATCTGGGCAGCCGGACCCGTTCAGCATCAGCATCTACACATTGAAGGAGCTCATCCTGCGGGAGTGGAGAGGCGATTGGGAGGCAAAGCCTGCCAGTCCCAGTAGCATAAGACTGATTCACTTCGGAAAGCTACTAGACGATAAAGAACAGCTGAAGAGTAAGCAAGTCTTGGAGCAAACTCGTGGTGTGAAGAGTGAAGAATTTCCCTAACCTCAAGCCGTAGAGTACCAATTCAGCACGGAAAGCCCCAATGTGGTGCATATGAGCATTCGTCCTCAGGACCTGGACGAGGAGGAGCCCAAGTCGGGAAGCAAGAACCTTCCAGGCGGCAGCGGAGACGGACAGCGATCCAGATCGGGCGGAATGTGCTGCGTCATCTTATGAGGGCCTCTCGTATCTCGTCCACCCGACTTTACTCCCTGCACTCTTGCGGATGTCTTTGTTTTTGCTACGTCTAGAGAAGTGCTCTTTTCGTTTTTGTGCCGGCTCCGTTCATTGCCGGATTCTTTTTTTTTTCTTTTTTTCCCCTTTCTTTTGGAAAGGCAGAACATACGTCGACGTGTACATTTTTTTTTTTTACGACGGGTCGACTTTCGAACCGAAGAGTCCAAGCGAAGCCTAAAACTGGCGTCTTAGCCTGCGAGGAATGCAACTGCCTGTCGGGTCAGCGGCATGCTGTTTGACACCCACAAGATAGTCACCTCACTGTTTGAAGAGCAAAATTCACGTACGCACACACTCATTCTAATATTCAGCACATCGTTTTGGGTTTATTCTACTTGGAATTGGAAAGCAGCGATTGATGGGAAACATTGGGGAAGATGGAAAGGATTACCGGAGTCAACATTGGCGCATCCTCATGTATAGTGATTTGGCTAGTTTCGTCATTGTCTACCTTTTCTCACCAGAGGCCTTGTCATGTATTTGTTCAAATCGTCGGGTATGGACCCTGTTAGCGCGGGCTTTTGGAGACAAGACCGTCATCTCGCACAGGATAGAGGAATCACAGTCAATCCTACTGCGATTCTTATGAATTTGCGGCTCTCGTGCTCTGTTCGTGATGAGATTTGCTCGTTGCGCCAAAGCATGGTATCCGAATATTCAAGTGTGTAGACGACTGTTCCAAGGAAAAACATGCCGAGACAGGACCATCATATATCTCACTTCTGTAGCATCCCGAGGCAAGCTTGGCAACATGAGCCATATCACCCGAGAGACAATACTCAACAGGAGTCGACCAGGTCCAAAAACACTCGCCATTCACTGTCTATTGCCCAAATGTTCAACTGTACTGCGTCGTAATAATGTTACATGTAATCTGATTGGCTCTCCTCATGCACTTCTGCGTGTCGTGGAAGTATGGAAAGCCGGCGCTCGCTTGTCTACTGAATTTTGAGCTTCTTCTCCATTTCATCGTGAACCGCGGGCACACCCCTCGTCTCCTCGCCAGTGAAGACATCCTCCCAAGTAATCATATCTTCTCGCGCCTTCAAAATATCCTCATGGACGCTGGCCAGGCCGTTGCCCAGCGCCAAGGGCCGCCACTCGCTGTCTCTGACAATCTTCAGCTCCATGCCTCGACGGACGGGCTCAGCGATGCCGAATGTGCGACGGAAAGATTCCATCCGAACAGCCTCCTGTGTCGCTTCCCAGTTCTTGAGGCGGGCTTCGAGGGGGTGTGCCGACGCGGGCTTATTGGTGGCCGCGTCGTAGGGTGACTGGCCGACGCCGTGACGGAGAGTGTCGTGGATGCCGGGGGCGGAGGGGGCGGACGAGGTGTGTGATGTGTGTGTGAAGGACTCCGGGTTGGAGTTTGCGGGGACGATGCGCATGGACTGTGAGGGTTAGTCTTGGTGGGGATGAGGCGAGGAGGACGGGAGGAGAGGCCTTACCATCCTGGCGGGGGGACGAGGGGGGAAATCTGCGGTGGTGTCTCGTGCTGGTGCAGCGTGAAGTGGGAGGATGGTGATGGGCAATGTGCGGTGGAGGTTTGCGAGTTCGGTTGATGATGATGATGATGATGAAAGCCTGGAGCTGCCTCGGGGCTTACGAGCAGCAGCGGCAGCCTCGCGTCCGTTTGGTTGGCCGGTCCGGTCTGTGGGGGCAATCCGAGTGGGATGCTGAAAGGGAAGGTACGTACCTTGGCGTGACGACTCCGCCCGCCGACTTCTTGTCCCGTCGTCCTGTCAAGAATGTATGGGTATTAATCCCGGCTACTCCGTACTGCCAGACCATACCGACATCGCGTCTTTGGATTCAGCTCGAGCCACACTTGCTTTGAGTGTGCGTTGCCCCTTGGCGAAAGTAGGAATGCGAGGCCTCCATCATAGACATCGGTCGGGCAGCGGTCACGCCGCACCAGAACGGCATGAGATCTGCACCCTCCCGGCTGCCTGTGATTCGCATTGCGAACGGCACCTTTCATCGCCATCATCCAAATTCCCAGCTGCCACACGCCAATCCGCCCTTGTTCAGTGATCTGTCCTTCGAGCTGCCATCCTCGTCACCCCAGCCGCACAATTGGTGCGTCGTGGGGCCCTCGCTCTCTGGCAAAACGACGTTTCTCCAAATCCTCCGCGGGCGACTGCTGTGCGAGCCGCCTACTAGTCGAACGTACCCTTACTTATCCGGCGGAGAGCTATGTCCGCGGCTGAGAAGCCCGCAAAATGCCATCCGGTACGTTGGCTTTGACGCGGAAGCCACGGGGCGTGGACTGGGAGGCAGTGTGACCACATCAGCGTACCTGTCGGCTCGGTATGAGTCGAGGAGGGAGACGACTGATTTTTCTCTGAGAGACTTCCTGCTGGGGAACACCGAACTGAATCCTCTGAAGACGCCGCCGGCGGGAGGAGATGATGATGGCGCCATATCGACAGAGTTGCTGAACAGGGTGGTCGCGGATTTGCGGTTGGGCCATCTGCTGGATTTGCCCGTTACCTTCTTGAGCAACGGTCAGGGAAGACGGGCACGGATTGCACGAGCTTTGCTGACACGGCCCGAGGTATTGCTGCTGGATGAGCCGTTCATGGGGCTCGATCCGACTACGGTGTCGGGATTGAGTCGGCTGTTGCAATCGCTCGCCTCGAAGTCGGCTCCTAGGCTGGTGATGAGTGCGAGGCCGCAGGACCCATTGCCGGAGTGGATCACGCATTTGATACATCTGAGAAGTAATTGCCAGGTTGGATCGATGGGACCGAAAGAAGCTGTGCTGGACGGCTTGCGGAAGCATGTTCAAGGAGTAAAGCTGGGCGGGCTTCTGGAAGACGATAAACTTCCAACCCATACACTATCTGAAGTTGGCCGAGTCTTGGGCCCGGAAATGCCACCCACCCCGTCAAGGGGAAGCCAGGACACCGGGCACGCATTGGATCCTGTGAATCCTGACGCAGAACCGCTCATCGAAATGGACGGGTGCCGTGTACAATACGGGGACAAGGTTGCGCTGGGAAACTGGTCGCAACAGACAGCACGGGGTCCCAGAGACGGCCTCGTATGGACCGTCCGAAGAGGCGAGCGCTGGGGAGTGTTTGGTCCCAACGGATCGGGCAAAACCACCGTCGTGTCTCTCCTCGCCTCTGACCACCCGCAGGCGTACTCCATGCCCATCAAGCTCTTCGGCCGCAGCCGTCTGCCAGAGCCTGGATCGGCCGTGAAACCCTTGACCTTCTGGGACATACAATCGCGCATCGGCCACTCCAGCCCCGAAGTCCACCAGCATATGCCTCGAAGCCATACGATCCGGAAAGTCGTTGAGAACGCATGGGCAGCCACGTTCGGCACGCCGGCGAAACTCGACGCCAGTGCCAGAGCAAAAGTAGATGCCGCCTTGCGATGGTTCACGCCCGAGCTGCGACCCAATACCGCGTCGACTCTGCGGGGGGACGATTTGTCATGGGCGGACGACTACATGTTTGGCGAAGTGTCCTTCTCCGCTCAACGCGTGGCGCTCTTTCTACGATGCATCATCAGGTCGCCTGACGTGGTAGTTCTAGACGAAGCGTTTAGCGGCATGGACGACGCAGTCCGCGACAAGTGCGCCTTGTTCCTCACGGATGGGGAGAATAAGACGTACGTTGGCGATGAGATTGTTCGGAGCGAAGTTGGGAGGAGGGGAGACGTGGTCCTCGAGGGCCTGACGGATCAACAGGCGCTCATTTGTATTGCTCATATCAAGGAGGAGGTGCCGGACTGTGTCAGGGAGTGGATGTGTCTGCCAGAGGCGAATACAGGGCACAGGGCAAGGTTCGGGAGGCTGGATGGGCCGTTGAGGGACGGCGAGAGGAGGTGGTTCGATATCTGGGGGTTCGCTGCGTCATGAGAGGACAGTGGTTGAAGCTAGCTGTGTGTGTATCACGGTCCACGGAAGAGCACCGTGTCGAGCGAGGCACGATGAATCGCCAGTTTTGGACCCATGCAGAGAACAAAGAAGGAGAGACAAAAGAAGGCCAGCGGAGACGATGGGACCTCAAATGCCCTGCTTCCCTGACAGGACACAAAAATGGCTCATGGCGTGGAGAGCAGCGGTGATGGACAACGTCCATGTCCCGTCTCCCGTCTCCCGCATGACGCCACCGTCTCCAGAAACCACCTCCGCCACTCCCTCGCCCCGAGCCCATCCCCCCCTCATCGACAATCGCAACACCAGCACGCGCTCGGAACATGGACGCGAAGCCATCCACAATGCCCCCCGCATCTCCGTCACACCCGTCCACCACCTACATCGACGACGAGGACCTCGCCGTGAAATGCTGCACGTCATTCCCGTCGCTCGCCGCGCCAGTAGAAGTCGGCAACATAGGGTTCGCATGTCCCCTCCCTCCCCCTCCTGTTCCCTCTTCTCCTCGCCGCCAACGGCGTCGTCCTCGAAAATCCAAAGACCATGGCTGGATCGAACGGAGGAAAAAAAAAAAAAAATCCAAGAACCCCGCTCTAACAGCCCGCAGGTCCGGCCGCGCAGGAACGTCCGTCTTCTTCGCATGGCCGCTCCTCGGCCCGCTCCTCTTCGAAAACGAGACGAGCGACGCGCGGGACCACTGCGCAAACGAGCGAAGCAAGTAGACGCCCACGTCCTCCTCGGCTCGGGGGCCCCCTCGTGGCCGTGGCTAACGGAGCAGCAGCGTTCCTGTCCTACCTCCGCCTGTCCGTCTTCATGGCCGTCCTGTCCGTCGCCATAACGCTCTCGTTCCACCTCAACGCCCGGCCGACGGATCTCGAGAGGCGCGTGTCCAAGCCGCTGGGGGCCGTGTTCTGGCTTCTCGGCGTCGTCATGCTTGCCCTCGGGCTGGTGAATTACATCAGTGCGTGCGTCCCCGCCCGCGGCGTCATGTGCCGAGGGGCGCCGGCTAATGCGCGCAGAAACGGTCAACAAGTACAGCAGGAAGGCGGCTATTGTGCAGACCGGGTGGCGGACGCAGCTGGTAAGTTTACGCATCAGACGGGCGAGGCGAGGACGAGGACAAGGACAAGGACAAGGGCAAGGACAGGGGCAAGGGTGGGCGTGAGCGTGAGCGTGAGCGTGTGCTGATGGACGACACTGCAGATTCTGGGCACCTTGGCATTCTGCATCATCGGCTCGAGTATAATTTTACTCGTCGTTACGAGAATCCGCAATCAGGCCGGGCACTGACTGACCGTCTGACTGACTGACTGACTGGTCTTGCTTGACATTGATGTGCGTTCCGCTTCCGGGCGACGAGTCTATCTGGTTCAGTGGGAATTTTCGAGGTATGTACGGCCCTTGCCCATCCAGTGTGTGTGTACGGAGTAAACGACAATTTATGAATTCCAGTTTACCAGCCCCCAAATGGGAACCCGATTCGCTTAGTTTCGCTTCGCCTTGTACCTGGACACGCGTTGATAGCATCCATCCAACCACGTCTCGTACCAACTCGCCAAGTGTACCAAAACACACGACGACGACTACCAACCACGTCACTTTGCGTGGTTGCAGAACAGGTCCACAGCCATCCTGTTCGGAGCTGGAGGGCTCTCCAAATCGTCTTCCCCGCACCCACCAACCTCCCTCCGGAACAAGGTGGTGTATTCGCTTGCATCCCGAGTAAAACTGGCTTCCGTCTTCATCTTGCCGTCCCACGACAACAGCGCTAGATCGCGGGGCAGTTGCAGCTCCCCGTTGTGAGGTAGTGTCTCCAGCATGTCGACTGGAGATACTGGGTCAAAGTCGTCGCTGCCTTCGTCGGAGTAGTCCTTGGGCGGTTTTGGTCCCGACTGATCCTTGAGGTACTCTTCTGGTGCGTTGGGGATTTCGTAGTGTACGCCGATGATGGCTTCCGCCGTTTGACGGCTGGGATACAGTGTAAAGTATCCTCTTACACGAGACAACCGCAGGGCATATTCCAGCCACGCGGGATACTTCTTGCTCACCTCCTTCTTTGCGAGCAGCGCGGGTATTGACGGCAATGACCGTTTCTTGTACAGTGTTTGGGCCACGAAGTGATGCAGTTCTACCCACTTTTCGCCCACGAACACCATGGCCTCGCTGTTAGGTCGTTGCCACAAGAACGCAGTCTCACCCAACCCTTCTTTGTCACCGCGGAGTGGCTCAGGGGGGCTGAAAGACTGTGTCCCGTCCATCAAAGTCGTTGGCACGGAGAGACTGATGCCCAGTAGGCTTGCGTCGTCATCTCTCGTCCGTGCAACGTTTGAGTGAAGCTGATGCAGAAGCGAATATTTCACGTCTGATATTCCAGTAAGTGTCAAATCGAATCCCAGGCATGGGTGGACGGGTGGAGAGAAGGAGAGAGGCAGAGAGAGACAGAGACGAACATTGAAAGAATTGCGGCGTAACCTCCGTGTGAGACGCCAGCACCAAGACATGAGAATGCTGAGCATCAGTCGGCCAGAATGATTCGACAAAGCGCACGGAGCCATCCTCCTCGTCCATCGGCTGCCGCGTAATTCGACGACGGAGCGATATCATCTGCGGACTCTGTCCGTCGGAAGTTGAGGGCGGCCATTTGAAGTTTGCAAGGTACGACTCCAGAGCCGCGTCCGTGGCGTATGGAAGCTCAACAATAATGTGTGGAGTCTGAATGCCGGTCAAGTCTGCCCTCGCAATCGATCTCAGCAACCTCTGGAGGTTTGCAGCACCAGTGGCGGTCGCATGAATCAAGATGTCGAATCGAACTTTGTTCCAAGCTAAAAAATTTCAGTCCCCTTCAAATCCATCACCTCAGCGGCGAGACACGCGCTTGGACTCACCTGAAAGAGCTGCCGAATCCAATTTGGACATCCACGAGAGACTTGGTCGAGGACGCTCGGGGAGCTCTACAAGGGCAGATTGAGTGGACGAAACTTGTTCTCGGACCGCACGGAGAAAGTAGGCCTCTTCGGCTTTTGTTGAATCTACAAGTATCGCTTGCGGGTGCATATAGAGATGAACAAAATCTGGGTGCGAGAGTATTAGTTGGAAATGTTTGCGACATGGAGCGAGCGGCCCACGGCAGGGTTACAAGATATCTAACCACCGAAACAAAATGCCCGCAGCGCCGCCCGACATAGCTTGGTATGGCGGAATATAAAAGGATGCATTTGAAAACAAGCAGAGATATCTTGCTAGTGACAGTACCGTGCAGCGTGGCGGAGTGGGCAGCAACGTACGCAGGGCTTTCACAACGGCCGAGGACATGCGATTTTCAGTCGACGCACCGAAGTGGTCCGGGCGAGCATCTGATTTTGGAAGGTATTAGAAGGCGATGGGAAATCAAGACAATCTCCACAGTCAGAAGTCATACCGTGTACAATGAGCTGGCACGTCTCGTCGATACCGTTGACCTCGAGGAGGTCTTGCGTGGTAATATCTGCCGTGCCGATAAAGACAAAGTGAACATAGCTCCGGCGCTCCGTTGCCATGTCGCATGCCATAGGTAGCAACGTGGAAGCGCTCTTCAGACTGGCAGCCGCGAATAGGACGTTGCGATTCTTGGGGGAAGCTCCATCCGTCGATGCGATGGCAGTGAGTGACGACGCGAGCGCAGGAAATCTGATTGGGCCCGGAGGAGACTCGGGGTGGCCGTGGGCAAGCTTGTCCCCTTGGTCTTCCCCTTGACCTGCAGGCCTTTTTGGCCGTGTAATGCCTTTCTGTCCTTCATCAACCTCGGCCGGAGGCGGCTGGTGCGGGTGCGACGGCCCCTTGGGCGCATCGTCGGCTTGCGGCGTCCCGACCGGATCCAGGCGATGGTTGTCAGCGGCGTCGAGGGCGTCGGGGTCGCGTCTGTTTCTCGGCAGGGCGGTCGAATCTGAAGAGTTGACGCGGCTGAAGAGGTACACAAGTGCCACGACGATAAGCGCATATGCTGCAACGCGCCTGGTGCAGGATCGACGAGGCATTCTGGCAGACTGCCACTGCGCGCCATAGCCACGGCCACGGCTGGAGTGCCTGGGCAAGACAAGGTCATCGTCCTTCTTGGTTCTCTCGTCGGCATGGCGCCATAGGCGCAACGCGGCCATGATGCGACGTGTCTTTGGTCTGGGGGCGCCCAGTAACCGAGGTTTCCAAGGGAGGGCACGGCGCAGAGGTTGGGGGATGCAGCACCGAGACCGAGACCACCATGACAATGACAGTTCCCGGTACCCGCAGCTCACGAGGGGCCGGCGCTGGCCAGGATGGCGGGGGGAATAAAATCACAGTCTTTGACTCCTGTATGACTTGCGGACGACTAATCCGTACAGCCGGATAGGAACCTGCGACGTTTTCTTTGCCTTGGGCTGAGGAGAAGCATTAATGGTTGTCGGAAGATGGCTGAGACAAAGAAAGGCTCTGCGTCGAGGTCTCCGTCGGGGAGGTGATGGACAACTTTGAAAATGACACGCGGCTTGTTGACGGGAGAGAGTATAAAGTATGAAGTGTCAGGTGTATGGAGCATGGAGCATAGAGCAGTGGACAGGGTAAGGTGTGCGGTGTGCGGTGTGCGGTGTGCGGTGTGCGGTCAACGGTCAATGGGTCAACGGTCTGTAGAGCGGACTATCGAGTATCAAGGACTCCGTATGGAGCGCAAGGATCACGCAGGTGATAGGTACGAGGTACCTGACTACTGGCCGGTGGGCAATCCGCTTGATGCCGCTCAGTCTCGACTCCTTCCAGGTAACAAGTAACGTAACAAGTATTCTCAGTCTCCGGGGGTGTCCCAGGGGTGTTGGACAGCTACGCGCAGAGACAGGCCGTGCATCTGAGGGCCATCAGGTGACAATCGGACATGTTGTTCTGGGGCAGATACGGTGAGACTGCAAGACATGACCTGACGGACGGAGCTTGCACTGTGCCACATCTGTCGAAAGGCCGGGGAGGCGCAGCCGGTGTGGCTCAATTATCGGGGACGATGGCTCGCCAAAAAAAAAAAAAAAAAAAAAAGGCCGCGGTCTGCAAGTCCCATGCCGGCCGTCACGCCGCCGCCGTTTTCCACCAGCACCACCTCTCCCTTGGCATGCTCTGCAGAATGCCACGCTCTGGCACAACTTACAAAAGATCAAGAAAATAGCCGGCGAGAGAGACGGGGGGAATAATTACAACCCGCATACCATGGGCAACTCGCGTCGCAACCGGGCCGGCGCCTCTCAGAGACGAGATCCCCTCGCCAAACCCGTCAAGGTGCCCTCAGACCCGGAGCTTGCAGCTCTCCGAGAAGCCAAAATCATCCCCGTCATCGAGGACCTTCGGAACCCCGACCCCAAGTCTCGAGCTGCCGCCGCCTCCGCCGTCGGCAACATGGTCCATGACACCAAGTGCCGCAAGCTGCTGCTCCGGGAACAAGTCGTCCACATCGTCCTCGCGCAGACCTTGGCCGACGCTGCTCTCGAGAGCAAAGTTGCTGCATGGCGCATCTTGCAGCTCCTGGCCCAGCAAGAGGAGGCTGATTTCTCTGTGCACTTGTTCCGCTGCGACATTCTAACCGCCATCCGACATGCTGCCAAGGCTGTCTCAGAGAAGCTGTCACCCGGCGGCAATGGCTCCTCCAAGCTTTCCAGGGCAGAAGCGTCCTTCGTCGTGGCCATTTCTGCATCTCTGATTGCCCTGCTCACCGTATTGGCGGAGGCTGCCGACGATATACTCGAGTCCATCTCCTCCAACACCACCATCACTGACTTCCTCTTCGTTATTGCTGCCTACCCCAGCACTGGCAATACCGAATTTGACGCCGTTTCAAGCCTCCGCGGCGACTCTTTGGCTTGTCTCATGGTTCTCACCGAAGAAAATGGAAATCTGGCCAGAAAGATCGTCACCAACACCAAGTGCTATCAGGTCATGACGTCCCTCAAGAACTCCGTCACCGGCGACGGCGTCCTGGCTTGCGCCACCCTCCATCATGTCTTTTCTGCGCTTGAGGGACTCCGGGATCCGCCCGAGATTCCCGGCGCAGACGATTCTCTCTTGATTCCCACACTTGCTGCGACGATTGCAAGTGTTGAGCCAGTGCAACATGCTGCTAATGGCAGCGGCCAAGGCTGGTCAAACCCGGTGCGGCTGCAGCAGCTTGCCCTCGAAACATTGGCATCCATCGGCACTGCTCTGAACTCTGCCAACGTGGACGTGCCCGGCCCCGCAAAGCAAAAAGAAGACGAGGGAACCGAGGACGACGAAGACATGGACGACGCCGCTGTACGCGGCTCCGGTGCTGAGGATGAACAAGGTGAAGAAGAAGACGGCGACCACGAAATGGGCCAGGATGCAATGGAGGCAGACATGGAAATGGTCACTGGCGTAGCCGGCGACGATGACGAGGCCAACATCGACGATATGCCCGTCCTCAAAGCCCTCCTTCAAACTGCCCTCCCCCAACTCATCCGCATCTCCTCCCTCCAACCTGCCGACAGCGACATTCTCCAACTCCAGGGTCACGCCCTCTCCGCCCTCAACAACATCGCCTGGTCTGTCTCTCTCGTCGACTTCTCCGTAGACCAAAACGCCGGCATCCAAAAGGCCTGGGCACCTGTCGGCCGGGCCCTCTGGCAACACGTCATCACGCCCATTCTCTCCAGCGACACCGCCGACGTCAACCTCGCCACCCACGTCACCGGCCTCGCGTGGGCTGTGTCCCGCAGCCTCGGCGGCAACACACCTCTCGCTGGCGATGAGCATCGCAAATTCATCTCCCTCTACCGGGCTACCGAGGCCATGGAGCCCCGAGATTCCGAGGACCCCTTCCAGCGTCTTGGCGTCAAATGCGTAGGGCTCCTCGGCCAGCTCGCCGTCGACCCTGCCCCGGTTCCCCGGAACCGCGAAATAGGCTCGTTCCTAATCAGCCTCCTTGCCGGACTGCCCGACACCCCTGCCGCGGACGCTGTCGAGGCACTGAACCAAATCTTTGACATCTACGCCAGCGAGGAATTCGCATACGACGGGCAAGTCTTCTGGAAGGACAATTTCCTGCACCAACTAGAGGCCGTCATGCACAAGGCGCGAGCAATGGTCAAGAGCGTCGACAAAAAGAGACAGCCCGAGCTGAGAGCCCGTGCGGACGAGGCCGTCATGAACCTGGCAAGATTCTTGGCTTACAAGAAGAGGCACAAGCCTGACAACGTCAGTGGCTCTTGAAGGAGACGAGAACGAACGAGGCGAACGAAGTAATGAATTTATGGGCATGCTGCAATGTCTAGCAACATATTTGTTTTGCTCCAAGGGATTCGGAATAGACCATACCCACGTATGCGTGAATTGCTCGGCGCAAGTGGACCCACATTTCATCACGTTGCCAGTTCCTATAGGTGCATTTTGTACGAGTATACGGAGTACAACTTACTATAAACACTAAAATCTTGGCTTTATTAAAGGTAACCTTTTTATTTCCTCACACTATTTCAACGCCCCACTAGGCTGCATCACGGTGGCTGAACGAGGCCTCTAGAGCCCCTCAAATCAGCTAGGTTTCATTGGGAGATATCGCGACTCCCCATTGTAAACTTACTTGAAATGTTACCGGGGAAGTGCGGCAGCCTGGCGCTAACCCTTATCTGGCGGCCTGGTGGGCCAAACTGTGCCCCGAGCAATTCGCATATATGCGTTGGATAGGAAGCCCGGCGTTATTAACTTATATTACTGGAACTTGGAAGCATCCGTGGCTCCACGTCGCGAAGAGTAACCCTTGTCCCGCGAGATGATACATCACAATTTTCTCCAGCAGCAAACAGACAAGGGAACAAAGAAAAACCCAATATAACTTACTAGTCAGTGGCTCTGACGAGTCGGACTGACTGCATCGTCAAAAACTCCTCAACACCGTTCAAATACTTTGTATAGTCCCTTCAAGCTCGCAACTTCCAAAATGCCCCCATCCATGAGCGCCTTGGTCGCCACCAACTTTGTCTTGAACGCCGGAAAGAATATATGCTCTACCGCCCATCTTACGTGCCGTCTTCTCGTCTTCGCCTCTTCGGATATATCCTCCTCTTCGCCGTCGCCACCAGGAGCTGGAGGAGTAGGCAACTGCTCGGGCACGTAAAATGTGGCCAGCTCCCGGGTGAAAGTGTCAAAACACTCCTTCTCCTCATTCCAGTTGACATTGGGGCCGAGTCGTAACAGGAACCGAGGGAGCTTTGACAATGGAGGCGTATAGCCCTTGACCATCAACGGAATGGATATCAACTCGCCTGTTGGAGATATTTCCAGAGAAAAGTACTCCAAAAGCATTTCCCTGCGCTCAATGAGTTGATTGCAAACTTTATCAACAATCTTCTCCACGGGAAAATCATCGCCAGATGCGCAGAGTGCTTTCTTTTCTGCCTCGGCTGCCATTCGAAGCAGGTCTTTGAGCCCCAAGGCGGGGCTAAATCGAATTACGCCAAAATTGCCAAAGTCTGTAAGTCCCAGTTGGTAAAAATATTCAAAACATGTGTGTCCGTAGTCTACCAGATACAATCTGACACCGCCTTGTATGGCCGCCAGTCTTCGGCTGTCGTCTACAATGCCAACAAATGTGTGTGATTCGAATATTCCAGTCAATTCGTGATGCATCTTGTCTCGTGCTTCGCTTCGCAGTTCCTTGATGCTTTTTAGCCGGCACAGAGTGATTTCTCGGTCATTTTCCTCGTATTCAATATTTTCAGGCGCTGCCAGTGCTTCCTCCTCTCTGGAAGCCTTTTCCTTGGATGCCTCGCCACTATCGGCATGAGAAAACATGGTGGTAATTTTGCGTGCATACATGTCAGTTCGGACCAAGTCGTTTGAATTCCGTCTTCTCTTGCCCGTCACCATGATTCTAGGAGACGGCTGATCCTCATCTGCGGGCTCGGTTACAGGTTTTGCTCCTGGAAGTAGGGTTTGCGTTTGAAAGGTTCGGCTAGTATCGACCTTTGCCAAGCGCGACTCCAGTTCTGTGGAGACCGCATGCAGGATTTCAGCCTCATTGAGGAAATGAACTTCCCGTTTTGTTGGATGCACATTAACGTCGACTCGAGCAGGGTCGATTTCCAAACTGAGATAGACAAAAGGGTGGCCGCCTTTAGGCAGAAAATTCAAATATGTCTGTTCAATTGCCTTTTTGACATTTGCAGACTCGACGCTCCGGTTGTTGATGAAGAGGAGAAAAGTTGTCTTTTTGATATGATAATTCGCGTTTGTCGCCAGCATGTGAGCTGTGAAACCCCATCGTGCATCGGATGCAGAAAAATCTATCAACTCATTGGCGACGCTGCTGCCATAGATCTGACGTACTCTATCCAGTGTCGTGGCCTGGCTTTGTATTGACAAGGAGTTGGAAGCTTCACCAGCCTTCTTGCAGGTAAAACCTACGCCTTGGCAGTGAATAGAATAGCGGCCAACCATGTCGATGATTTTGTTGAATTCATCAGAATAGGATCGAAAGGCCCTCCTCCGAGTCGGGATACTGAAGAACAAGTCTTCTACTGTGATCTGAGTGCCCGGCCGCCCGGCAACTCCCTTGGGCTCCGCGGGCTGGCCAGGTTTGGGGGCAATCATCTTGCCATCCAAGTAATGTGCGCGCCATGCCAATGATGAATCCTTTGTCTTGGTGGTGACGGACAAATGGGCAATGTGGCTTATGCTAGCCAGGGCCTCTCCGCGAAAGCCATAGGTCGCAATGGATGATAAATCCTCGAATGCTGTGATTTTGGATGTAGTATGGCGTTCACACAGGATGGGCAAGTCCTCCTTCTAATCATACAATCAGCAGAGTGGTTCAAATACCATGACAAAAATGGGCGCTGTAATGACACGGCAGTTGGAGATGGTCCCTATACCTCGATCCCACAGCCGTTATCTGTGATCTGGAGGAGCTTCAGCCCACCGTCCTTGACAAGAATTTCCAAAACGGTCGAGCCGGCATCGACGGCATTTTCGATGAGCTCCTTGAGAGCGTGCACAGGGGCGACGATGATCTCGCCGGCCGCAATCTTGTTCACCACGTCTGGATCCAACGCCTAATTTTGCAGCGGCAGCAGAAGGGTCAGCAAGGATCTTGTCATTTGTCACTTTTTCCTCGGGGCGGGCGATTGTCAAGGAGAAACATGACAAATTGGAAGGGGCGGGACAAAGGGGCCGAGCAGCATGATGTCAATTCACCTTGATTCGCCGAGCGGGTCGAGGATCATCCGCAATGGCATCTGCTTTGCGTTTCGTACCCGCGGGTGCATCCAGGTCCATTGGGCCGTCCATGTCTCTGATAGACCCGGACCGTTGAAATGTCACGATAGCTTCAAGGGATGCGTGCCACCTGTGGCAGGCCCTAGCTGCGGCCCGCACAGTTTCTCGGGATGCGGCAAGGTGGACAGGAAGACGACTTGAATTCTCCGGCGCAGCCACAATTCCCACAGGCAGGAGAAAGACCAGAGTTTCAATCAGGGCAACGCTCGCGTCAAGAGACGGAGGGGACTTGACCAAAACCCGAGGGGTGGGGTTCGCAAACGTTCTGGTTGAAAAGAAAGCAAGCTGGTGGGGGCGAGCAGGCAGTGCCGCAGTGGGAACCTTGCAGAGACACGAGGCTTGCACGGGTGCACGTGACCGCCGGCCATGCGCCTCGGGGCTGGGGGTGGGGTTCAGATTCCAGACACTGCTGCGTATGGGACGTACGGCGTAGTTAGAAGGGAATTGCTACACGGGCATGACACTTTGGCTACACGGGCATGACTCTTACACGGGCATGACTTTTACCACTTCTGATTGGTCGCATTGTCTCTGTTAACGACGCTGGATTCTGCCACCTCAGCCGCAAGTACCTGGGCCATTTTAACCTTGCTTCTGTGTAAATTACTTCATTTCGGCTAAGCTACTACGCAGCAACCCAGTGGTCGCGCAGTCGGGGCGACCCCCTCGAGCTTGCTTTCTTCATTTTCGTAGCTTTTAATAAACCATAATACGGCACCCTATGCTGTAGAGATAGCGACCAATTCTTTCACTACAATCTTGTTCTCTTCTCAAGACGTCAATGTCTTTGCCTCGCACACCTCCTCGCAGGTCGCGGAGCCCTAGTCCCAGTGATCAATCACAAAGAGGAAAGCGACACAAATCCAGTCGGCGACGCAGATCTAGTCCTTCCACAGTTGAAGACCGACCACAATCCGCGAGTAGCTCTGCTACGAGTATCGGTCAGTTCTACGGCCTCGGGGACGAAAATGCACTCGATAACCTGTTCGCCTCTTTCCCGCAAACACTTTCAAGTCTCCCACACCCCCATGGTTCACAGGGCCGCCATGAGCCTGCATGGGGCCTTCGATCTGACTATGAGATATATCTTCAAAATGACTTCTTCCGTGGAAAAAGATGGAGCCAGCGAGTCAGAGCGCTTATACCAGGCCCAGAATTTGATCCATTCGCCTCTGAACCTCCCGAATCACCCCCATCCGCCCAGCATCTCCCAACAAGGACAAGAGCCGAGTTCGAGTCCGCAATGCGCATAGTACGAGAGGTTACCGGCGAAGGTCGAAGGCTAACTGTAGACCTTGCTCGATCATACGAACGTGTACAAGCTTGGCGAGAGAGATGGGGATGGTCACCATTAAGTTTCGAAGCATATGACTCTCCTCCACCGTACTCTCCACCTCGTAGGTCACCCACACAACCTCCTCGAATATCACCGACGCCCGAAAATATTAGTTCCTCGCCTATGCGACAGTCTCTATCTCCCGCCCCGGAGCCAATTCCGAACCCAATAATCCCTGGCGACCCAGCGCCCTCGGCCGAAGTTCTTTTTAAAACAACCAACGCATTTGCAAAGGAGAACGGATTTGGTATTATTCGGCGGAATAAATATTCCTATAAGGGACGGTTGATTAGGTACTCCATTCAATGCGACCGGTTTGGACAATCTCGGGCCTCGGGGGGTTCTGGTCTTCGAACCCGAAGGTCTCGGAAGTGTGATTGCAAATGGATGATAATTGCTGAAGCCCTAGAGGAAGGCAAGTGGCTTCTTCGACAACATAGAGACCCGAAACATCACCAGCATAACCATGAACGGAGTATTACGCCATCTGCGCATGTTTCCCACCGCCGCCTTACTACACCAGTTAAAGCAACCATCGAGTCAGCAAGCCGTCGCGCGGGTATTCGAGCCAGTGATGTAGCTGCTATGGTTGAGGAGCAATTCCCCGATACAACACTCCTGCGGAAGGATATCTATAATGCCCGTTCGTTCATTAACCGAGAGAAGCTAAATGGCTATACACCTACTGCGGCATTGATCAAACTCTTTGATGAGAAGAAGATCCCATACATCGCGAAATGGGCCGATGATGATCCAGATAGACTGCTTGGTCTTGTCTGGACCTTTCCGTACTGTCTACAGATGTGGAAGCGCTTCCCCGAGGTTATTAGCTTTGATAACACATATAACACTAATCGCTTCAAGCTTCCTTTATTCCAGGCTACTGGCCAAACCTGTCTTGGAACTGTGTTCAATGCTGCATTTGGCTTAATAGATAACGAGAGGAGGGAGGGGTTCCAATTCCTTGCAGAGAGTGTTCGCAAGCTCATTACAAAACACTCACTCAGGGAACCAGATGTCATCATCACAGACTTCGACAAGGCTATGAAAGCTGCCGTTAATGATCAGTTTCCAAATGCACAGCAACAGCTTTGTATTCATCATATCCTTTCAAACGTTTTGCTTAAATCGAAGACTAGGTGGACGGGCCAACGTGAGGACAGTACTACTAGCCCTAGCGCTAGTGACAGTGAAGACATTCCCTCACAGGCGGATGGCGGGTTGAGCACTACAGATAAGCATCTGATCGAAGATCGGTCGAGTAGTGATAAGATTCCTCATACTTACCAAGGCGTTGTTTTAATGTGACTCGTCGAGGCAATGCAGGATATGATACACTCTATTGGACTTTGCGACGACGACTGTACGGTCTCTATTGAGCTGGGAATCCCATGCTATCATAAAGTCTACGCAAAGCTAGATTCTGACACACGTTTCACTAAATGGGAGGTCCACCCACGCTGGCGACTACGGGAATCGGCATCTCAAGATCCATACCGACGAATTCTTGACCCGAAAGTTGCCACTGCACTACGTGGAAGGCCAAAGAATACAGCGCAGGTTATCCCAGAAAGCCTAGCTATTACATCAAGTAGCCGATCTGATAATCAACCAAGTGGGCGACGAGGTCGACCGCCAGGAAGTCTCAATAAGCCAACTCTTGCTAGGAGAGTGCATAAAGCTACTCGAGAAACCATCACACAAACTGGTGGCCAAATTGGCATCTCAGCCCAGCAAGGGCCAGGTAGACCTTCTAAAGTCCTAAATGCTGGGAATACGACAGGCGTGCGGTACAGTGGACGGAGGACGCAACGAAACATTCGCAGGACAAGGAGTCAATGGGAACTGGCTAAGAGTGATGACGAAGATCCAGATTGTATCGTTGTGAGGCAATAAATTAAGTAGACCACATCACGTCTTTTGCCAGTATTTGACAGTTACTGGCTAACAGTACAAGGACGGTAGTTTAATCCGAAATGCAGGCTTGCAAGATAGCAGAAGACCAATCGCGCCCACAACGATAAGTGACTGCAATTCATGGTGATGTAGGAGCTTGTTAGTGAAGTTGGCTACACCGCCTTTCCGAGGAAGTATCTGTGGGGCCAAGAAAGTATGCGACCAATCAGAAGTGGTAAAAGTCATGCCCGTGTAAGAGTCATGCCCGTGTAGCCAAAGTGTCATGCCCGTGTAGCAATTCCCAGTTAGAAAGTCGGGCATCAGGATTCAGAGCAATTGTCCCTTGTCCCCCGGTGCTCAGGAGTCACTGGGCAGGAAATGGGAATAAGTACTTGAGTAAGTAAGTTAGGAGCCAACAACGAGCAACCACTTGCGGCGGGCTGTCACCTTGTCTCCAGAACATGACAGACAGACTGTGGCTGTTTGTTCGATCGCCTGCGGCGGTCGGCCGCATGGATGGGAGGCAAGGCAAGCCTCTCCGAGTCTCTCTGCCCGAACACGAACAGGCTGCATGCTGCAGTCTGAATCCAGATCAGCATACATGAATTCGTGGGTAATCGTTCGAAACATGGCCTGAGAAAAGAAAGGAAGAATAGAAAAAAAAAAAAAACCCTCTCGTCACATATGCTCCAGAGTTGGCCAGTTTGAATACCTGTCCACGAGGCAATGTAAGCCGACTCTGGCCCGGTGAGCATCAATTCGGGCTGGCTTGCAAGATTCAAAAATCAAGGTAAAATTTTTTTAATTCTCACAACTCCATACAAGCTCTAGGGCCAGTAGTTGACGGGCTATTAGCTACGCTGTGAGCTCTTTCTTGAACTCGGGCCCCGATTTGGCCCAGATTTTCCTTGTTGAGGTATTTTTCATGGGCGACGTTCATCTCGAAAGCGCGTGGAATGATCGTCTGGTCTGTCTATCAAGACCCCTATGTCGACACGGCTTGGCCGTTCGCCGCGGTTCCAAGCTGCTGATTCACTAAACGATGCTTGCTCCGTTCGGGACCGTATGGGGGGCAGCTGGAGGCCTAGTTGTAGGCTTGCATGACTTTGCGCAGCCGCTTCTTGTTGAGAAGCTGGATATGGCCGTCCGCTATGGGGTTGCCGCTCCGTTGCCCCTTCATATTGTCGGCCTGCTGGATTTGATCCCTGTTCCGTAAAACCCGCGGGTCTTCGGGAGTGCTTGGATGATTCTGCAGCCAAATTGGCCGTATATAGACTGTCATTGGATCGGCTTCGGACGGGGTCAAAGGGTGGACGCCGGGTGAATAAGGTCTCTGGACTGCGTCGTTTATACGCGACGCTGGGTTGCGCTCCGTGAAGGTTCGGAGTAGGTGATATCTGCGGTTGTCTGGCCGGAATGTTCAGTAGCAAGACTATAAAGTAAAAGGACCCTTCTTTGGCAAGACCGGCACGAACTGCCATTGGTCGGGCATAGCCGTTTGCGCCCACAAATGCCAAATGATCGTGGAAGTTCAGCGGAAATCGCCCAAAGTCTTCAACAGTAAATCCAAGGCGGTAGATACTCTGAGATCCGTGGCCTAGTATTGGAGGTAGATAATTGGGCTCCCGTCTCTTCTGCTCGCTGTTGAAATGGGTTTGAATTTGTGACACCTTTTCAAGCTCGGCTGGCAAGACTACTTCCCCCAAGTTGCGTCCAGCCATGTTTGGCAAACCAGCTGCGTCCCAGAACGTTGCAGACCCTTTGACAAATTCGAGGCTCATGTTCAAGTAGGCAACGGGCTCCGGTAATCTAGGCCTCGCTGACAGAGAAGCGTTATAGCTATTCGGATCCGACGATGATACTCGTCCACCAGGCCTCGCTGAAAAGCTGCTACTGGCTGACATCTCTGGCTGCCGAAATGACGGGTACCTCGGGTAAGGGTCATCGAACAAAGAAGGGACAGTACCGGTGGAGGGATAAATGCTCAAGGGGCGTCCGGGAGACACCTCCCGGGAGTGAGACGGTCGCATAGGGTCGAACCGTGCATTTCTATCATCTCGTAATCGAGGCCTCCCACGTTTTTTATGCTGTACGTCAACACAGGCATCTTCTTTTCCGTTGCTTATACACCGAGAACACGGCCGCTGTGCTATTTATAAAGTCAGCCGTGGAATGATTTTCAAACAGACAATTCTTCACTTATAGGGCTCCCCACTGCTCCGGGTTGCAGATTCCGCGCTGCGACTGGGCTGGGCCATGTGTTTTATGCAACACCATTTCTTTCCTTGGTCTAGCAGAACGGAGCATGCTGCGATCCGCTGCGGTCTCTTCCACCGACTTGGTGATTTCTCAGAAACGCATGGCCAACTCCTTGGCCACAACTCGTAGCCGCGGGGGCCCGGTACTGGATGTGTGTGCAGACCTTGGGAAGATAACTTTATCAAAGCGATGAACTTAGTAACGAGATGGATGAAAATGCCGAAATCACATACCGTCGCACCTGCAGAGCGTTAAAACAATTCGTGGCGGCCAGGGAAGCACGGGCTCATGGGCAGACAAGACTCACCGGAGATGGGCCCTTTTGCATGGGACACAAGCTGAGGCGACGTGACCTTTAGTTTTGCGCTGGGACTTGGGAGAGCTCATGGATTGGTTTTCCGTCGAGCTTGGCCCGCCCTCTGTTGACTGCTGGCTCGCAGTACCGGTTCCAGCTATCGCTGAGCCGTACGGTTGAGGATGTTGATGTCGTGCCCTGTTGATGCCAGGGGGACCTCGTGACGAGTACAAGGCCGCCGTCTGTATGGAATGGCCCTCTGATGCCTGGTATCCATAGGCGGATTCCGTATTTGATTCTTTCTGGTACTGTACAGACATGCGAGGGTGGTGTTGCGGTGGTGGCCGCCGCGGCGGCGGAAGTTGTAACCGCTGATCTACTGGTCGGTTCTGCGCCGAAGTTGTTCGATATGCATCTTGTAAGCTGGTTGTAGAGTAACCGCCCAAGCCCTCACTTCGACCATGGAAACTTCGAGGGTCCTTTGGCGGCAGAGAAGGAGACCCTGACATGGGTGGGGAGGGATACGCCGGTGCGCGAGCAGATATCTCTGCCTTTGCACTTTTGGTGTCCCAAGCCAACTTGTGGTCGCGGCCGTAGTCTAGGAGGAGTAGACTAGGGTGAGGGCTCAGAGGCGATGAAGATGTGTCTAGGGAGCGGCTTGTGGACAGCATGGAAGCAGCGTTCCTGGTTTCTCTCTTCGACGACGGGACTTGTGGTCTTGGGACCTCGAAACCCTCTCGTGAACCTGGCCCGATATCTTTGCGTGGTTTGTCGGTTGTTGGTTGTTGCTTGGGCGCGCTACCCAACGGAATGGCGATATATGACACCGCGCGTGTCCTCAAGGCCTCAGAAACCAGTCGCTCGAGCCGAGTCCTGGGTACGGACGCCAGGCTGCTGTTGGTGACGACCAAGACGATATGGTAGATGCGGATGTCTATGACAATCGGTGTGGTGGTGGTGCCTCGGCAAAGTTTACAAGGACAAAGAGGCTTCCTAGACCCACGCCACAATCGCCAGTAATCGGCTGTCACCAAAAGATGATATGCCTCTTCTTAGTGGTGAATGCTGCTGAGCGAGAGGTCCTGGACTACGATGGCTAGAGTTCATATGACATGGACAGACTCAACCCAGGGCAGCTGGTGTGAAACGGAGTGCAGAACGGTGATACCCAAAAGGAAGAAATATCAGAACAGTGATACGAATCCTGGGCAGCGTTGGAGTAATCGATGTCGAGCTGGCAACAGAGCCCTGGAAAGTGGTTGTAGCACCTCTGTCTGGCGCGACAAACATCCAGAGGACCGTAGGCAAGGTTTATGCCGTCAGAGAATGGCTAGTTGACTAAAGGACCAACCAGGTTCAGGGCTTGAAGAGACAGCGCGACAGCTCGGGAGTCAAAGCTGATCGGCGGCTCAGGGTCAGGTTTTTGTGCGACTGGCAGACCTGATGGAGCTTGGAGGTAAAAAGAGAGAAAGAGGCAGGGGATGCTGGGGGTTGGCAAGCAGGGTTTCGGGGACAACCCTAGCTTAGGCGGTTGAATCAACGTACCATATGAAGGATTATACCACTGCTCAATAGCATTCGACGACACCGGGGCGTTACGTCAATAAATGGATGAATTGTTTCCCTGCCAAATGCATCTCACATACTCCGTAGTAGTCCGTACAATATCTCGATATCCGCGTGTCTCAAATTAAGCCTTCCACGGCGGATTCGAATACTATGCGTCTTCACTGCCCTCGGCGCCTCTGCTTTCTTTGTGTAAGATTTGTGATCTGTAATAAACACTCTCAAGACATCTTATAATTGGGGAGTACGAGGCCGGAAACGAGCACAAGATACAAATTACTACATGTAGATCGAGTCGGTAGGGGTGGGGAGGAGAGAGAGAAGGGGGGGGTGCCATGTCTTGCCTCCAGCCGTACCGTGTCAGTTCGGCAGCCGGAGGTCAAGACTCAACGCAGCTCGTGTCCCCCACCCGAAGGAGTTTTGGGAAGTTACAGACGGCGTGGGAAGAAAGCCACAAAAGAGCTACTGCTACTCCGTATGTGCGTACATACTTTGCTTGCTCTACCAAAGGAGCGTGTGTGCGTGTGTTGCGTGTGGTGTGTGTGCGCGCGTGGCAGGGGACAGACGACTCATGACATTGCTTCAACATCGCGAGACCCAACCCAATACGAGTGGAGAGAAGGAGATGAATGGAGAACAGCGGTATTAGAGAGGGAGCTTGTTTCTGGAAGACGCTGTGATTGGAGGGATCGGGAATACCACGACGCTGCCGGTGCTGTGCTGGAGAGCTTTCAGTAAGTAGCAACTCAATACTTGTTGCGAGCCATTTTTGGATGGGCATACTGGACACATGGAGGACAGGGATAGGAAGCATTCGTAGACTGCTGAGAAGGGGGTGTGATAGCCAAGAGGCGAGCGAAGGAGGATGCACTGGCCGGCTAGTTTGGAAACGGTGGCACGGTTGTACTCTGTCGTGGTCTATGTTCCCTGACGGTTCCTGTTCCTTTGCACGATGTATCAGCCACGTAGGCACGCACTCGGGTTTTGGCGACGCGGCGAACCCTTAAAAGAACCTTAGCTGGCGGTTTCAGCGCCACAGGGAACCGTGAAAGCGAACATGGATTTCGAGTCCAACCGCTGGGTGCGTGCGTTTGGGGCAGGCAGTCCTAGTCCTGTACAGAAATCTCGGCTTATTAGCACCACATTGGCAATGGGGACCTGTGCTCCGCAAAACAGCCATGGAGGCAGAGCATCCAGGGCCAGATCCCGTTGCGTTGGAACTCCGAGGCAGCTTGTCCGTTGACCCAATTGCCAATCGAACGAGCCATGGCATGGGAGCTAGCCGGTGGGGATGGCAAGATAGGCTCTGGTACGGAGTATCCAACTTGACTCTGCAGATTGTTGTTACGCACGTTTGGCGCCACATCTCAAATCTAGCGCTGTTGACCGCACAACAGAGTGATGAAGGCCAAAATGGAAATAAGCCAATCAAGGAAAGAAAATGAGACGAGACAAAGACTTTTAGAAGAAAGATCCTCGAGCCGACAATAACGACCACGCAGAGCGCCAGCCCTCCGCAACGGTATATGTATTGATAGGAAGGGCTAGCAAACCAAATGTCATGAGGGACACATGTGGCTCGTAATGCCACAGGCCAGTCGCAAGTGGAACCGGCAGAGTACTAGAAGTCGGATTAGAGTTTTATTCGTGAAGTACTCCGAGATCAGTACTGCCCGAGTCGAGTCGATCTTTGAAGATTAAACCCATATTATTCAGGGATACATTTGGGCCTGCAATCCTTCCGATCAAAGCTGAAAAATCACTGCTCAGGGTCCACTAGCGTCGGCAAGATTGTCAAAAATAGACGAAGCTCATCAGGGGAGGGAGGGACGACGAAGGCGAGGCCGCCGGCTGGGCTACATGCAATGACCCGGGCCTGTTCAGCAGTGCAGTACTCTTGTTTGCCAACTTCTTGGGAGTGATTATGTCGGTCCGACATTAATCAACGGAATGGGCCTTTCAAAGGCCTTTCAGTTCTTCCCTGTGTCATGTACCTCATGCGGAGTGAGAATAGTTGGTGCATGCCGTTACCGCTCCGTAACCGGTCCGTGCCTGGTACTCTCGTCATGGCCAAGTCTCCTGTACTGAGGCTCAAAGTACAACAGTAGAGGTATGCTAAAATGGGCGAATATGCAGCTTCTAAACAGGGTCTAAAATGGGAGACAGATCTCCATGCCGTAGAGAATACTCGATCGCAGATCTCCAGCCACGGCAATCCAACGGGAGGAGGTCCCGACTCATGTCCCGTGTCGGTGGATGTGTAGCAGACGCGGACATCGCTTCAGGTGGTGTAGCGGTGATACTGTCCACAGTCCACTTGGGTTCAACAACCCACAGACCCACAAGCTGCCCCGAAGACGGGAGCCAGGGCCCACCCCTTGTTTTTTTAAGATCCGGCGAGGCGTCCCAAGTTCAGCAGAAAACGAAAAAGCTGCAAGAACGGACCATTTCGTGGTCCGCGGCGAGGGAGTCTGGTTGGGTGAAATACCCCGGCGACAGGACCCCAGCTCAGCAGCATGACAACGGGCTTGGCCACCATGAGGCAAGGCGCCAGACAGGGATGAAAAGGGACATTGGTGGTGGGCAACGGCTACTGCCATTATCAACGTGGAAGCCGGAAGAGAACGTATTCCGTATGCGTTACGGGTGTGAGAGTCAGTCGCTGACTCGAGTGTTGATGCCGCTCGTTGCCTTTGGGCCTCACTTGACCCGTCATCTGCAATTGAGATCTTGTCAAGATCGAATGATGCAATGGCAAGGCAGCATCTGCGCCCTTGGGTAGGTCGATACCGTGTTGGTGGCGATGCTCGTATCAACTTCGTGGAGTATACCAAGTTTTGGTCTTGTTTTGCAATTACCGTCACCAGATCTCCAACCCTCACGCTGTGCAAATCCACAATGCCCAGGCTTCTCCGTCGCACCACCCATCATCCATGCAGGAATAAACGGAGTGCTGGCCGCTGCAAAAAGTAAGAACTACCTGGGTACCTAGGTAGTTGTTAGTTGGTCTGAGGTTGCGGGTTACAAGTGACAGGACGATGGTGTAGCTAGCATATTTGGTATTGTGCATGTATGTGTACTTTACGCAACTGGACCGAGGCAAGGAGTCGAAGAGTGTGGAACTGACTGTACGACAAGGCATTGTGTGGCAGGAGATGATATCTTGGATTGTGTGGAGTAATTGGGATCTCGTCTTGGAGAGAGAAAGTAATAAGAAGGAACAAAACAACCTCGCTGGAAAATACAAGTACGGAGTAGGTGGGTAGGAAATGGGCTCCCAGGTCTCCCAGGTCCTTGCCCTGCGGTGGCAAGCGGTCCTGCATGCTCCTTCCCAAAGAGCGCGCTGGCATGCGCTCTGGCACCCTTGCTCGGCAAAAGGACATCCAACGTAGGTGGCACACTGGCAGGGACGCGTGTCCATAATTTATTACACACTTCTTTACGTGACTGCTGACTGGGCCCGAAGCTGCTTGAATGCAGGCACTTCAGTCAGCATCATCAAAATCTGGCATCTTGCCGCAGTCCGATCTGCAATGGCCTCGATTTTGCCTTGATAGCTCGAGGCTCTATTTCAGTCTTTGTCGTGCAAAACTCGGCCCCGAGAGCGAACGGCACAGGTCCGTTCCCAGCTATTGTGACGAGCGCGCACCAGACGACGTGGATGGGGCCGGATAATGGCCTCCACTCTTCTCCTCCCAAGGCTAAAATGGTCGGCCACAATTGCTAGTACGCAGTAGGTTCGGAAAGTTGTAGCCCGCACGGGGCATACTGCCGATCTAAGCCCGTGTAGTGTACGGAGTAATAACATACCCACAGAATACAATGTTCCGTACGACAACTCCTCCGTAACGACGACTGGCCTGCTCGATGCCTATTGTTCTTTCGGATTGGGCCATTCTGGGCTCAATTATTGGGGAGCGCATCCACTTTGCTCTGCAACTCAACTTGCGGCTCCGGCAGCAGATATCGTTTCAACGGGTGGCTTCCCAAACAAAACGAGTGAGACACAGACAGTCCTTCTTGTGCAATATGGTTGCTGTAGAACTGGGAGCAACCACATTGGGCGCACTGACCCAGTCAACGTGTTGCCGTCATAGCTTCATTT